GCTGAACCAGTTGCCAGCCAATCGCAGGGCACACATAGACGAACAACCATCCGCGCTCACACTCACACCTATAGGGACAATTTAGTGTTCAATCAGCCTGCCATGCATGTTTTTGGAATGTGGGAGGAAACCGGAGTACCCGGAGAAAACCCACGCAGGCCCGGGGAGAACATGCAAACTCCACACAGGGAGGCCGGAGCTAGAATCGAACCCAGTACCTCTGCACCGTGAGGTTGACGCGCGAACCACTGGATCACCGGGCCGTCGACATCAATTTGATTTTGTAAATAAAATCTGGATGTTACTGATGTGAATCTCAAGCTGTTACATAATGGAAGATGTCTTTAAAATACAAAGGGGCTCGAGGCATTAAAATGTGAGAACCTTGAGACTTGTAGGGAATTCAAAGGCAAACCACACCTGAGGCCGAACTTGAAATAATATATCTCTTGTCAAAATTATACAAATTTGAAGGAGAATTATGCTGCCCCAAAAAAGTGTGAAAACAAAGAAAATTTGTGCTTTTCGCCATGTTGGAATAACAGCATCTTGGCGTCTTTTTTGGGAAACAAGTTTGCTTGTGTGTGGAAGTAAGGTTCTGTGTGGTGGTGAGATTCTCAGCATGGGCTTCAGATGTTCATCAGTGCTGTGAGTGTGAGGTGATGTTTTGGTGATTGTCATGACAAAGAACAGCTGCTCACAAAGATATGTGCGTACAAAGATACAGTGTTCATGCCACAGAATGATTGCAAGTAGCCTGTCGTTTGTAAAAACAGCTTTTGTGCTGCATTATGGGAGTTGTAGTTTCAGTGTGTTATCAGTGTTTCCTACCACGCCATTAAAAGATACTGAGTTGCATTGCAGAATCGGAGCAGGAGGGTTTTTTTTTTTTTTTTTTGCTGTTAGAATGATCATGTTTGGTTGTGTTATCATGGACCATGATTTTTCATAGACATGATGTAACAGTGGCGGCGTGTTGTTTTCAGACATTTACACCACGGTTAAATTACTGCTGCTTTTGGTGGGCATGAATATGACACACTAGGTTACAATGTTTGGGTAATTAATGATACTCTGGTCTCCTTCATTGGCAACCTACAAGCATATTTCTGTCTCATAATAAGAATTTCCCATCAGTAGAGACAGCCTTTTTAAGATCAAGCTTGTTGCGAGAGCGTGGACCAAATTCCACGCTATTTATCAAATGTTTCCACAGACTGGATTTCATTACGGAATGCGATGGATGTGACCCACATGCTGCGAAATAGGATAATAGGTAATTGTTGGAACCAGATATCACCTTGGCTTGGTGAATGTCCACACCATACATTGCAAGTTTCTTGGCATTTTCCAAGAACAGCATGTCGGCTTGGGCTGGAGTCATTGACCTTCCACAAAAAAAAAAAAAAAAAAAAAAAAAGAGAGAGAAGATGCGTTCTGAATCAAATATTGAAAACAGGATTCAGATTCTTCAACTTGTAATACATTCTGGAGGCTTACCTATATGTCCGATGTAACTCCATCACCTTTGCCTCCAGCTCTTTACTCTGTCCAGGAGCAAGACTGAGATCCTTCACATAGTCAGCTCCATGGACTTCTGGATCATATTCACCAAGCTCTGACTGTGCTGTGTAAGAGCCCAGCAGGGAGAGGGTGACAAAGGAACATGGAAGAACCCCAGTCATGATGTCCTTTCTCAGCTGGAGACACAGATAGTACCTGGAAAAGAGAAGAGCTTAGAATGTATAATAGAGGTGATGTTTTGGTAATTGTCATGACAGATGGAGGGTTGGGGCGGGGGGGTGGGTTTGGTGGGGGGTACAAAGTTATTCATTACCAGAATTTATATACACTCTCCGAAGTATGATGCTAGAGTCTAGAGGCCATCTCACAAAAGCATAAACACCAAAGTGAAATTCACCTTGTGAGGTCTTCAGTAAGCTGTGCCGGGTCAGGAGGATAGAACTTAATGTTGAAAGTAAACTCGTAGACAGCACCTGGCACCTGTTTTCGGATTTCCTTGGCGGGTTCCAGCCATGTCTGATGGAGAAAAATGTACATAGTCAAGAACATTTTATGATCCAATTAAATTACTGTCAGATAAATCTCCACTCAATAAGTTTGAAGTGGCTTCACCGGGGTGTATCGGTCACATGTTCAGGTTCCCCTCATGGTGGCAACTGTAAAATTTGACATTGATAGTGACCAACTTCACTGATCACAACCACCTTCTAGGTGTACGCGGTACATGTCAGTGGCGACATGCTTTGCATTAGTAAAAGAAAAAAAAGTTTGGAAAAAAATGAATCGTCTTGACAAGGACAGTAAATGAACTGAGAAAATCACTTAGTTGCCCAGCTGTAAGGGAGTGGCGCACGAACAAAATCTAATCCATGCAAATGAATATTGAGTTTAAAGCTGACCTTGCTGGTTGGTGTTTCCCAGTGAGCAAGGCCGAAGTAATCTTTCTCCAGCAGGTTGAGGTTCTCACAAACTTTCGTGATGAGCTCCTGTCCTTTCGCATGTTTCTAAATGACAAGATGCAATCAGAAAGACAACCCCAAACATTTGTGAACGTCCCGTCGTTTGTTGCGATGACTTACTTCCAGCTGGCACTCATACTGAGTGTCATCCAGCAAAGTGACTTTGCATTGGATTGTTTTCAGTCGTTTGGAGCCTTTGGCATCGTCACCCTTCTTCTCGGTTTTCTTTTCTTTCGCAGGCTTTTCCTCTTTAGGCTCCTCATCTCCCTTTGCTTCCATCTCCTCTGCTTCTTCTTCTGCCTCTTTTTTCTGTGCACCCGCCTCCTCTTCCGCTACTTTGGGCTCCTCCTTGATTGCAGCTTCTTCCTTGGGCTCCTCTGAAGCTGGCTGCAAGATGTCAGAAAGGGAGAAGAGATGAATGCAAAGACAAGTTTGAAGATTTGAGCTCAGTAACATGAATGACCACAATCATGCTTAAGACAACCACTCATCTTGGCGGTTTTTCCTCTGACCTGCATCTCGGCGCTGCTGAGTGAGTGCTGATCAGGAGCTTGTTCGGTTTCTGGCTCAGTTTTAAGTTCGGGTTCTGGGGCAGCAATTGGTGCTTTCACCCGCGCCTCACTTGACCCCTTTTGCTCGTCCTGCTTTCCTTTTTTCACTTTTTCTTTTTTCTTCCCTTTGTCTTCTTCCTGTTTATCGTCTGCCTTCTTCTTCCCTTTCTCCTCTTCCTTCTTTTTGGGCTCTTTTGATTTGTCCTCGTCTTTCTTTTTTACCTGTTTTGATTTCTCGTCTTTCTTTTTGGCCTCCTTCGCTGTTTCCTCCTCTTTCTTTTTGGTCTCCTTCGATGTTTCCTCCTCTTTCTTTTTGGCCTCCTTCAATGTTTCCTCTTCTTTCTTTTTGTCCTCTTCTTTCTTTTTGTCCTCCTTCAATTTTTCCTCCTCTTTCTTTTTGTCCTCCTTCAATTTTTCCTCCTCTTTCTTTTTGGCCTCCTTCAATTTTTCCTCCTCTTTCTTTTTTAATTTCTCCTCCTTCACCTTCTCCTCCTCCTCCTTCTTTTTAGCCTTCTCCTCCTCCTTCTTCTTTGCTTTTTCTGCCTCTTTTGCCTTCTCCTCCTCTCTCTTCTTCTCTTTCTCCTCCTCCTTCTTCTTTGCCTTTTCCTCTTCCACTGCTTTTTTCTTCGCTTTTTCTTCTTCCTTTTTCTTCACCCTTTCCTCTTTTTCTTTTTTCTTTGCTAACCTTTTGTCAACTTTCTCCTCCTCTTTAATCTCCTTTTCAGGGTCAGTTTCGGTGCATTTGTCTTCTGTCCTTTTCTCCTCCTTTGTCTCGACTTTTTCTTCTGTTTTTTCTACAGTTTCCTCAACCTTGGCCTCTTCTTTTTGCTCCTCTTTCTTCTCCTGCGCTTTCTTCTTGTCCTGCTCCTCTTCCTTTTTCTCCTCTGCGGTTTTCACCAACTCTGCATCCTTCTCCTCTGTTTTCTTCTTGGTGTCTTTCTTTTTCTTCTTACTGCCCTTCTTCTCTATTTTATCTGGCTCGGTCTTTTTTTCCTCTTTTTGTTGTGCTTCTTCGCTTGGTTTTACCTCCTTCGAATCTGCTGTCTCCTCTGGGAGAGCATCCTTCTCTTCAGTTTTCACTTTCTCTTCTTTTTCTTCTTCCGCTTTACCAGCCTGTTCTTCTTTGTCCTCCTTGTCCTCCCTTGCTTTCTCTGCCTCAAAGCCCTCTCCTTCTGAGCACTGCGAGCGGCGTTTAAGGAAAGAGGAAAAGAGGCGAGAGAGGCCTTTGCCAGCAGAAGTTCTGGTGCGAGGCTTCAGCTGCTCCTCTTCAGGGGAGGAGGCTGCATCGGCAGAGGCAGGCTCAGCGGCCTGTCCCTGTGCCTTCTTGCTCGACTGTTCCCCCTCTGGCTCTGATGCTGTTGCCTCTGGACTCTGCTTGGTCTCAGGTTCAGGTTCAGCGGCGCTAGCCTTCTGCTTGCCTTCAGTGTCCGCCTCGCTTACGGCACTTGCCTCTGTTGTCATGGTAGCCACTGGGATGGAGAAGAAGAAGCCAGTCAGAAATGTAGACGGGTCACAGCGCTTTTCAGAATGTGACAGAGCACAACACTGCTGCACTTGAAACACAACAAACAAGATTAGGATCAATGAACTATAATCTTGTGTGTCGTAAACATGCGTAATTCTGTTTGGCAAACATATGCAATAAATGGCAACAGGTTTGTGTATCCATCCAACATTGGTAGAAGCAAAGAAACCAAAACATTTTGCTTCAGTTAGTCTCAAAAATAATTAAAACACGCTTCTAAGGTTTCATAGCTAATAATAGTCCAAGAATAACACATTCCTGTTTTGCCTCTTCAGAACATTCATTCACTGAGTTACTATCAACAATTAAGCAATCCGTTGTTTTATGTTGTTTCTTTCCCCTTTCAGTGGCAGTTACCCAACTGTCAGCCACAGACTACATTCGCAATACACACTCATGCGTGGACATCCCGCCATGCACGCACACGAGCATAATACGACAATAGCTGTTCTTGTTGGATAGTGTGTCCACTATCACAACCTCGCCTGTTGCAGACTCATTAAATCTTATGGGCACAAAGGAGGCATTCTACACTGTGTAGGTGCCTATTAGCATCACTTGTATCATCCGTGTCAACAATGCGCACCGACCTATGTAGTTCTACCCTCTCACATACGAGAACAGCTTGATAACAGCAAAACACGCACTGCGAGCATTCAAATCCCCCATGCCAGTCAGTCTTGCTTTAGAAAAAGATTTTATGCCCGACTGAATAAATACTTTATCTCATTTTTTTTGTACAAAATACACAAAATTTGAAACTGTCACATCAAAGCCACAGCAACTTTCTCAAGACGTTGACTGTAGACAAGAGCAACTGTTTGGATCATGACCTGTCCAGTTACGGCATTTAACATACAGAGAACACTGCAATATTTAAAAACAAAACCTCAAAATAGGCACATTGTAATTGTATACTTGACGGTTGCAGGAAAGCAGCCTTGTAGTTTAATGAACACGACTTTGTTGGGGTTGCGGAGAGGACAGATCTCACATATTTAGAAAGGTCTTACTTGCCGATTAAAGCCGTTGACTGGCTGAAATAAACTGCCAGCATTATGCAATCACGCAACCTCTACTGGCTGAGAAAACTCCCTTACAGTAGCGATAGAACTCGTCTAAACTATGTCTTGCCTAATTGGTCACTAATGTTGCAATGTTAATGTCCGCCATATGAGTTGAAGCCCCCCCGCCATGAATGAACTAGGGGGAGGGGAGATGCTTGGCAGGCAGACAGAGGGGCGGACCACTCGTCCCTAGGCACAGGGTCGCCCCAAAGGATACGAGCTTTGGCCCACTATACCATGGATGCACCTCCCATTGGAAATGTAGGAGAGAAGGGGGGGAACCGCACACAGGCACACACAACACACACATACACACACTAAAATCCTCTTTAGCCCTCCCATTGTTTGTGTCCAGTGACCAATAACTACACTGCACTCTATAACTAATCCTGACCACCCTTCCCCCCCCCAAGAGACCCCCCATAGGCCTTTTCCCTAGGTCACCAAACATACACCATGTCACAAGCGCGTGCGCGCGCACACACACACACACACACACACACACACACACACACACACACAAACACACACACACACACACACACACACACACACACACACACACACACACACACACACACACACACACACACGTAGCTATGCATCAGTGCTCACAGCTTCCACCGGGTCTTTTAATGCTCTGTCATCTCAATTCTGATTGTCAGGAAGCAGACATGCTCCTAATGGACCAGCTGAGCTTCTGCCTGCTGCCTCCTCCATTTTGAGTTGCCTATCTAACATCTTAGCTATAGGCCAGCTGAGCAGGGGGGAGCCTCCATCACTTGACTGATGGAGATAACAGGAGTGACCTTGCTCGATGAAGTGCGGTACTGTATCGTTTTTTTGTTTTATTTTTTTAAATCATGGAGCCAATAAAATAAATGCCACTGTAATACAAAGAAAAAGGATGCACTCAATAATACATAATGAGTCTTTCTAATGAGGTAAATTATAGATGAAGTAGGCCACCCTCTAGCAAGAGTGAGTTGAATGAAATCCCCCTACAGCACAAGTGTCAAACTCAAGGCCTGGGGGCCCAGATCCAGCCCACATCATAATTTTTTGGGGCCCATGAAAGGGAATCACGTACCTCAACTTCATGTTACTTGCAAGCATTTTTGGTTGTCAATCCCTCCGTAAAAATCGATGGAAAAATAGTTGAACAATTACTGACTAGCTTCTGATTTCAAACCTAGTTATCCATCAATTTGCTCTGTATATATGAAAATATAAGGCAATCGCCCATTTACATGGGTTTGCAGTCAGAACAGCTCTCAGAGGGACATCATAACTACGATGTGGCCCGTGACAAAAATGAGTTTGACACGCCTACCCTAACGAAATAGTGTGAAGGAAATGTGCTGTGTTGAATGAAACATCCTGCATGAATTAGTTTGTCTTTTTATTTCCTTGACCTCACTTGTAAAGTAGATTGGATGATTGCCATTTCATGCCAATTTATCTAATTTCCCCCCCCCAAAAAAAAAGAAATCCTTTTTAAATTCAGACTCATATCATATATGAGTGATGCTTAACAGCTGCTCTGACATGGTGTGCAAATATGAGGTGAAGTGAGACAGAAGGGCTGAATGAAGAAGAGGAGGTATGGTATATAAATAGCTGTTTGTGCTGAGGATGCTTACACTCATTAGTTAGCCTTTACTGACGAGCTCACATCTATTTATGGTCACAGCATTCTGCAACACATGGCACGCATATGCACATGGACACAAATGCATCCACGCTTGCCCCAACATACATACAATTCGAGCAATTAGTGTTCATGTTGCAAAAATATATACATGAATGGGAATGCTGATACAGGCTTTGAACACATACATGACATTATTTTGTCAATTTAAAATAAGGAAAGCATTTTACCTTGCCACCAGGAGTAGGCTTAAGTAATTAGCAGGAGTTTAGAGTTAAGCAGGCCCAAGTTATCGAGTGAGATTATCTCTACCTACCTGCCTTCAATGGCCATCTCACCGTCTCCATTACCAATAGGAATCTTTTTTTTTTTTCCGGGGGCCAATACCAATTATTTAGTAGTCAAGGATGCCGAAGACCGAAATTTGGAGCCGAAATTCATTTTCAGTAAAACGGAAAATATTAGCATAAAAAAGTTTATGAAATACATACTATATCCAACTTGTTGAACAGCCTTTAAGTATATGTTGAACAACTTTTTAAATTTTGTTTTGTTTTTTAAATCTCAGACAAGTGGCATCTTTGTTTTAAAATTCTAACCACATGAAAAGATCATGGAGCTCACAGCATCCTCAGCGTGTCTTAAAAAGCTAAATCAAAACTGAAACAATAGCTGCCCATTGATTTCTACAGTAAATAAAGTTTTTCTCCAAGTACTGAAGTGTTAAACTTTCACGTCTTTATTCAAAAAAAGAAATCATAAAATGTAGAGACGACCCATCAGGCAGCAGCATCTCTTGAACAGTGAACTGAAAATTTAAATTAACAGTTCCCTGAAGTCAAAACAGTTTTAAATTGGTCTCGTATCGGCCTTCATTAAAAGATTAAAAGCTATATGCACTTTTAAAAGGCAATGCCAAATTTGCCGAACATCTGTGCTGATAGTCTGTCTATCCCTCGTCTCTGTGAACTTGGATTCACTGCCAATATGGTTTGTAGGCGTTCGATGGAGACGAGCTGGTGAAGACACGGAGACAATTACCGGTAGCTATGTTATATGCTCATTCATGGTATTACAAGGGGCTCCGCCCGTCCAGCTAAAAAACAAGATGATCAGGAGAGTTAAGCTAAAAGCCAGGATATTTGCCCTCACATCACATAGTCGCTCCTAATATTATACTTGTTGGTAAACACAGATATAGTACACACGCGCTGACTTATATGCCAACCCGTGCCTTTTCGCACTGGATCAAACGTTCACTTAATGGAAACAGACCTGCCTAACAACACGAGCAATACTTCCTAGTTGAGGTTTGACTGACTATAGCGACCATTAGTCATTGTTTTTATCAGTCTGCAAGTAAAAAGAAACAAAGAAACTAAACAAGGTCTGCAGAGTAATTAATGTGTACAGACACAATTAAATGGATAATAAAACTGTGAAAGGGTACACTATTCCAAGGTCATTCTAAGACATTGATGTCTTTTTATGCTGGTTGCACAGTTACAGAGGTTTATTCCATTGTTAACTTATTCAAAACCCAGTTCCCAATGAATCAATACACACAGATGGCAAGTGCTGCTGATAGTGTAACATGAACCAACGAATGAAGCAGCCTGATTGATTTTGTATGGTCGCCCTGTAAGTGTGTTTCCAACATCAGCTCAGCCAAAGCCTAGTTGCGAGAATGGTGTGCACTAGAGAACACGGAGAAAGAAGGCTTCTAAACATTCAACATTTTGTCAAGATGTTTGCATTTATCGGGCCAACTAAATTGTATCACAAGAAACATACAATCCACCCTGTGCAACACATGATGCAGAGTATATCAATTTAGAATACAATGTTGAAAAATGGGTGGATTCCTCCGTCATTGACAAGCAAAGAACTGTGGCATGTGGAGTTTGTTTATTTAGCACTACAATGGTAGTCTAACTGCCCAAACGCATCATAACTCCCAAAAGAGGATTAACAGCAGCAGGCTCCGATGGGACCTCAATAACCTCACTCTCACACAGCAGAGTCGGAAACATCCTTCTGCATCACTTACATGCTCTCATCACTTTCAGCACGATACTGATGACCCCGAGTAATAATAGTGCCATCATTGTCATTTTTTTAACCTCGCTGTTTCCTCTAGCAACTGGGTGCACCGCATGAACTCTGACTGCCTCTGCGTCATCCTCCCCACGTGATATTTGCAGCTTCATGAAAGATTATCGGACTATATTTACCCAGCAGTATCATCAATGGAGAGGAGGCTTATTGCACGATGGTCGCTTAAGTGTAAGGCACCTATTTTTATATTCTGCGCCAAGTGAGTGGGGGTATTTTAACACATCTGCCCTCTTGGGGTGAAAGCAAGTCAAGCAGAAAATTCAATTCAATAGCAGAAGCATCTCTAGGACAGCGTGAAGAACAACTGCACGTCAACTAAGTGTGCTGTGGAATAACCGCGGTGTAAGACAGGGACCGAGAAGGACGAACCCGACTTCAAAGCAAGCCAGAATCTCAATTGTATCATGGATATTGTCCTGTTAACAACTGAGAAAAAAATAAACAAACATGAAATTATCCATTCTAATGTACTAACTCTTTAAGGATGGCGTTCGGTGTATTCACTGATGCAAAATAAAATGCACCTGACAAATTCAAACGCAATTGCATGCGTGTTTTAGCCGAGTGAAAACATGCGCCCCCAGCCATGTTCACCCATATAACTCACAAGCAGAGATAGTGAGTACTTTTGATTTGTAAGCTTCACTACAATGCCAGGTTCACAGCGGAAAATACACCGTTCATTTCTGCATTGTTCACAAAAATAAGGCGTAGAAGCAATTTCATAAATAACATAGATCGGATTTGATTTGGAACTTCTACCGCAAATGAAAAGCGCAGACCTGAGCTGTCTGTGTCGCACCACCGCGCGGCGGCTATTTAAACTATCCGAATACGAAAATGGCGCCGAATGTGCGGCAAACCAAAATAAACAACAAACCCGGCCCATCACCGTCATCGGTGCATTCGAACTCACCAACTGCGGGTTGCGCATCAATGGGCAAGAGCAAAGAAGAAGTCAAAAAAGGACAGAATCCAGTCGTCGGCACGTTCAGATGAGGAACAATGTTGCGGTGCCACACACGCTTTGTTGTGCTGGAGGTGTCCGACGCTCGTAAAGGGGCGGAGCCTCCTCCAAGGCTTGGACCCGACTCCGCACCCAGCAAGCACGATTCGACCGCATATGCAATGTGCACACCAACTTATTAGATTATTTTTCAGAGAGATGCTGGATATCATAACGGAATCAACATTTAACGTGTAATTTAATTCCCCACTAATCTTTAAACACAGTTGTCCATCTCTCCACCTATGTATTTTTCCATGTATCTACACGCCCATCTATCAATTTTCTACACCACTTATCCTCAATAGCATGTGGGTCTGCTGGAGCCGATTCTAACTCGCTTCGGGCAAGACGCCGAGCACACACTGGACTGGTCGCCAGCCATTCGGAGGGCACATATAGAGTCAGCTGCCAAAAATTTCACACACACCTTAGTACAATTTAGAGCAGGGTCTCAAATTCAACTTATGTGGGGGGCAACTGGAGATGTGTCTGGGCTGCACCAATTGTTCCACAAAAAAAAAAGCAGTTCAAGTCGTCAAAAAAAGCACAACTAATCCAATCCTCTCAATCTTTATCAGTAACAGCGCAGATCATTGACGGTTATCGAGAATGCGAACAAGATTGATGACCGGGTCGTCTATTTCATCTCCCCGGTTGAGTAATGGTGTCTGATGTTTTAAGCACTGCAAATTTCTTTGTGCATTCAAGACTCATTGGGTGTCCCGTGATCAACAAAAAAATTTTGCATCTCCTGATTTTCTTCAATTTAGCTGTTCTTGACGCCAACCTCTCTCTTCATGGCAGTTTTTAAAAAAATTCATGGATGCAACCGTGTGACAAGATATATTTTCCTTCTCTTGGTGTCACTTCAGAATTCCATTTTGAAGAAAGCCGTCATGAGCCTGAGGTATGGTAGACCATAACTGATTTTAAAAAACAAAAACAACTTCCCCCTGCCCCCACACACACACAAACCATCCAGGGCAATGACACACCAAAAACGTGGGGGCCAGATGCTGATGTCCATATTATTATTATTCAGAGAGCTGCGAATGTTGATCGGGGGACGATTTTGAGACCCCCGACTTTGAGCCTTCAGTCGAGATACCATACATGTTTTTGTAAGGTGCGAGGACGCTACACTACTCTTAGTGAGATTTCTGTTTCTTTTTTTCTGTACATAAGGTCGCCCCTTATCATTTTGTGTCTTTGCTCACTGTCTATGAATCACATGCTTCTGAGTGCCATCTTTTTATATTTAGTTTTAACTTACAAAATATGACTTAATACACTAGAGAGGGCTTTACAAACAATCACAAAGGCAATACCAGACAAATCATTTGAACACTCTCATTCCTAAGGCACTAAAAGCCAGTTACACGTAGTACTGACATAAAGTGTAGGGTTCAACCCATCAATCTGAATTTCAAAAACAAACAAACACATTCATACTTGTGTGCACACATTCAAGCCGTCTTAATGGAGCTCACCCATCTGCCTGACCCCATTAGGGCCATACGCTTGATAGGCAGCGGGCGGGTGGGAAGGGGGTCAGTGAAGGGGTTCATTATTCCCTCTCAGACACCATCACCTTTGTCTCACAGAGACAAGTTCATGTAGTATGCCCGGCAGTTAGCGATTCAAAGATCTTACCAGTGAATAGGTGATTCGGTTAATCCAATGAGCCCAAATTCGCCGGTCTGCAGGGGATACTCAAAAAAAATTATACTTCCAGCATAGCCAAAGTCACTTTTTTTTTCTTGTAGACTTTAGTCACAGAGCAAAGTAACGCCACATCAGGGTGTTCAAAGTGCTGTTAATCATTTACTAACTCATTCCCGGAAGAGACCCGACTAATCATGCCAGATACAGAGAGAAAGGTAGCACTTAAGTTTTTTTGCTCAGTTCATCTCCCGTGCCCAGGTTTGAGAGAGAAAAACAAAGGGCACATGAAGCAGTGGTGCTGCAGCTCAGTTGCTTAGGAGACTGTTGTGTGCCAGTGCAAGAAGCAGGTGTTGTGCTGGACCCAGGAGAGCAACGGGAGACAGAACCAGGAGGGGAGGAGCGCCACTCACAGACCTCACAGATCCCCTGAGACAACGCCAGACTGAAACCACAGACTAACTGACGAGCTCACACTCACACTCTGGACACACCCTAAAAAAGTGACATGTCCTCAAAAAAAAAAGGAAAGAACAGCCATATGCACTGTTCATGTATGATGATGCAGAGCACCATTCAGTCATTCAGCTCCAGCAGAGTCACAGTGGTGGGGGTGGGGAGAGGACTATGTTTGTTTGGAACATCTTTATCCCTCTCTGGCTCAGTCACTCGATGATTACATAATAAAGTCCTGCATCCACCCAAATCATCTCCCTTTGACTTTCAGCGCTGCATCTGGGCGCATGTTACACATCATACAGCAGTCATCTTATGTAAAGCTACGCGCCGCCAGGAAAATACTGCAAAATATGAATTTTGAGTGCACGCACGGAAGCACAGTCGCCGTGGTTTTTGTTTGTGCTCCCGCCCTGAGCTCTCAGGAGCACTAATGGGATGGCAACGGCACATCAATATTCATGAGGCACTGTTATATCATGAAGAATTCATAAAGCAGGAAAGAATGTTGTTGCCCCAGTCTACAAGCAGACTTCTTTGGTCTGTCTTATGTTTATGAACTTGCATCAAGCCACAGTTTTTCAAGAAATAATCTGTACATTTAGTTACAGTCGACCACAAAGGAACTAATTTTAACTAAGCTGTTCATGTATCTTGTAAAATAAATAAATATTTTTAAAAAGCTTAAAAAATGACTGTAAATATATGTAAAACCATACAGCACTGATTTTAAATGTATCATAAAATATCATCTAAAGTACACGGTTATTATTTGGTCTGCTCGAGATTGAAAACTACCAACTCTCATAGAAAGACACTGCACTGGCCAAACAGTGATGGCTTTTTTGGCCATCTGAGTGCATCACCGTGTTTTAATGGTACAGTACTCGCTTGTGCTAGTGTGTGCTGCCACCTAGTGCAGAAACAAATTAGCACACTTATCAAATGTTAGTGTCAACCATTGAAATGCTTTTAGTATTTACACACAAAATTGTGGTAAATTACAATTGATATTTTTAATTAGCAAAATAAACAACAAAAAAAAAACATTCCTGAGCACAGTGGACCGGTGTTTAGCAAATCTGCCTTGCAGTTCGGAAGTGCAGGGTCCAAACTCTCCAGGTGCTCCTCACACATTTAGAAAGCATGCATGTTGAATTCATTGACAACTCTAAATTGTCCATAGGTGTGAATGTCAGTGTGAACGGTTGTTTGTGTCCATGATGTCTAGTAATGAGTGCTGTGACTGACTGGTGACCCATCTAGGGTGCACCTGCCTCTCACTACAAGTCAGCTAGTCGTTGCTGAGGACAAATGCTACAAAATGCACAGCTAACTTACTTTATTTACTACTACGTGTGAGAAATCCCAAGTACAACTGTCTATCATCAGATGTGCGCCTACATTTTGAATCGGAACCTGTTCTCTTTCACTCTAGAAAGATGATTGTTAATACCCTCTAACAATCATCTTTCTCTCAACACCGTCTATGAACAATCCACTATAAGACAGGCTCGAAAAAAATCTGTCCGAACAAACTTACATTCTTTACAAAGAGTATCAACTTCTTCCTTATGGCAGGAGATTTAGAGTCCCTCAGAGCAGGCTGAACCGTTACAAACATTCTTTTATTCCTACATCTGTTGAGATAATGAATGCAAATATGTTGGTTAGTGTACGCTGCTTTGATTTGATTAGTTTCACGGGATTGTGGTGTGTTTGTATGATGCTGCAGACTGTAAACTGCAGAACCAGTTGAGTGTCCATGACAAATTTCCCTTTGGGGACAATGAAGTATATGAAATAAAACGATAAATGAACAGACATATAAGGCTCGCAGCAAGAGTGAAGGAATCCCTCGCCATTTCCTGAGTACCTTAACACAGATCTGGCATTTCGAGAGCATGTGTTCTCATAAGATAAAGATGTGTTTGCGCGCAAATGCTTCAGGGTGAGTCGGTAACCCCACCCCACCCTCCAAAAAAAGTGAAGAAATTCCACAATGCAGCCGTTGCACAGAATTACAATGACCATACATACTTGCAACCCAGTTTTACATGTACGACACACAAGCAGCATCCGAATTGGATATCAGACCATATCATACTTTATAAGGTTAAAAGTGAATGGTTACTCACATGTTCATGTCAGCGTCCAAGATCGTGTGTCCACATGAAAAAGCAAGAAATAAGACTGTCAAGTGAGCAAAAGTCAAACAGTCTAGGCCTTTGTAACAATATATAGTGGATAGACTATTCAATGTCAGACAGCAAACAATATTAAAAATTAAGTCTAAACATCTATAATAATACATTGCATTAACGAAGAACAAAACAATAATGTTACCTGAAGTTGTAAATATTTAATTAATTGCAATGATGACTCTTTAAAACACTCACGATAGTGTTTTACAGTATTCGTATCATATTATTAATGTGAGTCTTATCTAGGGAGGGCAAACCGAGGTGGTGCTTAGCGTTTATACCCAGAGCCTTCTCCAACAGCTGGGAAGAGAAATGTTCGTTGAAAACATTGTAAACTGCAGACTTTGCTAAATAAAAATGTTTCTTACCTGAGCGACGACATTTTTGGAGGATGTTGGCGCCATCTTTAGTGAGAAACCATTAGTTCCGGTGTTTCCCTCCGCAAGAAGAGTCAAACGGGTTTCCACGGAGGCGGTGACGTAGGACAGTGACCAAGCAAAACCGTCGACCTGAAGGGTGGAGTTATGTAGTGTAATTTACGCATAAACACGAACACTTTTTTTGCCCATTTAAGCGCCTTTTGGTTGGTTGCAAAAGAGTCACAACTCACCTCGCACACACTATGTTGCCATTGGGTTAATAACATGACAATACAGGCGTGGGCGTTATTGCACAAGGTGCTGGGCGTGCTCAGTTGAAGGGAGTCCCTAAAAAAATAAAAATAAAAACAATGTACAACAATCACCAAGCAGTACACAACAGGTTACAGTGATTTAATTAGAATGACATTAATTTATTTTACATTTATAGGTATTTTCAGATCTATCAGTTTGATGACACAGTCTGTCATATCGTGTTATTTTGACACTAAAAGTATTCCATAATTAGAATACCACACAGCACGACCACTGTCGCCTTTCTTGGGTGAGCATCAACTCAATTACAGTACAGTACAGTACAGTATTATCATTCATTGCAGTGTGGCTCCACCCCACTTCGATTTAAGTTTTACACAAGCATGCGATGCTCTTTCTACTTCTGGGTCGTTGCAATTGAAGATAAGGGTAACTGTCACCACTTGCATGGTTGACACAGTTCACTACTTGTAAATGTTGTATGTGCATAAAGCTCACCTTGTACTATGAGATAGATAGATAGATAGATAGATAGATAGATAGATAGATAGATAGATAGATAGATAGATAGATAGATAGATAGACACCTTGAACTGGTCACCAGAGCACCAAGAGGGAAATCAATCACATGTATGGACAATTTAGAGGCTTCGGTTAATCCACCATACCATACATGTTTTTGGAATGGGGGAGAAAATTGGAGTACCTAGAAGAAACCCAAGCAAACACAGGGAGAACATTAAACTCCACACAGGAATGTCAGGGCTAGGGTTTCAACTCATGACCTCTGAATTGTGAGGCTGGTATGCCGACCAGTCACCCAGCATTCCTAATCATGAACTGGTCAATACATTTCAATGACATCCTCTTCTTTGCTTTTCTTTGACTACGTACCAGCTCCTGATGACCCTTTCTGAAGCTATCAACGAGGATCAATAAATGTTATGCGATGCGTGGCTCTCATAAAAAATTTAACAAACGACTGCTTAAATAAAAATTCTAATTGAAATATAAAATGCATTGGTCGATTTATGGCTTAAACACCTCATATACATATTGCTATTCAACTCCATGTTATACAACAGCAAGTACTGCATAAAGTACAGAAATGTAGTGCACGTTAAGAGAAGGTCAAATTAAGTTCACTTTACAGGTTGTAGTGCATTTTAAATTCATCTTGACATATCACGTTCATCATTTCACTTTTTGTAATAAGTGTGTGTGGACTTGATGTGTTTCTTAGATGAGATTAATATTTACTCCAACTTAGCTAACAATTTGCCGCAAACAATTAAACCACACACTTTTTGTATTGTTTTTGTCAACCTGCAAAGCGTTTTCACTTGCAGGACCAGCCAGGTACACGATAATTACGTAATTCAGGTGACTGACATTGGAGAGGCGTGCGCGTATGCGTGCGCACGCGCGCCTGTGTGTGAATGGAACAGGTCTTTTTTTTTCTTTTTTTAGTTGAGGAAGAAGAACGTTGAAACGGTAATGAGAGACGCGGCCGGATGGGGCATCAAGTTATATCTTGAATATGGCTGACCAGGGCCCCCTTTTAACATCGTGTGTTATTTTTTACTTGTCGATTGGGGCTGCGATATTTCAAATTCTTGAGGAGCCAAACTGGGAATTGGCAAGGAGCAAATATGTTCTTCAAAAAGAACAGATTTTGGAGAAGTACCCCTGCCTTCGGAAAGAGGATCTGGAAGAAATTCTTGGGGTATGAATTTATTAACCATACAAGTCGATATTCGCGCAACAGTTGGTCGGTTCCGATTTGTGATTAAACAGGAAATCCCACCCCTAGTACGTTTAAGATTGACGAGGCTGCACAGCGCAGTATTTCAGTTTTTCCATTCGTCTCAGAAATATTCTTCCTTGTTGAGTTAGAAAGCACTAAAAAAGTGATCCATAACAAAAAGCTCATTTTGTCATACATGTGTTTCGACGAGGAAAAAGCGTGACGGGATTTAAAATACTCTCCACACGGGCAGTAAGCATGAACCAACACGTCTTTTTCAAATGTTGGAATGTTGGCACAAGGTGTGTCTCGTCTTCAATGGCTCAACAAGTGTTTTTATTAAGTTACAAAACGTCACAGTATCGATGTTTTTATTCGTGTATTTTATTCAACTAAACTTGTACATCTAATGGATGCCAATGTAACATCTGTCAAAAAAAACCGCCTTTTTACTAAAACGTTGAAACTTCGAGAGTAATTCAACTAACAATGATTATTGTTGTGGTTTGCAATGACGTAAACGTTTTATATTAACGCATTATACTGTCTCCATTTAGTAGCCCAAATATTGCCAATGTCAGTACGTACAGCCAGGTACACTGACAACAACATCTGTCTCACAGTTCTTAAATTTATGGTGACAATCTGTACTTACTTCATATTCGTCATACTTGTGACTCTTCAGCTTTCGGCTTGCTTCAAATTATCCATTGTGATTGTAAAAGTTTCATTTGTCTATGTGTGCCCTGCAATCCGTTGGCAAACAGTCCAGGGTGCGATGAGGTCAAGCATTATACCTGTAGAAAATGGATGAATTGGTGAGGTCCTTATTAATGAGTGTATTCTTTATTACACCTTCCAGGTAGCGTCAGAGGCTGCAGGTCAAGGTGTGATCATCACTGGGGACAAACATTACAACATGTGGGACTGGGGTAATTCTGTCATCTTTGCAGCGACTGTTGTCACAACAATAGGTGTGTGTGTTATTTCAACTAAAAATGCCCATGCACTTGAAATACGAATTGAAATAATAAAACATTGATTTTGTATATACGGCAGATGGAAGAGTTCTTTTTAGTCACAGTTATTCAGATACAGGTATATTAAAGTATAGCACTAAAAGTAAGAAGGAAGTAAGACTCTGGGCTAACTTGCTTGTCAAACTAGATAGTTTTCATATGGAAGTGAGATTTTTTACACCAACGTGGAAAGTAGTTGTTTCATTGGACGTGGGTGCAAAACTGTTTGGGATATATTTACCATCCAATACTGTAGGTTCTGACATGCTATGTGAGCATCCCAAATCACAATGCAATGAGCCTTAGATACGTTAATTACCGGTAAGTAGCCAACACAAAAAAATATCAAGAGGTCAAAGGTCTCCTGACTGGCTTCCACATTGCATTGAATATGCCCCTTATGCGTTTAATAAAAATAAAGAATTGAAAATCAAGCTAGCTGACTTTGGGCGAGAGGCAGTGTATACACCGGACCTTTCACAGTCAATTACAGGCACACTCAGACAAGCTGCCCTGCGATTGGCTGGCAACCGGTCCAGGGTGTTCCCTGCCTACTGCCCGAAGATGGCTGGGATAAGCTCCAGCACCTCCCACGACCCTTGTGAGGACAAAGCGGATCGGAAAATGGATGGATGGATTCAGACAAGCGACAATTTACACTTGCATTCACACTAGTGGGCTCTTTAGAATCTTCAATTAACATATCATGGATTTCTTTTTAATGTACCATGCAAGGGTGAACAAGGGAGCACATACAACCGGGCCGACATCAAGAAAACTAAGAACCTCAGATCTGTGAGGCAGATGTGCTAACCACTTGAGTTCTGTACTGCCCTACAATATTTCACTGGTTCTTATTGTAGTATGTGATTATTATTCAAATAACCTACGTATGATGAGGAAATTATTTATTTTCCCTTGAAGAAATACAAACATGTAGGATAGTTGAATTTGCTACACATCCTCCACAACAAGGCATTTGTGTTATTGTTGTATTCTATAGGTTATGGTAATGTCGCCCCAAAGACTAGTGGAGGTCGAATCTTCTGCATCCTGTATGGTCTGTGCGGCATCCCGCTGTGTCTGGTATGGTTAAGTAAGCTGGGTTCATTCTTTGGAGACCGGGCAAAACGTCTCTCCCAGATCCTCATCCGCAAAAACGTGCCAGTGGTAAGACTTAACACATAAAGTATGGAAACCATGTAAAATTACTTTAAAAAAAAAAACAATAAAACTTTTTTTTTTTTTTTTAAATCAGAAACGTGTTCAGCTTATCTGCACAGCTATATTCCTGTTATGGGGGCTCTTCGTGCACTTGGTTTTCCCTCCACTTGTCTTCATGTCCCTGGAAGGATGGAGCTACTTGGAAGGCCTCTACTTTTCTTTCATCACCCTCACAACTGTCGGCTTTGGAGATTACGTGGCAGGTTGAACGTCAGATCTACGTCGATTCCTCTCTGTTGTACATGACATTCTTGTATTTACCACACGCACATTCATTTCAGGTGTGAATCCCAATATCGACTACCCCAGGCTGTACAAAGTATTTGCGGAGATATGGATCTACATGGGCCTGGCGTGGCTGTCTCTGTTCTTCAGCTGGAATGTAAACATGGTCGTGGAGGCTCACAAGGTGTTGAAGAAAAGACGACAAAAACGCCGACCCTTCTATGATGAAGAACCGAACCACGAAGAGGTCACGCCCAAGTCGGATGGGGCCAAGCTGTCTGTCATTGACATTTTTGGCTTCTTATCGGACAAAGAGGAAGACTATAGCACTGTCATCAAGGAAATTGGAATGACCGCAAAACCAAGTTCCATAGACGTTTTCAATCGCTCCAAGAGCTGCAGCGACATCGTTACCACCAACATCGAGATGCTGGATCACTCGCCACGACACAGATGTCTGATGAGCATCAGTGAAGTGTTTATGAACCCCAAGGATGACAAATGCCAAGGCAAAGAGAGTCAGTCGTGTCTCCAAGAAAATTCTACGACAACAGAACCAGCGGAGGGCGCGAGAACCGATGACGCACTCGACAAAGTCAGCGGTAAAAACGATTCACCAAACGATGGCATAATATTTCCTGTGCCAGCCTCTGGAAGCACACAGGAAGAAATTGCACCGTCAAGTGATGCTGTGACTCGGTTTACGATTTCTAAAGTCGTAGAGGAAGATGTTTTACTTGATAAGGATGAAAAGGGGTAAAGGTTATTATCATAAGGCACTACATGGACAAAAATATTGTCATTATAACAGAGACAATGTGCAGTTGGTCATTGTCTCCGCTCTGGTTGATCCCAACAGTGCTTGATGGAGTTGAGGTCGGGGCTCACATTTTTCTTCACCACATTAATGATAAACCTGCCACGTCATCTTCTGTTACATTTCATTGCCAAGTGATACTCGGGACTTTATTTGCAATGTGTTTCACAATTTCTGTCATTTATTTGTTTTGTCTTCATTCGCTCCAAACTGTGTGGTTGAATCTCAGGCTAATCGACATGCAGTACCATCAATATGTCTTTTTACAGGCACCCTTGAATTCAAATTAAATCGTTCAAATTCCCATTTCTTTATTCATTCATTTTTCCAAGTCTCCTTTTTTTCTGAGATCACATTTCCATTCCTAATCTAAATCACAACATAAAGCCTTATGAAACACGGATCCAATGAGCAGTTTGCCTCCATAGATTGTCGCTACAGATGAGCCCATAATCACGTGACCGTCATCGGCATACACTTGAGTCACCACTGGCTCCTCTGAGAGAATGTTTTGAATGCGGATGACCTGGAGGACACGGCATCATGGGAAGTACGATGAAATAAGGGAAAAAAAGCGAATTGGGTTTGAGTGACCACACATCCCAATCACGTTGACAAATAAAACAAGGGTGTCGAGACAAACCTCTGATCCAGGTGGATTTTTCGGGTCAAATTGGAAAATTCTCACTAGGTTGATGTGACAGCCTAACCACAGGTCACCTGTTTTTGGGTCGACTTCGATGTTGTCACAGAGTGAGCCCAAAGCCACGGACTGGTGAAAATGTAGGAGATAAAAGTAGAATGAAATGTTTTTTTGTTGTTTTTTTTTTTTTTAATCACAGGGCATTCCCTAATTTCCTTTCATGTAACAATGATTGCTCAGAATACATGCGTACAAGTACTTTTTGTTTGACTTTACCTTGACGAAGGCCAATGCATTGTCCTCTTTCCGCTCCAACACATGCACATTATGGGCAAGGATATCAGCCACATATATATGTCTATTCATGTCATATAAAAAAATAAATAAATAAATAAATAAAAAAACATGTAGATATTCGTCTCTCAATCATGCAACTTCTAAAGAACTCACCAACCTTTTGTCGGGTGAAACGTTGATGCCATTTGCAAAGTAATACCCATCAGAGACCACTTTGACCATCTCTGTACTGTAATACACAACGTTACTCAAAGGTTGTGCCAGAAGAGGCTCCACAATACTTTTCAGCAGTACATCTGAAAAATAATGATCATTGGTGGCATAGAATCGATCCACTCCTAAAGCCACAATATCATTCACACTAGTGGGGGGAAAAAAAAGAGAAAAATGTTACTGACTATAAGTGATATAATGAACATGATTGAGTTTTGTCGAGTTAAGTTATAAACATGAAATGTAGCGTTAGAATACCTGTGAAGAAGTTTATGTTTGAAGGTCTTCAGATGCGACAGGGAGAATCCCCTCTCAACAAATTCAAACAACTCAACTTGGTTTCCGTAATGAGGATGATTCACAACAAACAAGTAGACTGTGCCATCTGAAAATGATGAAGGGGAAAAAGAATGAGCGACAATTCTTTTGTCATTTGTATATATTTAACCCTATCAGGGACAGCGGTTACTACAGTGAACAACTTAGCGCGTTATCAGGTTACAGGGTGCATGAAAGGGTTAAAAAAAAGGGGCAGTCATGCAGTGATTTCAATATCAAACAACAGCTAAAGATCATAAGGATATACTAAACGGTAAAAGAAACTCATTCATTCCATCGCATAGTGATAAATTTAACACTTCAATGTTCTTCATTTGTTCTGTAGAGTTTGTCAGAATATTGGCAGGTCCAATAGCAGACTGTCTCCGAATAGGTTTGTCCATATACTCAACAAAGCTGCATGTTAAGTGGTTAAAAAAAAAAAAATCTATTGTTGTATTGTCAAATAAATTGTCTTCACGGTTTTGCAAAAAGACAATGAATGCAATTCAAAGCAGAACTGCTCATACTGGTTGGCTCTGTGTAGACACTGATGCCATGAGGGTTGAACGTCTCCGGGTCAAAGTTCCCTGATATGGGCATCTCCACGGGTTCCATGTCAGGCTCCTTCAGATTGAGGAGGAAGATCTTACCAGGATCATCGGAGGATGGCAACCGAGGGTACTTTAAACCCTGTGAATATTGAAAATATACAGGGAGACATCATCAATTTACATCATTTCAACTCCCAGCTGCAGAGAATTGAAACCTGCGTCGTGTTCACTCCTGAGGACAAATTCATTCGTTTTTGCCAAGACCTTTAAAAATGAATGAGTGCATAGATAAAGGTGTGGCCAATATTGTGTTTTCTGGTTACGTTATGCCAGTTCCTTGCAAAAGTTACCGCTTCTAAGGGTTAGAGTGTGATTAGTCTGCACTCCCCATACAAGTGTTCTGCTGTGCGACTTGTTGGGTCAATGTAGAAGGTGCGCCCATTAATGCAAGGCAGGTGGTGAGAAACTGATGTGGCGCCAAATGCATGTGGTTATCGTTATGTATGTGATGTGCTCTGTTGGTCAATTGGAGTACCCCACAGACTATAAGAGCAGTAATTACACAGATGCCATTTTTTTTCCTTATGTCTGTGTAGATTAAAAAAAAAAAGTCAGTCAAGCTTTACTGTCTCGATAGAGGAGTTTGGTGAACAACTGCGGCTGTTCCCCCACGTGAGCAAAATTGTCACCGTCTAAGCATGTCCCCCGAAGCCCCTTTAAAGATCCAGGCGTCAAATTACACATTATAGGACATTGAGTTGATATCAGAAAGCAATTGCGCTGATATCAACATGGCTTGGCACCTGGAATGGTTCAAATAAGGACACTGACTTGCAGTACAATCAAGACTGGGGTCACTCTGGTGTTGTGCATTCGGTGGGAGTGGGTCAAAGCCCAGTTTATGTGACTGCAAAGTCGGATTTTAGTTGTAGGTTCTCTTTATAGTCTAATACTGTGGTTGTAATGTATTTATTTATTTTTTTTAGGCAGTACTCAAAAAAATTTAAAACTTTCAAAACTTGGCTTTTCATGTACCACCATAATAAAATAAAAAAAAGAAACAGTCACATACTCGGTTCAAGTATTCATAAAATCAAGGCAGATGTTGTAGTGTATTTCTAAAAGCTGTTGAATGTTATTGGAAGCCATTTTAACATTGTGCACAATTTTAACATTAAACAAATTATTGCACTGGAAGTACTGTGCTTACATGGTTGAATTATGTTTTGTACAGAGAAGTTCAACTAAAAATTGTACATAAATGCTTGACAGCGAACACCTCTAATTAAATAAATGCCAATGTATTGTCATTGAAAGGCAAGTACAACTGAACTGTACTTAACAAATGTACAGTGAGTACAATTGTAACGTTTAAGCCATTGTAACCTGATGCAGTTTGAATATTTAACTCCGTGATTCTTTTGCATATCACTAAAGGGAGGCCGTGAACCACGAGTGATAATCCGTACCACACTTTGAAAAACCACAGCACTGAAGAAAAAAAAATGCTTGACTTAAGCTGAACATGTACATCGGTCACAATTGATTGAAATGTATTAAATTAACATTTTTTAAAATCCCCCATTATGGTCGACAGACCAGGATCTTTCTGAGACTGGGTCCAAACATATTTCTTGGTCCTCAACCATGATCAGCTTGCTCTCCAGAGGCAGAAGACCAGCCCCAGGTCATGTGCAACATTTGTTTTTCATTTATTTGTATAAAAGTTGATGCTGTTCGACCATTAAAAGGACAGTTGATGAAAAACGCGAATGACACGTACATGCTAATCAGGACAAGACAAGAGAGAGGTGAACATTACACCAGTGCAACTTACAGTGCTGATAAAAGCGAGTCCATCCCCAAAGACAGTTATGTCCTCTGTACCATTATCTGGAAAAAAAATATTTAAATGAATGCTTACGGAATACGCAAATGTTCGTGTTCACGTGATCTTACTCAGATTCTTCAGCAGTACACAATTTGGGAGGTGATTGTTGACAGGTTGTCGAGACGCAAGGTACATTTCCCTACAATGTTTGCGAAGGAGATGTCAGTGACGGTGCAGAACTGTAGAAAAATACAAACGTAAAGTAGGCTAAAGCTGAAGTGAACGTTGCTTACCTCACCCTGACCATCCTCGAGCCAAACAGCATGTAAAAAAGTGTTACAGCCACTGAGACCAAGCCGAGTGTTTCCATGTTTAAATCGCACAGCACACTGTGCGGCAAAAGACACCTAACTATTTATCCTCAGTCGGATAAATAGCACTGAGCTCACCCGAGAAAATCTGAACGAGAGAGAGACTAAATAAACCGGGGAATTAATGACCCCTGGTTTATCTGATGCACGGAATCTAAATCTGTTGTCTTCCAAGGGCTGTCTTAAAAAGAATAACCACTTTCCGCAGGTCCAACACAATGGAAATTGAGAGTTAATCGTCAGAGGACATCAACATGGGATCGAAGTTATGCTTTGTCAATGCAATGCTACACACTGGAAATCGCCAAATAAAAAAATAAATAAAAAATCAATAATGATACCCAGTAGCCGATGTCAAAGGTCCCTTTCATTTTGTGATGCAGCTTTAAAAGGAGTCGCTTGTTTGGCTTCCTTCCGTCATGACAGACAACTATTTTTGGTTTTATTTTAAAATGCCAGTTTTTGCAAGTGTACCGGAGAACAATTAAGTGTAACACGGTGGCCGAGAGGAGCAAACGCACTGCAAACGGCCGAACGCTGCAAACACAGGAATTATGCTGCATCAAACAACAACAAAGATGCAAATAAGACAAACATACGTGCAAACTAAAAACACACAAACCAACTGTGAAACAAAAACGCTGTAAAAAATATACTGCATTACGGACAAACGAGGAACGATGCAGACAAAAAAAAAATAAACACATAAATGCTGATAAAAACACAAATGCAACAAAGAAATGCTGCAGTCACACCAACAACGTGGAAGCAAATATTACAAACCACAAAACAATAAAAAGAAAAACGCTGCGGAAACACACTTTTATCTCAAAAACGGAAAAAAAAAAAAAACGATGCCAGTTTACTCCCGGCCACGAAGGGGCATTGCAGGAGCACTCTTGTGAGACCAACCAGATCCTCTGGAAAAACAAGAGCGGGATTGTCTGATTAGTAGGTAGGTACAGTATTGTAATTGGCCATTTTTGGGAGAAAATAAAAACGGTACGGAGGTACAGGGTTCAATTCCAGCTGCGGCCTCCACTTACAAAAATCCCAAAGTAGTGTCTTCATAACAAATGTTACATTTTAGTAAAGCATAAAAAGAAAGGACTATGTCCATGTGTTCAAAGTATATTAAAATTGTGTGTGTGCTAGAAGACTGAAAATTTCCTTCAGTTGCCCCGCCCCCCACTTCCCCCACAGTCTTCCTTCAGGAAACGCATGCAATTTCTGCTTCGCTTACTTCAACGACTCCCGTCTGGAATTTATGGGGATATCATAAGCAACAGTGCTGCACCAAATTTCATTTAAAACCTTTTATTTCTGCACGTTCTGATTTTATGGCACAAAATATGAACAAATACATATTTAGTGTTTGAACGTACAATATCGTGTAGGCTTATTCATCTATCGGAAAAATAGTTTCTATAGCATTTGCGGGTGCATAAGATGAAATCCATCCAAGTAGAATTTGGGTGAGATAGACTCGTCGCCAAACGCACAGCAAAAAGTTTAGTCACCTTTATGTTTACCAACACTAAAAATGAATGTACAGTAATGTTGCCTTACTGGGCTCAAATACAGATTTCCAAAGAGAGACCTAAGTGCAATATTGGGGGAAGAACAGTGCCAAAGACTTGCTTTACTTTCAATTAGTGTTTCCAGCGGTTTTGTGAAATGTACACATCATCGCCTAGTCCAAATCACAGCATAAAGCCTTATGAAATATTGATCCAATGAGCAGTTTCCCTCCATACGTCGTAGCGACAGAGGAGCCCATAATCTTGTGACCATCATCGGCAAACACCTGCGTCACCAGTGGCTCTTCCGAATGAATGTTCTTAATGTAGATGACCTAGATGACACAACATCACAGCAGATACGATGAGTGACAAAGCTACATCAGAGTTGATGAATGGAAAAATTGCATTGTGATATTTGGATGTGGCAGTGGTTCGTATTGTGGGTGAGTCTTTGCAAACCTCTGATCCAGGTGGATCTTTAAGGTCATTGTTCAAAACTTTCCATCCGTTGGGGTGGCAGCCTAACCACAGGTCACCTGTTTTGGCGTCGACTTCGATGTTGTCACAGAGTGAACCCACATCCACGGCCTGGTGGCATCGTAAGACATTATCATTCGGTTTGTCTACATGGTCTTCCTCAAGTATTTGACTTATGTAAAATATTTCTCCAAAGTTAAAATGAATCATCAGTATTAATTACAAATGAGATATTTTTTCTCTATTTTGAAATGATTTACCTTGACAAAGTCCAATGCGTGGTCTTCCTTCATTTCTAACACATGCACTTTATGGTCAAGTAAATCCATCACATATACATACCTATTCATGACAACAAAAAAATGATTAATCCATGAAATGGTTTGTTTCAAGACATTGTGGGGGACCAAATCTTGTGAAAAAATCGCCCACCTTTTGTCCGGAGAGATGTTGATGCCATTTGCAAAGTAATACCCCTCAGAGACAACTTTGACTGTCTCCGGACTGTAATACACAACATTAGTCCAAGGTTGACACATGACAGGCTCCACAATCGTTTTGAGGAGTTCATTTGAAAAATAGTGATCGTTGGTGACATAGAAACGATCCACTCCCAAAGCCAGTATATCATTGACACTAGAAAAACACAGAAGAAAAACAGTTCACAATAAACGGAGCAATACAGGATATAGGCATATACAGCGTTCCAAAATATTTGACGGTGTGTGAGATGTGAATATCTGAGTCGTAGGCAAACAAAATCAAAAAGGCTTTGTGTCGAAAAATAAACGATTCATGAAAATTCCAACAACATAAGTGATTTCACTAAATTGTAAAAAATGTTCAATAATTGCACCACATTTGCAAACGCCTCATCTTCACCTCATCACTGACCAAAAATGTCAAAACAAAGTGACCCGTTAGTTTTGTGCCCCCTGCCATCTAGTGGTATTGGTTCTGCCTGTCACTATTTGTCACTGGCATAGATCGACGAAAAAAGATTTTGTTGTAGTCAAATAATTTTCAGACCAATTTAGTGCAAGTGGATAATTTCAGCATGTTGTTTTTTTTTTTGTTTGCATGTTGGTTTGGGAATCACCAATTAATAAGCTGCCATCTTCTTATCTGCTTTATCCTCATACGGGTCACGGGGAGTGCTGGAGCCTATCCCAGCTGTCTTCGGGTAATAGGCGGGGGACACCCTGAACCGGTTGCCAGCCAATCGCAGGGCACACAGAGACAAACAACCATCCGCGCTCTCACTCACACCGTGGGACAATTTAGAGTGTTCACTCAGCCTGCCGTGCATGTTTTTGGAATGTGCGAGTAAACCGGAGTACCCGGAGAAAACCTACACAGGCGCGGGGAGAACATGCAAACTCCGCACAGGAAGGCTGGAGTCGGGATCGAACCCACGACCTCTGCACTGCGAGGTTGACGCGCTAACCACTTTACCAATGGGTCACCATCAAAAATACAAAAGTGGAACCACTAAAATCAAATGACTGTGTGGTTGTAGGTCCAAGAAAAAAACACCTCCCAAGTCATGCAAATTAACTCGGAGTTCACCCTCATGTCTCATATCATGCAAGACATTACCAAGAGTCGTTTTTATTTGTGAGAGGTGTAATCATATTTTTACACTTGTTTGACAGCTAATAGTTACTTAAAACTTTGCCTGTGCAGTTATTAAAGTTTTCGCAGTGGCGACAGTTTGACCTATACGTATAGATTAGAACATAAGTAGCAAAATTACCCATGAGGAAAAAAATTAGGAGATCAACTGACATCAGAGAGTTTGGCTTGACCTTAGATGTTTCACGGTCATTCAAGTTCAAAATGAAGAAATAATTTCAAAGCAAATTACGTTGCCTTGAGAAGTGCACCTGTTAAGAAGTTCATGTTTGAAGGTCTTCAGATGCATCAGCGACAATTCCTCCTCGACAAATTTAAACAACTCGACTTGGCTTTTGTGGTGAGGATGACTAACAACAAAAAGGTACACCGTGTCATCTGAAAAACAACAAGACCAACAAAGCACTGTGTTAAAAACAACTTGTAGCAGCATTTTTGTGTCTAAAAGAGGGAGGACAGACGCTGCTTCATATGCCTTCTTGACATTCAGCTGGCATTATGTGGTGTTACTTTGGGGGCAATTCTTGAAATGAATTGTGTTTCGACATTGTACCAAGATGTATATTTAAACACAGATTAGTTAATAGAACAGACACACCCAGGGTAAGGTTTTGCAAATGCTTGCATAGGTAACAGGTTTGTACGCATGCTTAGCGTATTGACTCTCATACCAACGTTTTGAAAAAAGAAAAAAAAAATACAACAACAACAAAAATCCTCAATTGTTATTGCACTCAAGGTGAATATTTTTTAACTTCATGAACTCAATGTTGAACAGCTCATACCATTTGGGTCTGTGTAGACGCTGATGCCGTGAGGGTTGAACGTCTCCAGGTCAAAGTTTCTCGCCATGCGCAGCTCGATCGGCCTCACCCGAGACTCTTTCAGATCGAGGAGGAAGATCTTCCCTGGAGCATCGGAAGAGCAAATTCCGGGGTACTTTAGACCCTGTGAACAGAAAGATTGCAGACAACAATGATGTTCAACTTGTTGTTGTTGCAAATATGATCAAGGACATAAGCCAACACACTTTGTACTTTTCACAAACATGCGTAGGCATAATAATTGATTAAATTAGTATTTGTTAGCACATATTTTTTAGTGTGTGGAATTGATAGTTGATTCTGTGTGTCCAGCAGGCATTATATCAAGGTAGAATAACAGGCAAAGCCAGGTCATATTGCTTTTGTTTCCTTTAACGGGGCTTTTTTCAAGCAATGCTTGCAGACAGTAGAATTTCTGTCAATAGTTTTCACTCCCCCATTCCCCCATTTCACTGTTGCCCTCTGTAGTCACGCTTCACAACATTTATTAATGCAGTGCTTTGATAAGTAGGCACCACGATTGTGCAAACTTTAGAAACATATAGTAAATTAAAATAATCCGAAACTCATAGTGGTTCAAACACTTACATTGCTGACAAAAGCGAGTCCATCCCCAAAGACAGTGATGTCCTCTGAACCGTCATCTGCGAATGCATATTTATTAACATTCACAATGTATTTATGTATTTCTTGTGGAATAATATAATGAGCCCGCTTACTCAGATTCTTCAGTGGAACACAATTGGGGAGGTGATTGTTGACCAGCTCTCGTGAAGCGAAGGTCCTCTTCCTTTTATTTCCGAATGAAAAATTCAGAAAGACCACAAGACACATGTGTGTGACTGATTGGAATTGCGTGGGAAATAAATATATTTTACCTTAAATTGACTATCCTCTCCCCAAGTAGCACAGATACCGCCGCTACAACAAGTGCGACGAGGCCACACTTGCCCATGTTCAAGAGCCCGCAGGATCAGCAAAGTGCTGCAAAACTGAGTAAACTTTTCGACGCACGACTACAAGCAGACGGGGCGTGCCCGCCTGCCTCGGGGGAGCGGACGAGAGATCGCCTCTAACGTCTGTTTGGGGACAGACGTGGACGCAGCGAAATGACAAATTGGAATGCTTAATTCTATTTCATATTTATAAACAGATGTGCACATTTAGAGTGGATTGCTGTACTTGGCCACGCGGTGTCATCACGAGTCAACAGTCTCTTTTCTTCGTGAAAATGCTAATATAATTTCCTACATGTTATGAGCACTTGAATGCAGCATGAACTCTAACAGGAAACCGGAAACTCAAAATCTACGCGCATAATTTCATTTTTGATCATTTGAAAAAACTTCTTCCTTTTAGCGTTACTGCAACTGAGAAAGAAGGCATTTTTCGCTGTAAATTAATTGAAATGAAGGCATGGATATGGATCTAACGTATGAAATCAAGACAATACAGAGAAAAAACAGCGGTGGCGAAATACTGTACTGGTGAAAAAGTCCTGTTTACGACGGCCTCGACATTACGAACAGCGCACGGCAAAAGAAATCGCCGTATATACTTACATTCTATTTATTTAGAAATATTGCTTCATATAAATGCACGCAATGATTACAAAAGAACTGTACAGCGTGTGCGTAGACGATTGATAGACTATTACGTACTACCTGTTTGCGTTACGTCGACGTGAAACGAAGCTTACTGGTAAGTACGAGACTGCAAAGCCGTCGTAACTCGAGGACCAGCTGGCTGATTGAGTTTTGATTGTTATACAGTATTTTGAAGAAAAGCTATATTGTCATGTTAGATTGCGATTTGGCAGTCTCCAAAACAGTTTGGAATGCCTTTGACAAAGAAAATTAAAATTCTGCAGGATAAAGTTTGGACACACCTGCCGCTGCTATTGAGTGAAGGTCTATTTGACCGGCACTTCTCTTAAAAAGTTGACTTACTGTTTTGCTTTTAAACTGCAAATGCTAGGGTGCTGAAATAAATGGCAATAATCACCAGATCTGTGAAATATTGAAGCACGATTAGGGGAGCGTTAAATTCAAAAGACGGTGCCTGCAAATCCCTGTTTAAACTGTTTATTTTTTGAAGTTGTTTTCTGAAGGTGATGACTCTTCCCAGCATAAAACCAAAAGTTACAAAATTGTCTATGTCATCAAAATCATTTGTAAGAGACTTCATAAAAAAACAAACATGAACACATACATACACGTACAGAAGTGAACGCAACATGAAATTGGCAAACTATCGACCCTGTGATATTCAGCATTGGGTGCATGCAACCTGACAGTTACTGTAGAATATCTACAAAAGTCCAATTCTTGAATAATAGCAACTAACAACTTCAAACGACCGACAACTCCTGCACATGGCGATGTGTGTGTTGTGTGTGTGCACAGCACTGAGCACACCAGAGTCCTGACTGTCGCGTGAAGTCGTGGGGAGGTTCACAGTGTCGTACAGCAGGTTCCCGCATCAAAACAGTTTCAAGCAAGACTGTATATTTGGAACATACAAAATAAATTTTATTATCCATTCTCTTCATGTCTACATCTTATTAGAATTGTCAACACACCCAAATTAATTCTAATAATCCTGACAGGTGTAACAATACATGTTCTGTCAAGTCCAGGTGTCAAAATATAAATGAATGTGAAAAGCAATTTAAATCATCTTTGTTATTGTCGACATAAAAAGGGGAACCGTGGCGCGAGGGCCACAGTGAGAACTAGGCAGGATGTGGCCATGAGCACACACAAACACGGGACGAGGGGCAACAAGGATGGGAGGGGGTCCCTCAGGGCTGGGCCCCAGTGGCTGTAGGGACTTGTGTGGCCAGAGTGTTGGGGGCGGAGATGACTGGTGATCCAGCGATGTTCGCCAGCGGCTGTGAGGAGGTCATTGAGCTGATGCCTGGGACACACAAAGAAGCCTGCTTACTCGTAGGGGCTCGGACCACGGGGTCTATTCCGCATTGGGGATACGACAACCTACCAGCCATCATACTTGAGGAGCTGACTGGTGCTGAGCTGGCCGCCATCCCTCCAGGAGTGGCCCCCCTTCCCTGATCTCTGACGATGGGATCTAGAACGAAGGTGGAGTTCATGTCACAAGATGCAGCGAATACACGCGTATCCTGTTGAAGTCAGCTGACCCAAGTGATGCAGAACAGTCCAACAAAAAAAGCATACTAACAGAAGTATGGATGATCCATGGCCTCTTTGGCTGTCAGCCGGGCTTGATGGTCATAGCGCAGCAGTTTGTCCAGGAAGTCCAGAGCCTCTGTGCTTACCAGGTGCTGGTTCTCACTGTGTACAAACCTCTCCCACCTTTTACGAGAGTGTCTAAAGAAGGGGAACGCATAGAAAGGAAATACAAAAAAAAGGTCACGTTATACCAGAGGTACCCACATCCGGCCGCCCACTCGTAGACCCCCAACTGTTAAGGCTCTGCCACACTACACTCAGCACAGCGGCAACCGTGTTTTAGTTGGTTCAGCGAGTATATACCAGGACTTGTCGCCATGCCAACGACACACAAACAACTTGTTACTGAGTTGATCAGAGTTCCCAGGCATTTCAGGGAGTAGATGAGAAAGTAGATTAAAAAAGTAGCATCCATGTAAAAAAAAAATAAGAGCTTGATCACAGCAATTGCCACCCTGTCATCACTGAGGATCTTTGTTATGATCCTCAGTGAAGCACAAGCCCAAGTGTCTCACAAAAACCTCTCACAAAATGCAACAGCACTTAGTTCAGTGAAACAATGCAGTACACAGTATTGACAATTGGTAAGGTTGTCAATACTGAAATAGATGTTTTAAGATGCTATTTTTATTTTTAAGTTTCTGCTTTTACTATTTAATGTTTGCGGGATCGGCGCTTAAGTGTTTTCGAGGCATTTTAAGGATCTGCAGGAACACTGGAAATACTTAATTACCAGTACTTAACATTCACTCCCCCCCAAAACAAATACCCTGGAAAATAACCTGACATAAAATGACAATAGGAATGAGATGGTAAAAATCTTTAAGGACACCCTCTTTGGCTTACCTTCCCAAAATGTCATTGAACCGCGGATCCAATTCAATGTTGTACTTGTCAATGTAGTCATACAGGTCCTCCGTTCCTAGGACTTTTGCAATTCGCACAAGCTGCAAACAAATGGATAGGTCATTAACTGACAACTACTCAGATGAAAAGTGCATTGTATGGCAAGGCCCGCTGTCGCCTTACCTGATCGTAGTTGTCGTGACCGTGAAAGAAAGGTTCCTTTCGGAAGATCATGCTGGCCAACATGCAGCCCAAACTCCACATGTCAAGACTGTAATCGTACATCTGCAGAGAACAAGAGAAGGGTCAAGGTTTTCAATGATTCGGCCCCCCACAAAAAACAAACACTAAAGACCATTATGGTGCTCCTCACCTGGTAATCTACCAGTAGTTCAGGTCCTTTGAAGTACCTGGAGGCCACTCGCACGTTGTATTCCTGGTTCGGGTGGTAGAACTCAGCCAATCCCCAGTCGATTAAGCGGAGCTGAACATTTGCAACAAAACATATCAGAAATTAGTTAAACAAATACCATTGAATTGAGTCCATTTTTTCATCAAAGTGAGCCAGTACCTTTCTGTGTTCGTGGTCGATCATTACATTGTGTGGCTTCACATCTCTGTGCATAATGCCCATACTATGGCAGTAATCCAGAGCCTAAATAACAGCAATGTAACCTGTCAATATTACATCGACACAGTGCTAAAAAACTAAATCAATCACGCCACCATCTTGCAACTTACCTTTAAGATTTCATACATGTAAAACCGTATGTCAAAGTCAGATAGGGTTTGATACAATTGCTGTAAAAAAAAAAGAGAAAAACCCATTCAGATTTGGTATCAGGTGATTGTTGTGCTCTTGAATGAGATGAAAAGCCAGTGGAGCCATACCTTGAAGTCTGTGTTGTTCACATGTTCAAAAACCAGAGCAGGGGTACGGGACTGCGAAGAGAAAAAACAGTGCAAAGTGAATACATGCGCGTCATGGTCCATGAAATGTTAGCGTGCCTGAAATAACTATATATATATATATATATATATATATATATATATATATATATATATATATATATATATATATATATATATATATGTGTGTGTGTGTGTGTGTGTGTGTGTAACTTTTGGCACAATGGTGATTATTACTATTATTTCATAAAATAGGAGTTATTTTGGTGGCTAATTTTCCAATCCGAAAGCAACACAAAAGCACACGAAAGCACCTCTTTCCCAAATACGCTTGTCAGGCATCCCGCTGGCTGCTCGAGGAAGGGGCCGCGTGTTTAGTCTGCAGGGGCACTACTGGAGTGGCGCACTCTATCTTCTTCGTAAAAGATTGAGGACCCAATGGCTTTTTTTAGGAGTGAGTTTGTGAGCAGGAATGCTCAGAGATGAGTGAATGGAGGAAAACACCTCTTGAGGGGCGCTTTTGGTGAGCAATTAGCATTTTAACATAACTCAAAGCTCAAAAAAAGTTGACTTTGCATCATCGACCATTTAAAGTACCTAATTTGAGCCACCAACAAAGTATGCACTCACTGTGTGCTTTCATTTTCCCCTTGGTGACACTTTCTAATGGAAAGATCGTTCAAGAGAACATTACCCAGTGTAGTTATGGGGAAGTATGCAAAGGTGTCTAAATCAGGATATGCCCAGAGTAAAAATCGAGCCAAATCTGAACAATTTCCCTGCCTTGCATTCAAAGACCACAACGGTCGGATTTGCAGACAGCTTAGAAAGATGATCATGAGGGATGATCCTTTGGTGTTGGGTGTGTCAAGACTGATAGTTCCTCCTTGATCTGCTCAGAAAACTGTTGAGGTCAACAATCATAAATGTGAAATGTTCAATTATTACAAGTAGTTATGTGTGCTGGATATAGTCAGTTGAGCCACCGACTCAAGAAATTGTGAAATGAAATGACGGCTAATTAGCAAGCAGCATGAAAGCTCCACACTGTTGCTGGACACAAATAGCTGAGCAACTGTTTGTGTTGTTTTGTAGAACATGTTACGCGAGTAAAAATGATGAGTAGTAAACGAACCTGAAAAATCATCATGGGTCAAGTGAGAAATGATTCAGTTTATTAATTACATCTATCTTTGTTTCTCCATCTATTCCAGTGATGTTGGTTGGCAAAGCCGTTTGGGTGTTCAACACATGTCTGTGCTGATGGACTGCAACAGCTGTCTGATGTGTGCTGCCCACGTAAAGTAAAAGGGCTGACTTCCATTTACGTGTCTCTGATGTTCGAGCACACACAAACACAACAGCATGCGTGATACGTGAGCCGTGACTAATCAAAGTGCATCCCCCTGATTTGAAAATGGCGGCGCCCTGTAAAGTTGTCAGCGGTCACATTGAGGATAAATTTCTCTAAATCTGGCCAGGTGTTGCATCATCCAATTTCATGAATGATACAGAGGACAAAAATGACGTGACCACTCGTTTAATTGATGATGATGCTTCCAATTTTTTGAAATTGGACAATATTTCATACAAGCCAGTATAAGCTTAACTTCTACCACACCATGTGTGAAATTAATGACTGGAGAGCAGTAAGCTTAATTTTTATTTGTGTACATTTTATTTATCTATCAGTGTCGGTAATAAGTGTTTAAGAAGTCCAGTTCACGTTTACATATTAAATTTCATGAAACATTAAGTTGGATATGTTGAAGTGGTAAAGCTAGATTGCATTATGGGGGTGGGGGGGGGGTATTAATAAATATCTATGAATAGGTGACTCCATGGGTGTCAAACCTTGTGTATGCAGGGGTCCACAGTACATAATTCAGTTTACGACACACTTGTGTGGCAGAATTATGTTGTCGTGGAGAATATAAATTGCGGTGCAGCACGAATTGATTCGGCGTGGGAAGACGGACCTTTCTGCACCAGCGTCAATCACAGGTAAGCGGCGAAGCCGGAATACCCGCACGGATGGCTGAGAGGGAGGTTTCCCGCGGCTGGCAGCGTTCTCGCTGTCAGCCCTGCACCGGCTGCGGGGACCTAGGCACGTTGCCAGCCACCGCCCGATGCCAGCACCAGAAAGTCCACCCACCACACTCAACCAAAGAATGTTAGGAAGTGCAGGCATGGCTACAATATACTTCAGTCTCACTCGTTTCCAAAACCGGAAACATATTTTTAGCAGGCGTGAAAGCCTGCGTGAGCGGGTGACGTCATTACGTTGGTGTGCATGCACTGCTGTGCTCATGTGTGCCATGGAAAACCGCATTGTAAATGCAACTCTTCCACTCCCGCACAAATACAACTTTTACAAAGACGTACTTCGCAACCCAGACATGGTACTATTTAAATTCATGTGAATAGGTGCATCCCAACAAAAGTAACATATTTGGTACATTTGCCTTTATTTGTGTGTCCTATAATGTATAATTGATCTGACTTCAATTTTTTGAAAAAGCCTAAAGAATACACTGAATACTTTGAAAAAAAAATTGCATATTAAATTGATACTAAGGAAACAAACCACAATTAGAATATTTTCTAAATCGTTCTGCCCCAAGGTGCGTGTGTAAAGGTGGTCCTTGGTTTACGATGGTCCTGACATTCAAAGTTTTGAGGTTCTAAACAATGCGCAATGGAAAAGATTACTCACCAGTCATGTGAGTACACAACACAGGAAGGCATGGTCAGTTTCCACCATGCTTCAAGGTTTTTATGTTTTACATTTGTGGTCTAGCAGTGTTTTTCATTAACACATTCACTCTAATAATGGCTACACTACTGTGCAAGCATTGGTTAGAAACAGACTACAGCACATTCTGACTTCAGCACAAATTTTGATTACGTTGCCGCCATAGGAACGCAACTCCGTCGTACACCCACATACACCTCGTACAGAGAAAAAGTGAGTATACCGCTCTGCGGGTATATCATTGTTAGCTTCTTGCACTAGCCACCATATGCTTATCACTTGTGTTCGTGTACATGTGATAAGGACGATATGTGTGAGTAATATTTGAAGCACTGCATTAGTGGGTGACGATGTGAAAACAATTAAATGCAAATACATTGGGAATGCAGTGTTTTATCCCCTCTTCCCTTGTCACTGACGCTAAGTATATTTGCCATAATTTCATAATATAATAGTTAACTTTTATACTAAGGTGAGTTAAGCATGGTACAATATTAATTATCTTCAGTCCAGCAAATAAAGGTGTGATGATAGCAAAAGTTTGGATTGTCAAACCAATTAGTGTAAATTTCAGTGGGAAGTTTTGTTTTGGAAGCTGACCAAATTGAAAGTGTCACAACACATAAATGTGGACAGTATTGAGATGAGTGCAAATACATACCACGGGATCCTTGACAATATCTAACAGTGAGATGATATTTGGGCCGCCCCGGAGGTTCTCCAGGATCTTAATTTCTCTCTTGATTTTCTTTTTTTTCACCGGCTTTGAAAAGAGGAGAGGAACAATGTTGGAATTGTAAAACACTCACAACATATTTTGCTACAATACTTGTCCAGAACCTGATGCCTGCCATACCTTTAGTATTTTGACAACCACTTTTTCATTGTTTGTGATGTTTATAGCTTCAAAAACCTCGCTATATTTGCCTCGACCGAGTTTTCTGACTAGCTGATAGTCGTCCTGGTTTCTGTAAAGTGACAATGTAGAAATTATTGCCACAACCAACAAGCAAATATTTCACGGCGCACATATGCCTTACCCCCACTCAACAACGTGGGACTCATAATCCCAGTATTCCCGAGGTCTCTGTGTGTTTACATCGGGGTAAACTCGAGAGCGGCTTGGAACAGGGCCAGACATATTCCACAGAGAATCTTCTCGAAATGTCCTAAAATAAGACAAACAGCAACAAGATCGGGGAAGTGTACACTCCCTCAACAAGTACAGTAGAAGATTGCATCTACATATTTGGAATATTTTCTCACTGAGTAAAAGATGACAATACCTGGGAGGTTTCCTCCAGGAAGGTGATGACAGATGAATCTAAACGAGATTGGTTGAGAGGCCTCTAAAGTTTGAGAGCTACGCTGGCAAGCAGATATGACAAGACATATTTTAAAAGTATAGCAGACAATAGTGGAACCAATACACATAACAAGGAGTCACAAAAGAAGTTGGTCTCGAGTTTCCGTGAATGTAATTACATTATAAGGCTATAACATTATAAGTGGATGTGCAATACTGTAAAGTCAATTCACCTGGCTGTTAAATGGGGGCATCCAACCAGTTTAATCAGGACGTGCGGGGTTCAATACAGTCATCACTGGGGGCAACAACCACACAATACCTCCTGTAAGGGGGAGTTGGGGGGGGGGGGGCAAAGTAGGTTGATTCCAATCAATGCTGTCAATAAAGCAAACTAAGCTAACGCACGCCATCCATTATGGCTAATACGACTAAATATCTTTGATGTAGCCAAGCAATCAATCCACCCGAATGCTGTGATCAGATTTCAAAGAGCTTCGTGGGGATGTGGCTAATTTGCCCGCTTCAAGCTTTAACGAACGCGGCGGGTGCATGCCGGAACCCCTTTTTTAACGGCCTGTACAAGTGCAATGCAGCGAAGAAGCTAACGTTAGCTTAGCTCAGCTTCGCGGGGCAACCCGGCTAGCTGGCCGGGCTGCTAACAAGTTAGCATTAGCTCGTCAAGTGGAGAGGCTAAAGCCGGTTGCAAGTCACACTTAACAGAACATGCCAACGCCACAAGGGCGCGAGCTCGCGACAAATTCCATCTTTGGCACCGGGAGAGGCGAACCGCCGATTTCGATGATTATCGTTTATGTTTAGCCGAGCCACAAGCTTCGAAAAATATATTTCCTAGAGCTAAAAAGTGCTAAGCTAACAGGCTCATGGGGGAGTGAATAGCCTGTTTGGATGGCGAGGCTGACAACGCCTTAAAAACACACCCCGCAAACACGAATGTAGCCGCAGAGAGGTAGCGAGACTGCGCTACGTGGTCCCGGCTACCCTCCGAACGTGGAACGGTCAACGGCGGTTACAAACTAAGGACGATTCGTGGTTAAAAACCATTACCTCTCAGCGTTGCTGGGACATCAATATGGCGATGCTTGGGATCAGGAGCTTAGCTCGGGCGCCGTTGGCGGCAGGGGGCGCTCTCCCTTTTCTTTTTCCCAAGACTTTTTTGGGGACGCATCCGCCAACAACAGGTCACAATGAAGGTGAACATATTTCCTCTTGGCTACATAATTAGATATTTTTATCATGGATAACACACATCGTCATTTAACCAGTATTTCCCAAACCTTATTGAGGCAAGGTACCTATAAAAAGGTGAAAAAAAGTTTTAATGGTGAAATAATGATGAGCTCCCTTCAATTTCATTCCAAATTTTGGGTGAAATTTGGGCCTGTTCAGTTGATAATAAGTCAGAAATTTGGGCCTGTTCAGTTGATAATAAGTCAGGGATTCTCCAAATTTTGGGTGAAATTTGGGCCTGTTCAGTTGACCACAGAGCGGATGTACTCACAAGAATCCCTGACTTATTATCTTCTATAAATTGCAACATCCACAGGTTCTTTACACGTTCTGCCACCGAATGGAATAGCTTTTGCCTGTCACGACACTGGCACAGTTAACTGAACCAAGATATATTTATAATGAACTAATAATAATTTGGGGGCAAAAAAAATCCCACAGCACTCTTGATCTCTCACAACACTTTGGTTGGGAATCACCGCATTAAACCATTACAAATGCTCAAATAATGTCACTATCTCAGAGGTGGCAAAAGCACTCACAAGCTGTTAAGTGGAAGTGCAAATACTTGAGTTAAAAAAAAAGATTACTAGTTGACTGAAAACTAAATAGTCAATAAAAGTACAGACACCTGAAAGGTCTAGTTAAATAATTTCCCACCATTGGTGAATGTCCATTAAGTTACCTGTGAAGAAGACCTTTTGTTTTGGCAGTGGTCACATCTGTTTACAATCGTGACACTGGAGCTGTAACAAGGAGTAATATGCGGTTAGACGATACTTTAGTGAAAAAAAAAAAAAACAGCCAGGGGCATTTCCCCGATAATTATCCACATATGACCACTCGAGACAAGACATTTGATTGATACTGTGAATAGCGCTTTGTCAACTTTGCAAGCTCCCTTTGCCCAGTCAAGCCATGCACTGTCAAACAAAGACAATCGAGTCAGGTCAGAGTCTTTCATTAAAGGGCAAAGGCCTGCGGGAGTAGAACAAGATGCAGTCAATAAAAAGCCTCATTTGCAATTCTGACTCCTCACAGTGGCTGCTGGACACCGACGTCAACAATGAGGCTGTGAGTTTTCTTATATTAATGTTCTATTTCCAGCAGAACACGGCATTGAAAGGCACTTTCACAAACACTTTGAACTCTCACTATTTTCAGTGTCATATGTTGGCTGATGCTCCTTCCGCTTGCGACAGCAGCTCCAATCAGAGGTGAGCCAATTTGAGCATACAAGAAAGAGTTGTTCTTCCGCTATCTTGCAAATACATGAACTGTTTCTTGTGTGTGTTTATTATTATGATTTTTTTGTAGCTCGAAGAGAAAATGTGGTAACCTTTTTGAATGGTGAGAATATTCATGCCAGATTTTCACCATACAACAGTTATTGTTATTGTCTTCCTTTTATTTTATTTCACAGTATTTAGTATTATTCAGTATTTTGAATCGCCAGAACACAGTTAACGCTAAACATCAAATGTTCATCACTGCTGTTGTAGATGCGCTCAGCAAACCCACGAGAAAGACCGTACCTGCAATTGACACAGGTGTGTGATGCCGTGAGTAATCAACAGATGACTAGAATAAGGACAAATAATAACCGATGATAAGTAGGTCAAAAGAATTACACATACTGAGCAAAATCAAAACAGTATTGGCTTTATTATTTTTAGTTATGCCTGTGACATGATGGGACATGGCTTCTTTTTTTTTTTTAAATTATGAGTATATACGTCATCTGCTTTTGCAGCGCACAGAAACCCTCCAAGTGAAACAGAGAAAGAACAAGATTCTGAACAAGATTCGGCAGGTACTGTACTACATAAAAAAGCAGGTATAGAGTAAATTTGTTCTCTTTACAGATCAGTAGGAAGGTAATATTGAAAAAAAGTATACCATTGTTCACTTTACTGATGCATTATTATTATTATTTTTTTTTTTGCAACATTTATTCATAGACCTTTCCGAAGATCAGTCTTTTGAGAGTGCCAGCCAAGATACAATTGCAGGTGACGGTGTGTGGTAACAATTTTTTAAGACATGAGAAATGTTTAAAACAGTGTTCTACTCTGGATTTATGGCCAATTAGTTGTAACAATCATTAATATTGCAGAACCTGCAGTATCTGATTCAAGCCTTGGAGGGGAAAGCAAAGGTAGGAGGTTTAATAATAATAATGAAATAGTTATAAAGTATACTTATAATTTAACTCAAATTGGAAACTTCCCTTGAGAATGGAATTAACAAGGACATTCTAGTATGTGTAAAATACAAAATTGCAGGTTAATCTATAATAATGAACATCCACCCATCCATTTTCCTATCCGCTTATCCTCACAAGGGTCGCAGGCGTGCAGGAGGCTAGCTGTCTTCGGGCAATAGGCGGGTTGCACCCTAAACTGTTTCCCATTCAATGGCAGGGCACACACAGACAAACAACCATTCTCGCTCACTATCACACCTACGGACAATTTAAAGTGTTCCATTAACCTGCCATTCATGTTTTTGGAATGAGGGAGGAAACCGGAGTACCCCTAGAAAACCCACACAGGCACGGGGGGGGAACATGCGAACTCCACACAGGAAGGCCAGAGCCCAGATTCGAACCCTCAATCTCTGTATTGTGAGGTGGATGTGCAAACAATGAACATAAATGAAATAAATAAACATGGGAAAGTGAACTTAAAGATTCACCAAAAGTCTTAGTAATAAAACCAAATTAATTAACATACTTGAGTTTGTAGATGTGGTCTGAAATGAAACTGTTATAATATTTTAAAAAAAATCAACTGCAAATCATTGAGTGTCTAAGATTACTGGGAAGTTTCCAATCATATACAAGGAATTGTCTCAGTTGAGATACAATCATTATTGTAGTGTCGTTTCTACCTCGAGGGCTGGAAATCAATATTTTATCAATGCTTCCAAAGATCTTGACAGTGATGAGACTCCTCGAACAAAGGAAGAAGCTGAAGCTTCACCTGGCAGACAAATGGGAGCAATGCCTGTGAGCAGGAGACGAGTTCAAGATCAACAAAGTGGAGAAGATGCTGATTTGAACAATGAGGAGGAAGTTACTGATCGTGTGAACGTGCAGAGCATGGTGTCTGTCCAAGGCAGCAGTTTCCAGAGGAAAGAATCCGCTGAAGGAGCCCACTCGTTGGACACAAGCAGAGAACTGGCGGAGCGGCGCAGTTTGGAGATGACACCTGCTGCGGTCGTCCAAGAAAGAGACGATGACGGTGAGTTTAAATGCCATGGAAGACAATAGTGTGAAGAGTCTGAGTACTTTAACTCAATATTCCCTCGGAAACAAGAGAATTTGTCAATTCTGAAACAGCCATTCGATAAGTCGGTGTGCATTCTGACTACATCTAAGTCCTTGACATATTTTTAAATGTAACCTCTTGCCGTTTCATTTGCGTAAAAGTTGTTTGTTAATTAACGTTTGTAAATGCAGTGCTGAGTCGAATTGTTCCTTTATTTTGTTGACTCAGTCGCACCCGTCGGTTGATTCACAGTCAGGGGATCAGCTGATTCCAAATGTTACCCAAATTTAGATTTGTACTTCTTTGGCGCTTTTCAAGTCACCATGAGAGGAAAAAAAAAGTTCAAATTCAATAGAACATGTAATTTAAAATTGCGAATCACAAATAATACAGTGAAATTGTACATGTACAATTATGCAGAGATTTTCTGAAATATCCTATTCAGGCTCAGTGATGCAGGAAGTCGGAGCCTCTCCCAGCTGAGTTGGACAAAAGGCAGACTACACCCTGGACTGGTTGCCAGCCAATCACAGGGCACACCTGGAGACAGACAAGCATTCATGCTCACATTCACACGGTCACGCAGCGGGAACTGAACTGCAGGCCTACACGTGAACCAAATTTGATGACTTTTTATGGCTTTTTTTCTTCAAAAATTGGTTTGGGTGATTTTTCTTTATCTTAATAACTTGTGCGACAGTAGTCTTTAAAAAGGTGTACACATTTGCTAGTAGTACAAAGAATAGAGGAAGACAGAAGACAAGCAGTCTGGACAAAATGAACTTTTGATTCCTTCCTGTTTTGCCTACAAATGTCATGTATGCAAAAGTGTAAGCCAAGAGAACAGTTTCGATGATTTATTTTTTTTTTTACCTTGATACTTAACATGTTTTCAGTAATCTTTAATAAAATGCAACTTGCCTGAAAAATAAAAGCATAAGGGACAAAATGGTGCAAACCATTTTCATTTAGTGTCTGTCTTTAGTTACTTAATTATCATACAATGATATAATTTAGGTGGCACAGTGGCCGACTGGTTAGTACGTCCACCGCACAGTGTAGAGGTGAAGGTTCGATTCCGACTCCGGCCTTCCTGTGTGGAGTTAGCATGGTCTCCCTGTGCCTGCGTGGGTTTTCTCCGGGTACTCCGACTTCCTCGCACATTCCAAAAACATGCGTGGCAGGTTAATGTAACACTCTAAATTGTCCCAACGTGTGATTGTGAACGTGAATGCTTGTTTGTTTATATGTGCCCTGTAATTGGCTGGCAACCGGTTCAGGGTGTACTGCCCAAAGACAGCTTGAGCATGAGGATAGGCGGATGAGAAAATGAATGGACGGATAGATGGATGGATAATATTATTTGTTATCAATGAACCTTCGTTGTAGCACATATCATTTTATTCACGAGAGCAAAACAGGACATGAGATTTAGCAGTACACAATGGAACAATGCATAAAGTTAATGCAATGGAACATGGAACTGAAAAAGACCGGATTTCATTTCCTGAAGTGTTGAAGTTCACTGTACACATCTGATTGAATTCCATGCAACTCCTACAAAAGAAGAGCACATTAACATGCCATTCATTTCTTTTCTTTTGTTTTAATCTAAAAGAAAATGAAATTAGAATTGACACCTGATAGGGAGATTCTGTTATCTCTTCTGGTTCTGCATGTATTTTTGCTGTTAGTCCATTAAAGATATGCAAATTAATGATTGATCGCAAAAAAAAGAAAAAAAAAGAAAAAACAAACCAAAAAAAAAAAAAGGCATTTATAAGTTTAATGCTCACCATCCCGCTCTGTCCTTTTCTTGAGGAGGGTCAACAAGTAGAAAACAGAGCCCGCAATGAAGATGGTCAAGAAGATATCAGAGACAATAATGCCTATGACGGAATGCATGCTGATGAGATAACAAGAGCCACATTCTACCAAAGACACAAAGAAATAACTGAAACATCAAGCAAAACATCACTCTGACTCAAATAAAACCAATGTACCTTGTCTTCCAGGGCCTGCAAGACATGTTCATGATCAGGTTATTATACAAGTAGAGCACAGTTTAAGGATGTAGCACAGCACTTACCAAATAGTGAACTCGCAATACAAAAAGTGTCCTTCATGTTGTGCACGGTCTTGTCCATAAAGAAGATGTTGTCAATCAGAAGTGATTTTCCAGAGGAAGAGGATGAGGCAGACTTAGTGAAGGGAAGCTTACGTGTGGACATGTGATTGTGTTTGGAGGAGGAGGAGAAGGAGGGCGTCCATGAAGAGAAGTTACTATTTACAAAATTTGTTTCCTCACTTATTGCAGGATCAGCATAACATTTCACTCATTTACTTTCTTTATTTGTTGCAAATAATGGAGACACAGATATAACAGCATCAGCAATAGAGGTATAGGCCTATAAACTGTAATGACAATATAGTCACAATATTCATTCCTTTGGGCAGTTATATTCCACAGAAAAATTATGACTTCATTCTCATAAATTGCAACTGCATTCTTTCATCGTTACAACTTAATTATTCACATTGTTAAAAACAAAATGACTTTATTTTTCTTTTTGATAGGTGCCAAAGATCCCTGAGTGAGTGATGTCTAACTAACAGTGATTTTTCTGATTTCAGGATGATTTAAAAAAAAAAAAAGTCTGCCTGCTTATTTTTTGTTTTGTTTCTGGGAAAAAAATAAACAAAACTCATCCAAAAACAGTCAGGTCTTCTTCAAGGTCCGCACATTCATATACACTTCGCGATCGTCTGTGAAGAGATGTCACGTGGGGGGGAGGGGGGGAATAAATGAGTCATCATTACTGGAACACGTGTGCGCACACGCACGCACGCACACGCACGCACGCACGCACGCACGCACACACACACACACACACGTGGTATTGCCTTACTCTTTTCTCTGTGCTTGTGATTTTTGCGACTCCGATTGATGGCATATCGGTAGGTGATGGTGACGATGATGAGGGTCAACAGCACATCTGCACTTATAATACCTGCCAGCACGCCAGGCTCAATCCTGTAGCATGACACAGGGCTGTCTGGTGAGTAGACAACCCATAACACATGGTGAGTGGGCGCAAAAGAGAAGGCTGGAAAAATTGAATCAAGCCTGATCAGAGAGGTAGGTATTCATTTAACACTATGTTTACTGGGTGCAGTTTGCTGTGTGGTTTAGAACTGCACTATATCATACGTGGAACTGTTTCTCATGTTTTGGCCTATTTTGAGAGAGGATAAATGACCATACATTAGAAACACATTTCATTGGGATGCAGTCCAACTCTATTACTACAATATTATAAATTGATGTCACAATATTCCCCCATAAAAAAAAAGGAAACATTTTGAGTCCTGACCTGTAGTGGACCAAAACAAAAAAAACAAATCATAACTTGAGTGGCCCTATTTTTGTGCCCAGTGAGAATGCTATTTAAACAACCATATATTAAAGATGTTGATAATAATAATAAAATACAGAAATAGTCAAACCAGCAAAGTCAAATTAAAACTCGAATAAAAGTAGAAAAGGATGTTATTTTTTTAAACACTTTACAAACTACTTACATTGCAACACAGTCTGGTACGTGACCCTTCAGTGCAGTCAACTATCTTGTTAAACAGTGAAACTCCTCTACAATGAAATCATGTTTGCAGCAAGATTTTTTTTTCACAACAGCAAAGTGTAGCTAATGTTTTGGGTAATGAGTGTCTTGTTGAGTTGTGTGTGCCCTCTCGTGTTAACTTACCTTTCTGTGCCACAGCCTGGTCTTTAACAGAGAACAGAAAAAGAAAACCATATTCATAACACCTCTATGCTTGGAGGTGACCTTTTTCACCCATGTTTCTGTATTCGATTGTGGTTTTCCTTCCTGTAATACTGACTGCAAAGTACGCAAAATAACAAGATAAATACTTTGCTGCATGCCATTTTCCCTGTGCTTCGCTGTGGACTTTCTGAAATACAAAATAATGAAGCAAATAAAATAGATAGATAGAAATTTTTCTATATATATATATATATAGCCGGGTCTTTGGAAAGACTGGACTGAACACAAATAATTTTTATGTGGGCTTTATTCCCGACTGAACAATGAAAAATTGTACACCAATAAGATGAAAGACTGAGATGTTAACTGAATTTTAAGGTTTTAAGAGTTCTAAAAGTGATCTAAGAGATCAAAGAAAATTATCTAACAGATTAAAGACAATTACACCATAATAGACAACAGCAGTAGCTTGCTTAATAGGGAAACAGAAATAAAAATACATTATTTCCAAGCCACAATACTTTACATTTACATTAAACTTAAAGTGCAGAACAAATATCATTACAACCCAATGTTGTGAGATGCAGACACACTTACTCAATACGTTCCGGTGTGTTGGGTGCATGCAAAGCACGTGGAAAAACACAAATGATCTCCCCTCTAAAGAACAGATAACACAGTTCATATAATTTCACAGTCCAAAAAAAAACATATTTACATCTTGTAATGTTGCGAACACTTACGCTGTACAGCTGTTCACACGACTCACTAGTGGTAGATTTCAAACTCCAAACCACGATATTGTGCTCTACAAATACCATTTAAATAATTAATCTTCTGTCCAAAATTAACACCTAACATGTGTCATGGTAAACTAGTTACCAATTACCTGAATATCGCCAGGGTTACAATGACGATCATGGGTGTATCAAGCAGTAGGTACAGTTATAGTGTGTGTGTATATATATATATATGTGTGTGTGTGTGTGTGTGTGTGTATATACACACACACACACACACACACACACACACACACACACACACACACACACACATATACTGTATATAAATAAAACTCATTGCTGGACGTTTGCCTTCAGGACTTTCTGGTATACAGCAGAATTCATTGTCCCATCAATCACAGCAAGTTGTCCTGCTCCTGAGTTAGCAAAGCAACCCCAGACAATCACACTGCCACGACCATGCTTCATTGTTGGTATAATGTTCCTTTGATCAAATGCTGTGCCATTTTTATCCCAGACGTAATAGGCCGCATATCTTCCAAAAAGATCAATTTTTGACTCATCAGTCCACAGAATTTTTTTTCCAAAGGTCTTGAGGATCATCAAGATGTCTTTTGGCAAATGTGAGACAGCATTTGTGTTCTTTTTGGACAAGAGTGGTTTTCACCTGGGAACTCTACCATGTTTTTTGGACAGTATATTTCTTATGGTGCAGTCGTGAACACTGACTTGAATTGAGGCCAGCGAGGTCTGAAATTAAATTGGCATTTAGAAACTGCATTTTGTCTTTCCTTGGGTAGTCTCTATGTGATATTAAAATTGGTTTGATGAACTGAAAACTTTGTAGTGATAACTATGCAAAGAACACAGAAAAATCAGGTAGGGAGCAAATCCTATTTCACAGCACTCTCTCTCTCTCTCTCTCTCTCTCTCTCTCTCTCTCTCCATATATATATATATATATATATATATATATATATATATGCATGCCGAAAGTTAACTGTGGAAAGTTTAAAATAGCATGATGAAGGTTCTTTCAGGCACGCTAACATTTCATGGACCATTACGCGCATGTATTCACTTTGCACTGTTTTTTTTTTTTTGTATATATGTATATGTATCAGAGGCGATTGTTCTAAGACTGCAAGGGAGGCTCAGCTTCCCCTAAAATGTCAAAAAATAAGTGTTCAAATATACTGTATGTGTGTACATGTCATTGGCTAATTATGCGCTACAACGCGCTCAACTTTTGTTCCGAATCGGGTTCTTATTACTGGTTACGACGCGACTCTCTTCTCATTCATTCCCGCAGCTTCACTGAGCTTTCAACTGTGTGGACGCTGGGCACCTAGAGAGTTCAGTGTCGGTTGTCCCAATGCATTGAAATGAGACGAGTCATTGGATAAATGCTGGTTTTGTCCCGCCCATCGGACGCTCAGCGTCTCTGGGAGTCTATGGACAGTGGGCGTGTATCGGCTGGCCTTGGGCGTGCAGAAGCTCAGCTTTTCTTCATGATGATTGGATGATCTCTCTGAGGCTGAATCTCTTTTTGATTGACAGCGAAATGAGCCAATCACTGATCCTTTGGTGTCGGCATCCGTGGGAGCATTTTTCAATTCTCACTCTGTTCTGAGTTGAACTAGAGACTTCTTCTCATAATCTTAGCGACACTCTCTTTGTTGCAAAGGACTTGCGACAGCTTAATATTTCATTTCTGGTGTGTTTTATTGTAGTTGCTTGTGTTCGCAGACTGACTTATGTCACCACAGTTAAGACCCTGGAAAAGACTTCTTGTTGGTATGACAGGGTCACAGATCATTTTCTTGAAAAGGAACGGAGAGTTGAATTCACGTATAAATAAACAGACACATTTTATGATGTAGGCCGAAATTGAGCTTCCCCTCCTTGAAAGACCAGCATCCACCACTGATATGTATATATGCACACACACTGCCGACAAGCACTTTTCTATGGATATGGATGGGGGAGTTTATATGCTCTTACCTGCAGTATGTGTGCCATCCTCGAACAAGAGATGATGCAACGAACTGCAGTTCTCGTTTTTAGGTTCTTACACCCCTGCGAAAACGAAAGTCTCCCGTCCGCCCCTTTTTCTGAAGTGCTTCAACTGAACTCAACTGTATTTCTAGAGCACTTTCAAACAGCCATCGCTGCATACAAAGTGCTGTACATGGAGCAACTAACATATTGTAATGCCCTTCAGTAAGGACAGAAGGATGCACGCAGTCGCTGATGCAATCTGTTCGTTTTTTTTTAAGAAACAAAGGGACAATTAACACACATTCACAGGAGTCGCTGTTAGAAACAACTCACACCCACGCGCTCCACACTCAGACTAACTGCCAGAACCAATATTTCCCCAACTTGGCTCGTCCCCTCTCCATGACGTTACCCGCGACTCAACCCAGCCCTCAAACACATAAATACAAGAAACAGATACTGTATATGAAGACTCAAGTGTGCAACCATTGGAGAAGTGAGAAGGACAGACGTGAAAACTAAAGTAAAAGTCAGATTTGTGCATATTCTAGTGACATTTATTAAGGTGTTTTATTTATGGATATTAAACATTGAATTATATTATGACTAGATCATTTATGAGCAGGACAAATGCTGAAAAACGCTGTATCACAAGATACAGCACACATTGTAGAAAATGTGTTAATGTGAACAAAATGTTACATCTGAAAGATGTGTATCTTTCATTTCTTCCAGAGCAAGACCCTCATCTAGGCCAAAACTGCACCTCACCGACCAAAACTAAAGTTGGACTCTCACGAACAATCAATGAGTTTTGTCTTTTTCACTCCAAGTGGGCCAAATTAGTTATATTAAAAGTAAAGTTATGGAAATTGTTGTTGTAATTTGATTCTTTTAATAAGCCATTAACTTTCTATGATTCCAGGTGTGATACTAGTGTGTGGCCACAGCGAACACTGCTGATGTTCGTCACAGTCGTCCTTGGTGTGCTCAGGGAGCTTGTCTCTTTGCCCAGACATATGAAAAATTAAGAGGGAACATTGCTTCAAGGCTGGTTCTCTCTTCTTAACAGCGGAGGGCGCTGTCCATACAAAAATGTCATATCTGTACTCGTACTGTTGTGTGTGAGTGTGTTGCTTTTCTGTGTGTCCAACTAAAAATACAGATTCTTGTGGAACATATTGAACCAACAGACATTTCAGGGATGACTCGCTGACTCCAAAGGCAAGTGCATTACGGTAAGCCATCTGTGATGTGATGGAGTTATGGATTACTCTTTTAGAGTGCTGTTGTGCAGCGTCACCTTTGCCAGCTGCATTCGGTAAAAACAGCTGGACTTAACTGCTGTACCGATTTACCGATCAAATTTAAAATAAATGACCAACTTAAAACCTAGATGTTGATGAAGGTTTAATGTAGCACAGCTCTCAATGTAAAAAAAAAAAATCAATTAATAAATTAATGATTATAAAAGTGTTTTAAAAAAAGTATGAAAAGTATTAAACGGTATGTGCAAAAAAACCCCCAAACAAACAATAAAACAAACTAAATAAAAAGTACAACAGTGATATCCAGCTCCGGTCTTCCTGTGTGGAGTTTGCATGTTCTCCCCGTGCCCGCGTGGGTTTTCTCCGGGCACTCCGGTTTCCTCCCACATTTCAAAAACATGCATGGCAGGCTGATTGGACACTCTAAAATTTAGAGTCTAAATTGTCCCTAGGTGTGAGTGTGAGCGTGGATGGTTGTTTGTCTCTGTGTGCCCTGCGATTGGCTGGAAACCAGTTCAGGGTGTCCCCCGCCTACTGCCCAAAGACAGCTGGGATAAGTGGATCAGAAAATGGATGGATGGATAAAGTATGTTTGAAGCCAGTGCACCAAAAGTGAATGAGTGTTGATCAGCACTGCCCGGCAGCAATGCTTGCCTTACACCACACGCGAGTGAGTCACAACTGACATAGATTAAAAAAAATACATGACTCAAAATTCAACTCCTGATGCCATTCCAATGACTATAGTTGTTCATGGTCAGCGCTTTTAAATTCCCCACCATGTGAAAATGCCCCTTGCAGATGAAAAAAAGTCCACTTGGCGTTCAGCCAATTTATATGATATAATGTCGACATTCCGTCGTTAGTGTGATGTAGTAGAGACATATGGGCATTGGACAGTCTGTGAGCGTATGCGCCAAGTACGTCTCCCGCACCCCCTGCACACCCCAACCTCCTAAACCCCCTCCTCCCATACCTCTACCCCCTCCAGTAGGACTTAGTGTGTGATGTGTAACAAAGTTCTTGAACCCATGGCATCTCTAAAGCCATTTTACAACCAAAAACATACAACTTCCAGTGAGGACAGAGCAGTAAATTGTTCCCCTTCAAATCTTTCAGTTGTATTTAACTTTCAAGTACAATGCATCCATTCATCCATCCATTTTCTAATTCGCTGATCCTCAGAAGTGTTGCAGGCATGCTGGAGCCTATCCTAGTTGTCTTTTGGGCAGTAGGTGGGGTACAACCTGAACTAGTTGCCAGCCAATCGCAGTAAGTACATAGCATTTGCATCTAATCAATGAGAACTGTTTTTTTTCCCCGTAACTCAGTGGTTCTCAATTATTTTCTGTCATGCCCCCCCTAGGAAGAGGAAAACATCTCTCGCCCCCCCCACTCCCCCGCACGACTATAAATAGTATCATTTGTCTATAAAATTGTTATAAGTACACCTTTTCATAACACTGTATATTTATTAACGTATAAGAGAATAAAAAAGAAAGAAATTTGGACCAACTTACAATAAAGAATAGCTTTAGTAACTGTAGCAGAAAAGATTTAAAGTGCATCTGAAATTCAAATAAAATTTAACTATACATATTTTTTTGACTGACCATGTCAAACCATATGATACTGAAAAATAAAATCACATAAAATCAATAACTAATAATGCATTCAAACTAATCACTAACATTATCTCAGGAGCACAATATTAAAACAACTTTAACCAGCAAAACAAAAATATATAAAATAATTTGTGCTGATTTTTTTTTAAAATCAAAGATGATGTCTGGATTAATGGCTACGAGTAGCAGTCACAAAGCGGGATGATTGTTGGCAATATTCGGTACGTTTTCGCTGAAAAAAACTCGGCTTATCAGCGTGATTGGGGTGTAATGTCTTTAAGTGACGCCTTAATTTATTTGGCTTCATGCTGTCCGCTGCCAACATTTTTAGACACAGTAATTAGACACGGGTCTTTCGTCTCCCACCGTAGTCAGAGTGAAGCCAAGTGCTACATACGCTTCGTCTTGGCTTTCGGGAGTGTTAAGAAACGATATCTTGTATCCTCATTTCTGTAATGCTGTGATGTGTTCTTTATGATTGAAATGTGTCATTGGCACATAATACTTGTTTATTTAGAACGGATCTGGCAACCCAAATTACTACGCCATATCCGGTCTGTGTTCGGCGCGAAATGTCTTCTTCCTGTTCAGTAGTGATGAGAAGCGGCTGCTCTCAGTGCAGTCGGCAAAATAAACATGCTACGAGTTTGAGTTAAGTGAAGAAAATTAATCTCTCGTCATTATTTTCCCAAATATACCCCGAACGAAGCGCACATCTCAACAGGGAGACTTTCGTTTGTCTCTTACCTCCGTCTCTCTACGCCCGCCGGTTGACTTCGTGTCTACTCATACTCTGTTTGGTGCGCAAAGCGCGCATGCTCAGTGCAAACAAAACACCAAGCGAATGCTCCCTGCGCACACTCTGCCAATGAGAGCGTCACTGCCCCCTAATGGAGTTGAGGTGCAATTGCACTTTATTCTAGGACAGTTAGACTGCCGCTGAGGAAGCTTCTGTGAGAGAAGCGAAACGTCCTTTTTTGTTTTTGGTTTTTTACCCACAGGTAGAGATGACGACTGACAGAACCCTTTCTACGATGGAACTTTCCTGTACGACTGAGAGCCTCCACAAGCTTCTAGGACAGTTAAAAAAAAATCAAAATAAAAAAGCCGAGGTCAAACGCGCCCACCTTGACAGAGCCTCGCGCCCCCCTGGGGGGCGCGCCACACTATTTGAGAAACACTGCCCTAACTTAACATTTACTTAGATGCAATTTTATATTCACCTTTATCTGCATTACATTTGAAGTGAATTATTAATTAAGTGCCTTTTTTCATTTTACTGTGGCGCATTGCTAATAAGCTCAAACTGCACATTATGGTGACTTACAATAATAAATATACATTTTAGGAATAAAACCTGCTGTTATTTTTAATGAACAATGAAGTAGCGCCCACGACCCTGAGGATTTAGAAAATGGATGGATTGATGGACTGAGGTAGCCGACTGTACAGTATTATAATGTCACAATGTGACATTTGACAATAAAGTTGTATTCAATTCAATTCAATTCAATCTTGTGTAAATTAGAAGCACATCCAAGGCGCTACCACTACTGCCCGCAAGGTGCTGTAAGTGAGCCACTAAAATAATGTGGCCCACAGCATCAAACGCTGCAGCTTGGGTTGGTTAGACACGCCCATTCCTCAGCCATTTGGCACAAGGTTCCTTTAAAAAACTTTTAATCAACCTGACGACTCTGAGCTTCCCAGCGTCCTCAAATCACTGCGTTTTAAAACGTTAAACACGAAATTTATAACAAACCCACTTCAACAACTTGGCACATTTGCATAGAAAAAATGTGTTTCGGTGTTTTATGAACTTACATATTTCTCATGAACACAACTTTAAAAAAATAAACAAAACAAAACAAAACATCTACTTAGACTTGCATTATCACTTTAGTCTGAAATTCGTTTTTCATTTTGTTACCGTTAGATTACTGGTCATAATTTTATAAATCTATTGCTGTGATTTGTTGATTAGTTTTTTTTTAAGCAGGCCTGGAGAGTTTTCTTTTCCTTTTTTCTTCCTTCTTTAACAATGATCAAATTAAATCAAATGTACAGGAGAAGAATTTTCTCTGTGTGTGTTAAAAATGGAGTGAAAAATACAGTGTTGAAAATAACAGCAAGAATAATATCAAGAACAAGAACACCATCTTCAACAACAACAATAATACTAGTCATTCTTCTTCTTATTGAGATATCAAAATCTTACTACAGAGATCAAATTTGTGTTAATGAAATTACAAAATACACAAAGCTTTTGTGCTACGTTTCATTTGTTTCATCCTGTACACTTTCTAATGCCAGATTCTTTTTATTTTTATATCTCAAATTAGTATTTGTATCATCATTATCTGGCAGCCTTGTTTATGCCATGCAATTATTTGAAGTCATTTTACCGCGTGAAAAGGACATTTTAGCATTGAGCAAGATATATGTATATTTCATTGATTATTGTTAACACCAGAATGCGTCTAGCCTACGATTAAGTCATTGTGTTTTGCTCTTTGTGTTACATTACAATGTTTATTTTTATAGACGTTATTAATGCAACATGAATACTGTACTTTATCGGGAAAACCTAAAAATGATGATGATGTCATTCATATCATTCATTACAGTCGTCTTAGTTCAGAATGTATATTATATTTTGAGAGTGAGAGTGAGAAGTACATACACAACCGCACATACAGACACAAGCGTGCGCACATACACACATGAATGGGCGTGGATAACTCACGCACACACGTGTGTGGGCGGTGGGGCTGGGCGGTGTATTCAGTGTGTACAAGCAGTGTTGAGTAGTCAACAACAAGGCAGACAAACTGAAGACAAGCACGTGTGACACATTACACATCTGCACAGGCTGTTGGTCATACCCTCTCAAACCAACCAAGACCAAGACCTAAGAGACATGCACTTTGATAAAGGTGAGTCCATTTCAATCACTTTTTCCATTCATGTTCTGCCATGAATGGACATCTAACATGTCATTCCCACCCAGTGATTGTCGATGTTACTATGAATCTCTTACTCATGACTTCACTTACTTACTCATAGCTTTAAATACTGACTCTGTATTTTAATTGACATTTTCCAACAATTTCTGTAAAGTATGTTTAAGTAATGTAGTTATGGTGTACACTCGGCCTCGATAGACCTTCTGTGTTTGCATGTGCTGCCGGTGTTTGCCTGAACAACTGAAATTCTCTGTCTTTTTTTAAATAAATATTTCCATGCTCTCTGATTCTGTTTGACCACAAAATGAGGAAATTGGCACAGTGCTGCTTGTTTCTGTCTGTCGCTTTCTTTCTTTCTTTCGTTCATTCTGTGAGGAGGGAGCACAGAAGAGAAAGGTCGTTGGAATCCCCGTCTTTGCTCCCACGCACATGACTCAGTGTCCAGGGCTTTCCACGTACCATATTTGAATATAGCAAAGGGCAATCCAAGACTAACCCAAGGATCACGCTCCGAGTCCCAATTAAATGGACAAAACAAATCGGGACAACTGGCTCTTACATCAACTGTCGAGCCATACGGCCATCCCATAAACAATTGTACAAAAATGTTTTGCTACAACATTAAGATTCAAAGTGAGTTAAGGGGTCTATCACAATCGCTCATTACTTAATTAATTCTGTAAATATTTGGCTGTGATTGACTGGTGACCAGTGTAGTCTGCTTTTGTCTTTTCGCTAAACTGAGCTGGGATAAGCTCTTGCTCCCCGCGACACTAAAGAGGATAAGGAGCATAAAAAAATACGATGGCTGGATATCTCAGTACTTGTGCTCACATTGTGTATAACACTGCAACCAACTTCTCTGAGCTGCTGTGGACTGTAATAGGTTAAGTCTTGATATTTCACTTTTTTTTTTTGTTTTGTTTTCTATCCTGTGACCTGTTGACATTTCCACGTAAAGATCAAGTGGCTCACAGTGAGTAATGTGTAGTAGCACATCAACTCAAGCATGAAACTCATTAGTCATTTCAATTGACCTTTAGGGGGCACATAACAACCCCACAAGGACCAATTGTTGTAAATTTGGAGCTAGAAACGGCAACTGATTTAACAAATTATTCGCTGGTTTGATTTCCTTATAATATTTGAGGACACACTGAGAAAGAAAAGACAACAGTCATCATCAGTTGTTATGTTTACACACACTCACACGGATCTTTTTCAAAGCTTTTGATTGATTTTTTTAATGGATGGATTTAATTCTTTTTTTTTTTCTAATCCACACATGGTCAAAATTGCACGAACAGGTTCAAATACATACATTCTGAAAAGGAAGTATTTCCAGAAATGGTGCTGAAGGCACGGACTTATATATGAATGGACGAACAATGCCGCTTACTTGCTGTCGGGGAAGAGAAGACACCAGCGCCTCTATAGTATTACGTTGCCACTCACTCAGCCCACCCAACTTAAATAGAATTATTTCTGTGTGACACAGTCTTTGCGACAAAAATGCTACCGTGTATGGCATTCGGTTGTACCACTAAATCACTAACACCACTAACATGCACATTTCATCTGTAAGAATGCAATTTAAAATGCTCTCTTACAAGGTATACTATATCTGAGTGCTACTCAAAGATTCGTCTGTATCATGTCAGCACCATCAACGATGAAACGAAAGGGTTGCGGTGGACTGGCACGTTCACGATATTGTATGGGAGAAGGGAATTCCAAACAATGAGTACAAGGCAAGGATCAGAACCTTTTTTCATACAGAAAAAAAAAAAAACAGAAACCACAAAACCCCTTTGACATCTAAAATGAAGGTCGTATTTAATTTTCTTTTTTCCATTTCTGCTGCAGACACCACCTGGAGGGGTGGCCCTTTATGTGCGATACGTCAGCGCCTCCGCCATATTGAATGTGACCATGATATTAGCCACAAAATTTACAAAATCTACCTGCAAATTGGTTTTGGAATGGCTTAAGACATTCGAAAGTAGTGGTTTATTTTCTACATCACATGAGTTCTGACTTTGTGTGTAAAACGGTTGATACACCTCCAAGTATAAGGCATCTTCACAGTTTCATCAATGTATGATTCAGCACTCAAGGCAAGGTCTAGGTATACAGGTATGTGCTGTAAATGGTGTCTATGGTAATAATTACTCACACTAGGCAGCATTCAGGCTGTTGACTGCATGTGGCAGTGCTTGCTGTCAAATAGAATACATACAAGTGTCAGGTTTTGCGTGATGGTAGGTAGAAGACCCCAAAAAGCAGGGAGGCAGAAGCAGGGTGGACTGAGTAAATTATATGAATAAAAAATACAAACAGCAGTACACTGGAAAAAAAACTAACTGAAGTACTCAAACAAAGTCCTGAAAAATCACAAGAAAACAAAGACTGACAGAACCCACGGAACTAAATACAAGCAAAGTGACGACACAACAAGAAACACCTGGACAAGACACAAAGGTTTGAGGGAGCCGACTGGTTAACACAAGGTATGACAAGAACAGGTGGAGACAAAACCAACAACAAAACCGAATGTAATCTAAAGAAAAACATAACAACAAGTAGCGAAGGGATCATCAAAAATATGGAGCAAAAAAAGCACTCTCGTGGAATAATAACAACCTCAGCGGACAAGTGAATGTGACAATGCTTTGACGTCTACTGTGTTTGGTTTCACAGTCAGGAAGATGTGGTTTGTGTTTCCGTGAGCAAAACAGAGCCTAGAAAAGATGTAGGCAATCCCATGGTGAAGGTTTTCTGTTAAACCTCACATGTCTTCCAAATGGAGTCTGTGTGTCAGATCATGCAGTGGAAACTTTTGTTCTGTAATGTGTGACTTTTTCCTCTTGTACTCACCTGTCAAAGGAAATAACCAGAGCACAACTTAGATCAATAGATAGATCAATGATATGAGTAGAGTTCTATATATAGCTCTGTAAGATTCAAACCCGGAACCTCAGAACTGTGAGGCATACTGGGCATGCAAACCGCTACTTTTCTGCCTGCTCTTTGACACGACAGTGTAAGTGGAAGTAAATTCAGCATATTTACGGTTGTTGCCACACAGCGCCAAAGGAGAAGCCATGCTACACTCTGCCCACAGTGAAAAAACTATTGGAACAGAAGAGGAAGCGAGAGACGTCCTCGGGTCTCACCTCGTACCCTCCAAACACAACTGGTCTCGCTGGTCACAGCATGCTGACTGTAAGAAAGACAACTCATAGTATCTTCGCAGTTCGTAGTCCAGTATTGTGTACCGTCTTATATGAGATCCTTTTTTTTTTTTTTATAATTCCTCTCACAGCACCTGCAGACTCCAGAACAACTGAGCTGCGCAGGTAAGACTTTGATAATTCCCGTACAAGAATGTCCCAAATATCTCAGAAACAATAACCTCATTCTCTGGGATTCTATGTGAACATATTTGTGAAACACCTATATTCAGCGTACCATTTGTGAAAATCTCCTGAACCAAGGCAGAAAATAAAGCCAAGAAAAAGCCTCATTATCTGTTCTTAGGAAACCTTTACGATCAACTGTAAAAAGTGTTTAAAAACTTTATAATCAAATTGGAGTTCACCTTCACAATTAAATTTGATCCAACTGGAGCAGTGACTCCCAACCAGTGTGCCACGGCACGTGAGTGTGCCGTGAGAGATCATTGGGTGTGCTGCAGTGAATAATGTGCAAATTCTCTCCACAAAAGACAAATTGATTCGGTTTTCGATGCGTGGAGTGCGAAATGATTCAAGTACGGTTCAAAATGAGAGTGGAAGGATTCTATGTGGATCGACTCTGTGGGATTACGATTCAATTCAATATGGTACGGCTCAGTTGGTGAGGGGTATGATGCAATGACTCGTTTGTTGTCAATTTACATACGTTCTAATGAACCTGTCAGTTCTACATATGTGCCATTTCCTTATATATATATAAAAATACAATTAAAGATGATTCAATATGCATCTGGGGATATTTTAAAGTGGAAAGATTCAATGCACTTGCATCAATCAAAAAATGATTTCCCGATACAAATTGTTTTTTGTTCCACCCCTATTGTTGAAACGTGTGCATTGGCGCAGTAAAGGTTGGGAAACACTGTACTAGAGATGACTTCGCAAACCTTTTGACGACATCAAATATAATAATGATCATGATGATGATGAGGTGCAAGGTGCCTGGAGTTGCCGCATATCAGAGGTTTGGTCTACACATGTCATATTGCACACACTGAATAGCAAGCAAGTGGCCAAATGTTAAAGAGCACCAAGTCGCTGTGTCTACAATTACAGCACCGTACCTAGGCCTCTTTGTCTCTTATTCAGGCGCATCAAGCAACTATACAGACATGCCAGCTATGACATGTGAGCAGTGGGCTCCAATGCAAGGGTCTGCTCTCTCTTATGACCCCAATCAACCTGGACCAAGCTTCCCTGTGGGCTATGACGTCCCAATGGATTCAGATTTCAGCTCCCAGCAGCAGCTTCAAGGATTTGCGTCACAGTCCTACGTGAGGAAAATTTCTTCTGAAGCTGGAGTCTATTGTGAAAGCATTTACATGAATGATTTCAAGTCAACTTTGAGCCGGTGTTCTTTTGAGCAGGACTGTCTGATGGAAGCTGCAGATCAGGGCGCGGCTTCTACTTGGTCCCCTCTGGAACCAAGTCAGGCCCCTCATTCTACTTTTGGGTCTTGGATGGATACCGGCACACTAGAGAAGGCCAGAATGCTGATGAGAGACATGGACTACAGTAGAATCATTGGCCAGGATGAGGACGGAGACACGTGAGTGGTCATCTGTGTGTGTGTGTGTGTGTGTGTGTGTGTGTGTGCGTGCGTACAGTTAACTTGGGATTTGAACTTTACCTTAAACATTTGGAGGACTTTTTGGAGGACTGCTGTGTGTTTTGAACCACGGGAAATACTGTCTCAATTTAGGCAGTGATCAAAAGAAACAGTACTTGTCAAGATATGCTTGCTATTTTTTTTCAACCTCTGCAGATGACAACACAATGTAAAAAGATGTCAATATAGAAGTATAGTGATCGCACGCCAATTCGTACTTCAAGTTTTGCGGCTTCAGTATTTTGAGGGTGTTTTTTTGGGGGTATATTCATTTAAAAATATCCATCCATCCATTTTCTGATCCGCTTATCCTCACAAGGGTCGCGGGGTAATAATAAAATAATAATAATAATAATAATACTGCCATAACGGTGCACATATAGCTGGAAAGATGTGTTGTTTCGTGTTGATGTGGCTTTTTTTTGTGTTGTAATTTTTTTTTTTTTGCAATAACTTTTTTTGATTAGTTAAGCTGCGCTCCATCCCCTTGCCGCACTCTGGAGCAATGTGTCCCAATTGTGTGAGAACGTGTCATCCTGCTCCTCAGAGATGGCACCATCATTAGGGACACATTGCTGTGCGGCAATGGGAGTGGGTTTGGGGGTGGTTCGTAGCCTTGTCAGGATCAGCTCAGGCGATGACAGCCCAAACTATAAGCTTGGTTAGAGGTTTTTTTCTTCACTTGAAAAAGACCATTGTCTGATTTAAAAAAACATAACAAAAAAACTTAAACCTATTTCAGCTAATAAGAAGACAAAATGAATGTCATCGTGCTACCCATCACTTTGCTTTTCCCCAATTTAAAAACCTCAGTGACACCGTCGGTCACAAGCCAAGTGAGAGTCTCCTTTCGCCACCAACACGGGCCTCTTTCCCTCTCTCAAGAGGCAATGTTGATGAATGTTAATTACTGTCTAACGTTTTATAATTAAAGATGATTAACTTATTAACAAATGAACGACCACCCACAAAACAAATACAGGTACTGTATAAATAGACACAGGATTTCAAGTGCAACAAGTAAAGAGCATAATACTGCTTCAAAGGTTAAATTAGATGTGTCACAACAATTCATGAGACACATGCTCTGGTGTTTTTACAACTTCCATAGGCTTCTGTCTATTATCGGGAACAACAACAAAGTCAAGCCCTTAACTGGATGCTTTCCTTCCCTTGCTGCCATACTGGAATATTGTGGAAAGCAGACTCTCAGATTCGTGACTGTCGTTACCCTTGAGAAGCATTCCACTCCACTACACGGCACTTGCTTTTTTTTAGAAAGAGAGAGAGAGAGAGAGAGAGAGAGAGAGACAGAGAGAGAGAGAGAGAGAGAGAGAGAGAGAGAGAGAGAGAGATGAATTGACAGAAGTTGGACTGAATGGCTGTTCTAACTGTTGTTTGTAGTTGTTTTCAGTACAAAAGCCTCTATCAAACCTGTAGTTTACAAATCTCCCTTTTCTTCAAACACGTCTTTTTTTTTCTTTCAAATATATTTATTAGCTTGTTACGCTTGACTGTGATAATATTAACACAGCACGATAGAATAAAATCACAAGTACCCATGTGAGTTTTTTCATTGAACAATAGGAAAAGTGTCCTATGAACTCAAAGAAACATGTGATATGTCAAAAAAAAAGTGTTTTAAAACACAACCAATAACAACTTCTTCACAACCACATCAATGTGCACTGTTTTATGAATGACTCTGTATTACTATTTTGACACTCTGCTAAACTGTCTGAGTGTGTTGACGTCTGGTAATCTTAGAAACAAAAACAAAAGTCAGTGAGTCATACATGGAATATATTCACCTCTTATAGGAAGCAGGGCCAAATGAATGAGTTGAAAGGCTTCCCACACATTTACCGTCATTTGTCACAAATAAAAAGCCACTTCACAGAATAATTGGAAATTCCAAGTTTTATTATATCGATTTGTTTTCATATATATGACAATGATGATTTCATAATGGCAGTACTGTGTGCTAGTGTTTAGCCCGTCTGCCTCACAGTTCTAAGGTTCAGAGTTCAAATCTCAGCCACAGACTTCCTATTTGAGGCTTGCACGTTCTCCCTGCGCTTGTGTGTGCGCTTCCTCCTCCATTCCAAAAACATATATGTATGTCGATTTGAATACTAACCAATTTGATTATCTAAACTAACCAGTAAGGGCTGCAAAAGTCAGTTGGGCTAGGCTCCAGCTCACCTACGACCCTCAACTGGACAGATGCTATAGACAACAGATGGGAAGATAATTTCATGACAAAATGTTTCTATTTTACAATTTTTAAAAAAAAATCAGAGTCATGTTCAAAAACTTAAGTTACCCAGTATGTGTTTTTGCCTAATTTGTTTTTGGTTGGTTTGATTTGTCAGCATCCTGCATATCTACACTGCTAAGGGTCTCAGGGAGTGGGCCTTCGCTGCAGCAGAGAAGCTGAGGGATTTAGAAAAGCTTGATGCTAAAGAGCATAAAGGCAAAGTATGGAAAAAAATATTTTCATTTTAATACGTGGACATATACTTCAATTGTGAGCATGCGTGGATTATATAATTTCTCGATTTGTATTTACAGACTGCCTTACTGGTGGCGGTGACAGCAAACCAGCCAGACATTGTTGAAGATCTGTTGTCATTTGGAGCTGACATCAACGCTTGTGATGTCAAAGGGCAAAGTGCTCTTCACCTGGCCGCTCACGATGGCTTAGCGAGGATATTGCAGGTATGGGACTGAACCACTTTGGAGTGATACTAGGTGAAAAATATGTAGCGCACCAAATTGTTGGAAGTTGTTAGTTGTTCTTGTTTTTTAAAAATATGTTTTGGTACACTCGCCTGATTTGTGAGCAGGCAGCGTGGGATCAGTTCCCACTCAGTGAGGATGTAGGTGTAAATGGTTGTTTGTCTCTATATGTGCCCGGCAACTGACTGGTGTCCAGTTCAGGGTGTAGTCTGCCTTCTGGCCGGAGTCAGCTGGGATAGGCTCCCGTGACCCTGTTCAAGATAAGCAATGTTGAAAATGGATGGATGTTTTCTTTATTGCCCCATCTACTACCCAAAGTGAGCTGGGATAGGGTACAGCACGCCTACAACCTTCGTGAGGATAAGCGGCTCATGATAATGGATAGATGTTTCTCTAGTCTTACTAAAAAAAAAAAAAAACACAACAAAAAATCAACCACCAATGATTTGTTTCTTGGAAGAAGGGGAAAAAATTGGAGATAATGTTTTTCAAGATTTCTGTGTAGATTCTTAGTCGTCCGGGTCAAGGTAATGCACAATAGTTTAATCGAGGCAACTGAACTATTCGTGTTTGTTGAAGACATTTCAACTTTAATCCAAAAAGGCTTCTTCAGTTTTACATTTTTAGAGGGAGTCGCCCTATTTATTCCTTCTGCCAAGTGAACATGAACGCAGCAAAACATAACGCTACTAGAAGCATATTTGTATGGGATCTAGTGCTTGCCGCGCTCCTATTTGTACACAATATAAATGAATGCCATTTTATTTTCCAGATAATTCTGACCAACAGACCCGCCGTCAACCTCGAGGCCAGAGACTTCGAAGGTAATGTCACACCATATAATGACACATTAGAATACATTCTCACAATTGTGTACAATACTAAATTTAATTATGCAATTGTAACACGTCAAAAGAAATTAACCTCTGTACACAAAAAATGTAATGACGTCGTCACCGGGCTAGTAAACATGAAGAACGAGTCCATGTGAAGAAACTCACGCGAACTTGCCTAAACAGCTCACTTTGTGTTGCACTTTTTGCCATCAATAAGTCAGATTTCTAGTTCAATGGTTGTTCAATGAATGTTTTACATCACACCTAAAAAGTTAAAGAAAGAAATAATTATTAGCGAACACAATTCTTGTTTTTCCCTTTTTACTGGATGTGATCTTTTTGTCCCTCATTGTACCTCATACTATCTATGTCGCTGTTACTATTACGGACATTGACTTGTCATTTTTGTCCTAGGTATGACCCCCCTACACTGTGCAGCCATTTCTCATTGTGTCACCATGAAGGCTTTGTTTGCCTGCGAGATGGTGGATGTGAACCTGCAGGCCAAAGCTGCAGAGAAGCTCTCCTGTGTGCAGGTGCTTCTCAACGCGGGCGCCTCACCACTCAGCCAGGTGGAGTACAAATGTACATCTGTTGCAATAGTGTTTTTTTTACATTTGCTATATCAAATGTGATTTCATTTCATTTGAGGTTATATTTGAAAATAACATAGATTAGCCTATCAAACACTCAATTCATGCAGTAATTCACGCAGTTAAATTAGAATAAGACGATACAGTGGAACCACAGAGTTCGAACATAATTTGTTCTTGTGAAGTGTTCAAAGTCTGATTTGTTAGACACCAGAATTTTTTTCCCATAGGAAATAATGTAAATGAGTTTAATTCGTTCTCAACCTCCAAATGCAAGAAATTCCGATGTTAATTCCTATTGATTTAAAAACTTGTAATCCCTGTATTCATACAATAAATGCAGTTGAAATTGTCGACTTAGCCAAGCTATAATGGTTAGCAATATTCGTAGCACACACACCATTTTTGTACTTACCGATTATCTCCTTCCTTAAATCCACTGTGGTTTGCATCACTTTCCCTTTTTCTTTGTTGCCAGTCGAAACTGCTGTCTTTCTGTAGGCCCATGGCTAAAAAAATTGTACTGGAAAAAAAAAAACAAACAAAAAAAAAATAATAATAATTTTGAGAGGCACTTGCAAATGTGATGAAACTGTTCGCGCTATGACTCAAAATAGCCAGTGGCTCGTCTCGGCCACCGTCCAATGTGCTTTTGGCATCGCTCGGTTTCACTTGGCTACGTGCATTCAGCTTTTTTTATTCTGATGTTTTCGGAAGAGTCGCGAGTCGTTCTAATTCCGGGATATCTAATATCTAACCTATCTAACGCAATGTCATTATTTTTGCAAAGGCTTTTAATAGATACATATGTATCTTTGTTTCTTCCAGTGAGCGTTGAATTAAAAAAGGGGAAATACCAAATCCAACCACAATGATGTCATCACTTTCATTTTCTTTCTAGTCATATTTGCATGTTCCAGCACGACTTATTGTGATTTTGTTGTGCTCCCCTACCCTCCATCTCCCCACACCCCCGATCTCCAAATTGCAGGAAATCAAAAGCAGCAAGACAGTGTTGCATTTGGCTGTGAAGGAAGGGAATGTTGTTTTGCTTCACTATCTGCTCAGCATCCCCATGCACAATGTAAAAGACTTTGTCAACATGAAAGTGAGTTTCCCGCGTTTGGTTTCATTGTGTAAAGTCGTTGTGTGGACAGTGTATCTCAAAGCCCAATGTCTGCTTCCAGGCACATGGCCACACGGCTTTGCACATGGCGGCTTGTCTCCATGGCAACCCCAGGCAGGAGGAGATCCTGCGGCTCCTACTGAGTAGAGGAGCTGATCCGAGCATCCGCAATATGGAGAACAGCCTGCCGGCGCATCTTCTACAGGGTGGCCCGGAAGGGGAGCATGTGAGATACATTCTTTATTATATTTTTTTCCATCTACATTTTACCATTTATTTAGGATGTATTTTTCCCTCCTTGGTGAATGACCTGGCCTATCTGTTTTAAAAATCAAATGTAGCCTCCAGTTATACATACAGTGGCTTTAACTTGTCCACATTGGAATTTCATGTGCTCAAGCTACAAAATGTAGCATCTAATTGTGAACTGCAATGAAAATGACAAATCTGAAAAATACAAATGCATTTGCCCCCCGCCCCCCTTGCTCTGATTCAGATTACAGATGGATAGTTACTAGCACATGTCAACCTTCTGTTGTGTCCTTTGAGTGTCGTATTAGAAAAAGGAACTGCCCAGATAAAATCCAACCCACTGATGTCATCTCTTTCATTTTCTTTCTTGTCTTCACTCTGTTTCCATTTTCATGTGATTTGGTTATGTTTTCACAAACATAAATGTATTTTATTGGGATTTCGTGTGAAAGACCAACACAACGTGACACATAATTGTGAAGTGGAAAGAAGATGATAGATACATGGTTTCTGTATGTGCGCATGTGTGCGTGTGTGTGTGTGTGTGTGTGTGTGTGTGTGTGTGTGTGCGTGTGCGTGCGTGTTTGTGTGTGTGTGTGTGTGCGTTTGCAAAAAAATGTGGCATGTAAAAGTATTAAATGCCTTTTTACTCTGAAACCCCAAAATAAAATCAACTGACGCAACTTGCCTTCAGAAGTCACCCAATCAGTGGGTTGTTAGAAAACAGAAGTGAAAAAACAGGAAGCCAAAGTAATACACCGGCCAGATCAGGGATACATTTGTGGTGACCCTCAAAGCAAAAAAAAAAACCAAAAAAAAAAACAAAACAAACAAAAAAAAAAGAGCTTTGTATGACTGCAAAACATGGATATCATTCAAATAAGTGAAGTAGACTACTTTAACAATGAAACAATAACATTGTCATTTCAAAATAGCATTTGTATAATTCATGTCATTTGAATTCATAAACCAATTATTTTGTGATTTCCTCGTTTGTGAATACAATACACAACAAAGGAATAAATAACAAACACTTTTGAGACAGTCCAGTCTCCTACATTTTACTGACATCTGATCGTTCTGTTGGAGCTACGCTCAAGGAAATGCCAAAAGAAATTCTGTAAGGGGGATATAGAATTTATTTTGTGATTTCCTCGCTTGATTTTCTGCTTTGATGCATTATTTTCAATTTTCGTAGTTTCATTGAAGTAATCGTTAATTTACATTTTTTGGAGGTGGTCATGAACGCCTCTCGAGTCGAAGGGAAGGAGTGTAGCTCCATCTAGTGGATGCATTGTAGATTGCGTTTTATAATCCAGTGTGTCAAATATATGAAAAAAATTACAAAATAGGCCATTCATTGAAGGTGTGCCTCATAATCCAGTGTGCCTTTTAGTGCGGAAAATACGGGTAATTAATTAAAAAGCTGTATATGTAGTATTTAAATATAAATAAAACATGTACCGCTAAATATCTATCCATTCATCCATTTGTGGGTTATTTTATTCCCAACAAAAAAATTACTACATTTGATAAATTATTACAGATAAATAAGTAAATTTTAATTAAACAAATAGCTCAGTTAGTTCAACAAAAATTATAATATACAGTATATTATATTCATAAAAGGTGGCCCCGAGCCTGTACTTTGCCCACTACTGATCTATCACATGATGATTTCAATAAAATGCATTTACTTTTGTGGTTGTAACATGACCAAATGAGGAAAAGTTCAAGATGTCGGGATACTTTTACAAGCCTCTGTGTCTTTCTTTCAGCTCAAACACTTGCTGAAGAAACGTAGCGCTTCGACTCGCCGACGTCTGGTGGCCCCACAGGACCAGGAATGATTGAAAGTCTTCTGTTAAGAAGGGAATTCTTTCCATTTTATCAAGGAGTGAAAGTCTGATGGTAATTCACATTGGATTTTAACTCAGAAAACGATTCACCATTGAGCTGCTTTTCAAGAACAGCAAAAGTTGATATTTATGTTTCCATACTATTTTCTGTCAAGCGTTTGTACTTTTTAATTTAAAAAAAATCATGCTGTTTGGCATATATTTAAAGAAAATCAGACTGAACATTTTTTTCCACATTTTGATTGAAGTCCTTGTCACCTGCCACGTCAGGCACACATGTACAATCTAATGCCATCCAACAGAAGAGCTAAAATGCCAAATGCTAAATGGAGTGCACTGCTTGATTCATCTTTCATTTTCATCATACTATAGTCGTTCAAGACAATTGACTCACCCCAACGCTCACATTTTGTGGAAATTCAAGATGTCTAAAATAAGCAAACCAAATGAATCATTATTATCTTTGTAAAAGGCAGATTTTTGGGTGGCATTAGATTGTGTTTGAGTGTCTCAGTTACAGGGTTAAAAATTGTGGCTGAGGTGAGAAAGTTGTCATGTTACAGAAACTTTGATTTCCATGAAATCAACGGTCTGACCTGGAAGAGTCTTTCTCATGATGATCGCATTGACGATGGCTGCTGTTGCTGAATTCAATCAGCATATTTACTTATGTTGACATTGCTCATGTTGAAAATGAGCTAACTGAAAGACTCGTTCCTCTTCTGTATGCATCATACTTGTGGATGTAACGTGTTTACTGTGTAAAACTACATTGACTTGTGTTTGTTTCGTGTCTTAGAACTAAAGCATGACAAATTCACACATTAACAGTACAGTAATCTACTCTGACTCATTCATGGACTAAACGAGTCATGGGTGTTTGGATTGTTCTCGTGAGTCTTGACATAAATTAGCGGTGTGGGGAACTTGAGCCACTCACAGAAAAGTTGTAACAATGATGACGTTTACTCTTGAGGAATACACAACATTCACTTTCAACAACAAAAAATTCCTGACATTTTGATTGTCATGACCAGAGACCACCAAGAGGTGTCAAATTTGCTTTTGACTGTAATTTCAGTGAGAGAAATAAAGGTTGAGGTCTGTGACTCATGTATGTTGTTTTGCATGATATTTCAAATTACCCTGAGTATGTAGTTGTTGCTTTTTTGGCAGACTTTTCCACCAACTTGGTTTACGGATCTGATTTTCAAAAAATGCACTGGAAGTGGCATAAATAGTATGACACCTTCCCCAAGCATACCAAAAAATATGATTACTTCTATCCTATTGGCTATTTTATATACATTTGTGACTCGTTGATACATAAATATGCTTATTTTTGTGAATACATTTATTTCAAACGACACTGTCATGAGAACTGTACTTACTTTACTGTATGTTGAGCAACTAACTACCTGTTACCATCTTAGCTTCGCTAATGCTAAAAGCGGATCAGGAACTTTCTGTGCTTCGTCTGCAGAAGTTTAAAAAAAAACTGTGTTTTTTTTCTCCGAGGTTAATCTTATAGGAAGCCTCACTTGCCTTTATGATGGGTGTCTTCCATCGCGGTGCTGTTCTCTGTCAAGCCGACCGGCTAGCAGCTGGTGGTTGATGCTAGCAACTTCTCGCATAACATAACATGGCGTATGTAGAAGGAACAGGTTAAGATAGCATTTTAGGACATTACAGAAGGCATGAATAGATTTTTTTTTTTTTTTTTTAGTAGATGTTTGCAAATTCAAGAGTAGGTAAATCGGGGAATAGCGAATGGCAAAATCCTGATCCTGTCAGTCAAGGGCCATTGCAGTGTCATTACAAAGCAAAGAGGTTTCTCAGCAGTGTTGCCACAGTTACGCTTGACTTACCATAATTCATTTTATTTAAGAAAAAGAATGAGTCTTGTGGACTGCATTTATTATCAATAAATTTTAAAATACAATATAAAATAAAGGCAGTCTTTTTACTTGACACATTTCTAATGGCAAAACTTAACATATAAGGTCAATTTTAGAATATCGCAAATAAATTTGGAGACCTCTTTTAGTCACACAATCTTTTGGGATTTTCTCTTTAAATGCAGACTGATGTGATCCATGATTTTTTTTTTTTTGGACAAAGTATTTTTGAAACATGTTCAGAAACAAAGTCATTCAATGCATGTGCCAAAAACAGCATCAATTGTTGAACGATAGACTTAATTAATTGTTGTGGCGTTATTTGTTACACTGCACACAACTGCAACTGTTAAATACTTTTGTTTTAAATGAACGATTAACCTCCTCTTTCTATTCCTAAAGTGGATCCAAAAGAATCTAACACAAGTGTGAGAAACATTTAACGTAAGTACATTTTTTATTGATCATCCAACTGAGCTCCAACAACCATAAAACACTTTTATGCATGTGGTACGCTTCTGTTCTCATGATGCTGGCCTCTTGTTGCTCCAACAAAATACTGCATTTGCTATACAGCTGGAGTAGGCACTGCAATGAATGAGGAAAAAAAAAACGAGACAATTAGAATGTTACAGAAGTTGGACTTTACCACAAACTGAAGTGAACTCACCGTCTTTCTTTGGTATTTGAGTATCAGATGATCTGCAGGTAGAGAAAGAGAAAATAAAAGACATGAGTGCATTGGTCTTTGGGGTTTTCAAACATGCAGAGGCAGCACAGGATCAGGCGCATCCATTATCAGGAGTTCAGACTGTGACAAGGTCTGGAAGAAAGGGGCATTTATTTAGTCCATACTGTAGTTTGTCCAACAGAATCTTTTTTTTTTTTTTAACTCTTGTGTTTTCAAACAGGCGACATGCGAAAAATTTAGGCGTCACACTATACCAACACATGACGAGTGACCATTCTAAAAATTGTTCCAGAACTCGATCATGTCTTGGGGAGCATGTGTTTTTAATTGAGGAATGATGCAGGCTAGTATCCTTTGGTTGGTCCGCTGCTTCAAAAGGTTTAATTCATACAACATGCACAGGCCCAGCATCCACTAAACACTTCTTACTTGGATGAGGATTTTACACATTTAGTGCATTTGTTACCTGTTTGGGGAATGATACATTGGTTACTAATATATCAGTGTGTACACTCACTGTTCACTATGTCATGCGCACACACACACACACACACACACACACACACACACACACACACACACACACACACACACAATCTAAAGAGATCCAATCCAAGGGTGGAAGTGAAAATTCAGTCTTTGCAAAGTTAACCATAAACGTATGGTGGAAGTACCATATTTTCACAAATAATCAAGTGCCAATAGGTAGTCAGCTGTAAATTAATAATATTGTGACTCTGTGTTTTAAACCGCTGTTTCCCAACATTTGTTGATCCAAGGCACACATTTGACCAAAAAATAAATAAATAAATCTCACAGTATACTGCCACATAAAAATGTCACAAACGTATACTCTATGAATGGCAACGCATGAAAACACAGGTTAGTTGCATATTCTGCCATCTAGTGGAAGAGTATTTCATTGTTGCCTGTCACTATTCATCATTGGTTGGCATATAGAGAAATCAACAAATATAATTTGTAGTAAATAAATAGCAATTAAATGAAATTGCAAAGTTTTGTGCAGCAGACGCTATGATCTCTCTCCACACATGAATGTGCCAGGGCACAGTGCTTGGGAATCACTGGTCTATCCTGATTTAATGTGAAATGTTTTGCTAGCTTTCCAGGGGGCCCTAGTGAGCTTTTTTTTAAAAAACTTTATCGCACACATTTTCATCAGGATACACATGGTTGAAAAATTGGCACGTGAGAGCACCCAAAAGCCAAATAACAGTGATTCCAAGTTGCTCCAGTAAAAAGAAAATAGGTAACAAAAACAATGCAGTTCACCTAAGCTATTCATACCCAAGCCAAATTTCTTGTCGAAGTGAATTTTTATCTTGTGAATTGGCAAAACATGGTACTGACATTATGTATAAACTGAGCATTACTTTTGTAAAGTCATCAATTCTTTAGATCTCAATAGACTCTGCGTGTGGACCGAATAAAGAGTCCAGTGAGCGTACTACAGTGAAGGTATAAAAGAAGTAAAAACGTACTTAAGGCTATCAAAATGCCAGCCACAAACATGACAATGGCAAGGACAAGCCCTGTGGTCCTCAACGTCTCTTCATCTATTAGGAGACACAATCTGATAAATTTAAGGTAGATATTATGCATACACTTTTATCAGGCATATCTCTTACCATATTCAAAGTCATTATGGTCTGGAACCGTTGCTTCTGTGTGTAAAGAAACAAACAGTGTGAAGAGTGAATGCAGACCTCCTGTACAGCTGCAGTATTGCCTACACAAATCTCTGGAGTGTTTTTTCCCCCCTGTCAATGCTTTTCTCAGCAGAAAAGATGCACAGCAAAGAAAGGTGGAGCAGCAGAATCCACCACCAACACCACCAGTTTTTGTATTTACTTGCCTGTATTTTTCTGATTGATTGATTGGCATCTCAAGCCAAGCAGCAAGCTATCTCATTGGTATGCATGTTTCACATTTCATTTTAAATGCATTGCACTTATAATCTCTTTCAGGGCAAATGCAACTATAACATTTCCTAAAGACACACACACACACACACACACACACACACACACACTCGCAGAAGTGGTTTTGGAAAGTATAGCAGTCATGATTAAAAATGCATGGCGGATCCATTTTCTGAGTAGCTAATTCAAGATAATTCAAGCTTTAATTAATATTTTGAAGAAAATAAGCAAAGCATCAGTATGTGAGCCAACTTTTTGACCATGTTCTGATTATATAAAATGAACTGACCTGTGGTGCCCATGGTTTCAGCGCACGGATGCTGAAGATTTCCTCCAAATGAATAGACTTGCGGACTGCGGATGGGTGGGAACGGACTGAGCAGTCAGAAGCATCGCTCGCCTTCAAGTAAGCCCCCTGGTGGTGGGAGTCGAAAATTGCACTTGTCTGCTGCAACATACGGAAGCTATTTGACCGTTTACTTGATACTGTATGCTTGATATCGATATTAAAGTCCATGTACGCTTTTTGTCTTCACTAATACGTCAATTCAGCATACTGTTAGAACGATTGTATTGAAAAAAGAAGAAGAAAAAAAAAAAGAACAACCCCCCCCAAAAAAAGCAATAACACAAAACAACCACAATTTGAAAACATCTACAATGGAGGTTACTGGTGAGGCAAAACTGCGTTCTACTAATGAAGCACTTAATGTTAACTAGTCGTATTTTATGTCACCTGTAGTAGGTGAAGTCAAGTCCAACTTTATTGTCAAATTTAAGTATGCAGTTTTCAAGTTGTGCAGTGTTAGATTACTAATTATGGAGTTATCCTGTAAGTATGCCAAAGTTGTCCTCCTATTGAGAAAAAAGCTCATACTAGTACATAAGCCATCTCACTCATAGTCTTTTCCCATTGATTTTATGATATTCCTAGTGAAGCAACACTACAAGTGTAGCGTGGGCACGTCATTGTACAAGTGCTATTTTTTTTCATGAAACTGTTGCTTGAGATGAGGTTTTGCGGAGTTTGCTTTGGCAAGAGTGTAGTGCAGCCTCTTCCTGTAATATGTAAGGCAACGTTTAAACCTTTTACCCCCGCAGATGCCCAAATTTGCAGGAAATCCTTGTTTAGCAGCAATTGCCGCAGAGGCGGATGAAATGAGATGCAATTTTGCAGATAACCACTCTGTAGACGGCCACTTTGCACCACATAAATCACTCACGTTCATTGGTGGCGACCGAGCCAAATGCAACGTCAGCACAAGAGTGCGGCAGTGGGCTGCCTCCTGGCCCGCAACACATGGGCAGATTGCCAAAAATATGGTGGCATGCAGGAAATATAAAACACGGAGGCCTTTTTTGTATGATATTTTATGAGGCCATTTTGCTTTGCATCAATGCCATTGTCCATCAATTTACACAATTTGACTGCTCTGTTGTACCACGATGACAACGTAAATAGCATGTAAAGAAGAACAAAACAGATGAAAATGAGGCAAGTTTTAAAGTTGAATTCTTTATTATTGAAAAGATTGTCTTCAGCCGATAAGAAAAGAACATCTGCTGGCATCAAGGAGTAATGCTTGGTAACTGCAAAGAAATGAGGTAGAAGAGGAGTGGTAAAGGAAACTCATTTATCTTCAACAGCAAATTCAATTAGGTGAGGTTGTAGGCAGAGCTGTAGTTGGTCAAGTAAGGCCCAGAGTGCCATTCTTTACCTGGAATTTATTTGATCAGTCCTGTCATTTTTGGTGCATTCATTTGGCTGTTTTCCCCTTTAAAACAGTCAAGTCAAAATCGATGTATTCTTTTTTTCATTAATTTATCTCATTAAACAATTCATTGATTGACTTGCTGATATAATACAAGCAATACACTTTACAAAAAAAAAAAAAATCATTAAAATGAAATTACCGGTATTTGTAAATAGCCCAAAAATTATTCCAGCTATTTTGTTAGTAAGACTCACTGTATTATGTATTTATCTCTTTAATTGGTTAGATGACAGATTGTAAAAAATACAGTAAAATTTGTAACTAAAGTTATATTTACATCTTCAACTAAAATGTTTCTATTTTTTGTTAATTATAAACAACCGCTAAATTGGTGAATCATTATTTTAACACATTTACGATTTTGTATATTTTTCATTTACTTGTTCTGAAAATGTTGTCGTGATTTATTGCAGACAAAGATTTAACAATTCCATACATGGCAATGGCGAGTGATGAAAAAAGCGGAAGGGGCGTGGCCTGGACGGGGGCGTGGTTACTTACAAAAGTGGCACTAAACATGCTGAAGATGAAGTGTATTAAATTTACACAGTTTGAAAATTGAACAGAAAAAAATCCCAAGATCGCCACTATTCTTTCAAGTGAAAATTTGTGCAATTTTGCCTATGCATTCCTGGTGAGCACCAATATGTAACTCCAAATTTGCTGCTCAAAATCAAAACTAAAAAAGTAAACACATCCCCTGCCATATTTAAGATTTGTTCATGACTTGTATTCATAAAGTGTTGTGTAAATGTGATAAAAAGCTGTTGATTCTTACCTCATACAGTAACGTCTTTAGTTGTATCCGCTGACTAAGTTTGTTTGAAAAATGCCGATCCCAAGGAATAATTGCTCCGTCGAATGGCGATTTTGTCGGCATGTTTTTTCACCTTCGTTGCATGATCTGTCAGTGCCACGCATCCACGGGAGCCATAGTTAATTAAGTCACTACAATACACACAATAAGCTTTGCCTGCTACGTCTGGTTTCTTCAAAAATTGTCCAAGAGCTTCTGTAACTTCGTCGAACTTGGAACCAATTTTAACCTTTACAGTGACTTTTCTGTCAAGCCAGTCCAATCGGAATTTATTCTTGACATTTGAGTCAGTTTTTAGGATTGAAGACTCCTGATCTTTCGTCAAAATTTTCATAATTCCGCTCAAAACGATCCCAGAACAATGAATTTGCGAGACGAACAGGCCGCCATGAATCAGGTAAAGCAATATGTTACATGCAATTTGATTGGTCCAATCGCTTGTCGTTAACCAATCGCTGGGCCGTTTATAATCGAGCTAAGACTTCCGCAACAAATAATGCCTTCAGTGATCTGATTAGTTGAAGCTTTCATACACGTCCAATCGCAGGGCTGTTTACAAACGGAAAACGGAGAGACTGTTCGGGAGAGCTCGTGAAAACTCGACGATAAGGTACCTGACCGCCCCTAAAATTTTCTCAACGGATTTAGGCGATTCACAAAAATGATCAATTTAAGAAATAAAACGGCGGATTTCCGCGGATCCGCGGAAAATTGCCATGTATGCAATTCTGTATTCAATAATTGGTTGGAAGTTAAAAGGGGGGAATTGTGTTATTAATAAAATACAATAAACAATTTTCCATATTTTGTGCAGCCCATAAAGATAAATATAAAGTATTATAGTGAAACATTTTTTTTGAAAAATGACCAAAATCATAGGTTAGTTTTAAAACTCAAATCTGGAACTGAAGCACAAGTGTTTTCCCATCCCTGGTTTTGAGGTACTGACCAGCTGATCTTTGTCTTTGGGATTATGCTGTTCCCCCAAAAAAAAAAAAGAAAGAAAGTTTGATTACTTTGTTGACAACACACAAACAAACAAAAACATATATACAACAACAACAACAAAAAAAAAACAGCATAAATATACTTACCTCTTGGAACACCTGATTCCATATCTGGATTTCGTGACCTGGCCACAATTAGTAAATAGTTAAAATAGTCTACAATAGGCACAACTCACAACAAGCCTGCACACTGCACACACTGGATAGTTAACATGTAGATTTATTGACTCACCTTGACTTGTCACTCTTTTTACACACACATTTTCTACCTGTTCATGAGGGGAAAAAAAATTGTGATTACAAATAAAAGTCAAAAAATGTCACTGTGATATACTTCAATTTTCTATTCTTCGTAACAACACGGGGGGTAGGGCAAGAACAGCAATTCTCAACTACTGTCTGGAAAGTGTGAAACCAGGCAGAATGGAGGTGAAACAAAAAATCTCAATTTGATTATAAGGAGTAGGATGTCAAATTGTACGGGCTTATATTGAAAAGTAACCGAGGAGGCCTTGATTTATTCACTTTAGAATAATAGACTGTATTTTATTCTACAAACCCTTTACCGGTAATTTCAATGGACACCATGTGAGAACAAGGTTTCATTCTTGTAGCCGCACTAGATAGAGAGGTTGATGTGGGAAATCCCAAAGCAGGCTTGTGACCTACATGTTGTCAGGGCAAAGCATCTTGAAAGACAGCGCTAATCCTTTATTCTTCTATATTCATCCAATGAGAGGCGCCAGCGGTGTCTTTCGCTGGCAGGAAGTCTCTCAGGGCTCAGTTTTTTTTTTTAAGAGCCAAACAGTAAACTTGCACAGCACCGCTCTCCTTTACGTTCTGCTTTTATGCACTGTCTTTATGATTTGTCAGTGTTTCTAGCTGTTTTTTTAAAATGATGTTTCTCCAATGCCAACCTCATCGTGAATAACTGAGAAACCCTGTCGCCCTCCTCTACTCAACTTCATAAACCGTGAAAAACAAGTGTGACTAAAAAAATATTTACGACATGCTAATTGGATTTCGGCAGTAATGTGTCACCGTTTTGCAGAGTGAGTCACTTTTTAAATGAATACATTTGACAAACCGAGAAACTGTTTCCAAATATGGAATGTAACTGTGATTAGGCTGGGACGACATTAGTGGGAGAGGCAGCTACTATACTTGATTTATTTTATTACATGTTTAAGGTATGTATGATAAAACCCCACCCACTTTTACAAATTCCTCTATTCGCTGAAAAACGTATGTGCATTTTCATACTCTTTCTGCAATGCCCTACGATGCCACAAGATGGCGACAATGCAATGGCTAAACAGGCAGTCATTTATCGGTGTCAAGGAAGTATGATGAATTAATATCTCAAATGAGAGACTAAAATCTTCATCTGCCAGAGAGGATCTGAGTTCAGCCTGGGTTGAAAGCAGAAGTTATGGAGAACGTTCGATTCCGGTGAATGTTTTTGTCCTGCTGAGCGATGACACCAATTTTTTTTTTCAAAAATGAAATCATCTGTAAGCCATTTCATTTTAAGTTTAAGAAATTATAGTCTTTGTGGTATGTTCATGTTTTAAACTATCAATAAAGGAAATTCTTGAATTTGTCTTTTGTCTTTTTTTTTGTGGGGCGGGGGGGGCAATGCAGGGGCATCAATTACTTGCATGATTTCGGCAGTCAAGGCAGGACTCAGTCCATAGCTCACACAAATAGAAGAGGGTTTAATATTATTTTTTTCCAATTCCAAAAATAGCAAGCAACCAGTTAAGGGCGTACCCCCGCCCCCACACACACACACTCGCCCAAAGTCAGCTGGAGAAAAGGGCCTTTTCCAAACTTCAAAACGTGTTCTTGAGATTAGCAATGACTTTTCCAGAGGGATGAGCTTTTTTTTTCCCAACATCAAATGCGTGCTGCCCGTTATCCGGTAGATAAAGTATTTAACCAAGAGAAGCAACGAGAACACCGTCCACAGGCTGTGTTTGTTCTTGTGTGTTGCTTATGGGTTGTTTTGGTATATGCTGTCCGAGCGCTGCCTGGTGGGAGGAAAGTTTGAGCAAAGAGGAGTCTAGTGATAAGGTACGACCGGTATGAGAGAGGGTGTGTGAGAGCTGATATTAGACTACCCTCCCTTCATGATATGAGCGCACAGATGTGTTGTAAATACTCACTGACGATGAGGGCGATGCCTAGGAGGAACAGCACGACAGCAAAAACCAGGCCACCGATCCTCAGCGTTTCATAGTCTGTCAAAATTCCAAGATTAAATTGCAGGGATACAGATTGGTACATTATGGACACACATTAAATGAAATATGTCATTCAAGGCTGTCAATTGAAAAAAAAAATCCTAAATTCAACTTCCCGCACAACCTGCTGGTGAGACCACCAAGTCGAGCTGTCCTCTAAACCATCAACGCAGAAATAGCTTCACCCAAAGAAAGGCAGGTTGAATCTATATTAAAATATATCATTCTTTCTCATATGGTGGCCATGGGCATTTTTTTAAAACTCAAATGGAGCGATTGTAATATTGAATAAAAAAAAAAAAAAAAGAAAAGAAAAGAAAATGAGAAATGCAGAGAAAGGGCAAGAACCAAGGACTGGGCAGAACAAATCTGAAGGCGTGAAGTACGCCAAAACAAAGACACGGATGATCTTTGAATGCAACATGTTAGACTTCACAATTTAATGAATCTGCGAATGACACATTACATTTAGTAATAGCTGCTGCTTTGCCTAGCAACAAAGTTCAAATGGGCTGAGCAGTTAATACTTTAATGTCCGTGTTTAAACAAGACAATTACAGGACCGAGATGTTTATTTCCCAAGGGAAGAAAGGAGGTGTCGCTTTGGGGAAAGACATTTAATTATTCAAGTGGACAACGCTATGAGTGACATTGCGTCTATGAGAGCAGGGATCACGATTTCATGAGCTTCTTAACAGCAAAGAGATGAAAGTAAGTCGCCAGCAACAATTTCAATGTCTATTTTACCGTATTCAATTGATCAGTGGTTACTAATAGTAAAGAAACACATGACGTGATAACTGTGACGTATCAATAAAACACCACTGCTCAAAATGTATTACGGCAAAAATATGAGTTCACATGCTCAGTAGTTTTATGGTGGGGTAATCAATGGTATGGAAATAACTCATGTCAACAGGTGCAACTGGAAATCTCCATTCAGCCGGCGAATAATACTTTTGCTGTCTTAAAAGAGGCGGCCCAATAAATCATTACTGTTCTCAACAGGGTTTATCCAGTCTACATTATTAATAAGCTTAAAACAGAGTTATGGAAAATGTTGACTTTCAGTGCTGATATTGTGTGGACAAAGAAAATATCCAATTTCAAGAGAAAATCCACAGCTCGTGTGGAAATAAGGAAATGCAAGTGTGAGATGCCATAATCTGACTTTGCAGATGTTTCCTTTCAGAGATTTGTAAGACTTGCTCACTTACCATATTCAAAAGCGCTGTCGTAGTCTGCTTGAATAAAACAGAGAGAAGAAAGATTTGAGTGACTGATCGACACACCTTACTTCTGCCTTGGCGATACCAGAATGTGAACTCAGACGAAACGCACCTTTTTCGCTGTCTGCGGCTGAAATTGTGAAGACAAAAAGTAGACAAACATCATTAAAGAGCCAAAAGTATACAAAGCATCTCAAAGTATTGTGATTATGAATTCTTTTGCCAGTTGTCTACAATTTAATTGATTTGAATGCTCGCTTGCAGCTGCCTTTCTGATGAGCCTAACTCTAACCCCTGAACCCAACCTATAAACCCTAATACAAACCTCTAACTCTAGCCACTATCCCTAACCCCTAACCTAACCAAAATGCCCAACCTTAACCCTAAACCTACTTAACACAACGCCCTAACTCTAAACCCTCACCCTAAGCATAACAAAAAACCCAAACCCTAACCTATAACCCTCACCCCCTAAACCTAACCCAAACGTAACCCCTAACCCTAACCCAGGTGTCAGCAACCTTTTACACTCAAATAGCAATTTTGACCTGGTTTCCACGGAAAAGATAACAGTGGGAGCCGCAAAGACTTTTTGACATCCGAAATGACGATGCTAGCCAAATATAAATCCCTCTCTCTCTCTCTCTCTCTGTGTGTATATTTTTTTTTATATATATATATATACACACACACACACACACACACACACACACACACACACACACACTTTCCACTTGTAGTGTGTTTCTTATAAAATCTTTTCTATATCCCATATCCCATATCTGAGCATTTCCCAAGCAGTCACAAAATTTGCATAGGTAGTCGGTAGTCGAATTTGCAGACTTCATCCACTTCTTGAACTGATTTTTTCTCAGATGAGCCTTCCGCATCAGTTGCACTGTATTTTCTTAACAGCAGAACACTAGTTCGTCACCATTACAGAACTTCCTTTTTCATCTCAACAGTATTTTTATAGCAACATTTTTATAGCAACACTGCCACCTAGTGTACAGTCAGAAACAAAACAGAAGTGATACACGTTTTTGAGACAAACAACATACACTTCAATCAGACACTTGTAATTTCCTTTTCCAAGCCACGCAGAGCCCCAACATAAGGATGAAACTAGCCGCATACGGCTCCGGAGCCGCGGGTTGCTGACCCCTGCCGTAACCCTAATGCTAACTCTAACCCTTAACCTGAACCCCCTAAACATTACCCCAACCCTAAGTTATCCTCCATTTAGATGTTTTCCTCAGCATTTCTTAGCCCCCCCCCCCAAAACAAACAAATAAATAAATAAATACCAAAAAAAAAAGCCTTCACTAGAGGAATGTTCAAATCCGGAGTAGAAAAGTCATGTAGATGTGTGTGCAATGAACAATTCTTAACATTCATGAGTATCGGCGTATCTGCGTAACATCAAGCAGAGCGAATGACATGCAGGAAGAGAATACATGTACAATCAGGTGGAGGAAAAACCCAGCAGCAGCCAAAAGACTTTATTGTTCAAACAAAGGACACATGAATATGACTTTAAACGGTACTTCCTTCACTGTGAAAAAAAAAATATGAACATGAAAATTTGGGTGACAAAGTCATGCAAATCGTTTCAGAATCGTTTTGCGTTTCAAACAAGCAGCGCATGACAGGCAAGTCTGGCAAGAGTATCAAAAGGGCCATGTGACCGCCAATGGGAGAGAGACTGTACATAAATGAATGTTTCAGAGATAGACGCAGGAGGTGTCATTGAAAATACAGTACCCCAAAAATCATCCTCACCGAGAGCAGAAGTCAACCAGGAGACAAATGCCACAATCAGCAAAAGATCCATTGTAGCTGGCGAGGAGAAAAAAACAAGCGTTAATGAAGGTGACTTTATTTCTAGTTCGGGTCAATTTTTGAGTGAAATTTCAAGATGAACCCATGACGCGCTACAACTTTTCCAGGTGAACTTCAATTGACCTTCTCAAAATCTTTCGTATGCACATGTCCAACTGCTCAATGTTTCAGTCCTTTTTTGCACAACTAGCAGTTACTGTATTCAACAAAGAGAATGCATGAACTGCTTCTTTCGTGAGACCATAATAAGTAAATTATATGGCTTGTAAGTATAGACGGATGCTGGAAAAAAAAAACCTCCACCTAATTCACATTTTATAGTCCAGTTTGAGTGTAATCTATTTTTTGTTCCCTACACTTGAGTCCAGAGTCAATCAACAACCCAAAGTGAACCAATTGATAAATTAAACAATCATTTTAGCATATTGTTTTGTTTTCTCTGGACGAAGAAGTTAAAGTGCACAAAAGCAACTCCTGTCTTAGGCTACTATAAATCCTTCAACTGTCCAAATTATTATTGCTTGGCTTTCTTTTCAAACGATGGAAAAAAACTCAAAACCTTTCAGTGTGTCTACAATTAGTTGGGTCTCTGGACAATCTGGACATCTATCAAGTGTGAAATGTAACAACCAAGTAACCTTTTGTCGTTACTTATTTCTGAAAATGTGTCAGTGAGCGAGCCGTTCTGTTATGTAAAAGTGGTGCTAATTTACATTTTAACCCCCCCGGCTTTCCCTGCTTGACAGGATCAACTAAGCCTGGTGAAGATTCAGAGCCACTTTCAAGCTGTGGCCAGAGTTTTCAGACTACATTATCTAAAACAGTCAACAGTCAAATGCAGAAACACTATCATGAAGAAACTTCCACATCCCCCACGGGTGTGACTCTCCTGCTGTCGTGTGAAAGTCAAAAGGTAAGAAGAGCTGCATAGATGGATGCATAGAGTTGCATCCAGAGGTGCTATCTTCTGATAAGCAGCACATAGTTGCTGGGTGAAAGGTGTTGACGTGGTTGCGCAGGGTATTTGTGTGTCCATGTCCCACATACACACAGTGTAGAGTGCGAGGTGCTGTATCCACAGATAAAAATGCTTTATTAGGGTAAGCGGTTCAGATAATGGATAGATGTCTAGGTGGGCTCTCTCCCCAACCCCCCGCTTCCATAGAAGCAGTCTCTGGCCTTGCTCTTCATGGCAATGATTCACACTGAGTAAGGACATTTGTGAGTAAATTGAGATAGCAGTATTTAAGTTTACATAGCTTTAGTGGCTTTTGTTTCTATTACATTTTGCAAAGGTGAGATATGCTTTGGCTCTGTTAAAGCTGGGAAACACTGCCTTAGAGCAATGCAGTTTTGAGTTCTACAGTCAACACCTCCTGACTGGGACAGCGCAGGATCTATTTAAGGCAACTCACATCCTCCGTTGTCCAAGATCACCGGTGTTGAGTTGCATTTGCTATTTGGTGAGAGGGTTTGACTGTTGTGTTTGTTGACAGGAACCCACAGCCACCGTTTCATCGACATCATTATCTAGCAGTGTATTGTTGTTTTAAAGCTCACAAAAATATGTTTGCTTACCGGCTCCGCAGCTATACACTGACAAGTTTATGTCCAGCTGTGTGCAGATGGATGACAATTTAAAAGACTTCAGGCCGAAGAAGACCCTTGGCGGGAAGCACACACAACCACAAGAATGCCAAAATATGTAAAGAAATCACACCGATTTGGAAACATAAAGCCCTGGCATTTGTGAGTATTGTCCACTGCAAAGGATAAAGTTTATGTAAGGAGAGCCAAGGCTTTCCTCCCTGCCACAAGCCTTCTTAAACACTGCTGAGATTTCAAGCATGGAGTGGAGAGAAATGAACACTTCATCCGTGGAAAATGGGATTAACAAAAACCTGCCAATCAAGTTTAATCAAACAAGCGCAGGATGAGTTATACCAATAGGCATCGGTCCAATAATTGAATGAAAGGGATATAATGAAAGTCTAAGAGCAACACTTTCAAAGAAATTATCTCGGATTATAATAACACAGGATTAACAATGGGGGAAGGACGGGGGGTAATTGGAAAACGCACCAGTGTCAACCATAAGCAAATCGTTGTCGGAGTTCACGTTCTCGCAAAACAACGCGATATCCACCGATGAGTTCATTCTTGGTTTCTAACTGTTGAACGCAACAGCATATAAATGAGTACCAATGAACTTCACAAAATGAAAGAAAGAAAGAAAGAAAATAAAGGGATAAATCGTAACAAGTAAATGGAAGAAAGAAATGGGCACGCTTGTATTATTCATTTGCGAGACTAAAGCGGCTTGTGGTCATTAAATAGTCACATGCTGCCGTGGGCATTTGGATGAAAGTCGGGGGCTGCAACTGCAGACGACAAAAATAGGTCTAGGTCAAATTGAACAAACGTGAATTGACTGAAATATTTTGGAAGTGTAGATATTACAGTGCAGTGCGTTTCAGGCAATACGCAAATACATCGATGTAGACGACTCAAAAACGAGAACTTACCACGTTTGATGACGCAAATGTTACCTCCACCCAACTTAGGTGTACCTCCTTTACTTTAAAAAGTTTTCCTTCAGCAGCAAGTCCCCGGCAGAAAAAACTGGAATCCGCTATGATGTTTCAAAGAAAAAAAAATTACATCTGATTTACGAGGAATTGGAGAACTCTTTTTACTGCGTGTCTTGTTTGGTCCACTGAGGAATGAAGGAGGAGGAGGGGGCGGGCGGTGGTGTGAAGTTACTCTCTGGCGTGCAAATGCAATGCAACCAACCATAGGACAATTCATTAGGGACACCAAGAACCATGCCCAGTTCTGATTGAAACAGTCAGAGTTGTATTTCATCAAGTATTTATTGAGCATTTTATCGCAATGTTGATCGATTTTCTTATTACAATGTTATTTAGTCAGGATGTGTTTTTGTTTTTCTCATGTACGAAAGCACAAAGACACTTTCTACAGTAGGCCTACTTGTCGTCATTTGGGTTGTGGGTGAGCTGGAGCCTACCCCCACTGCACACAAACAAACCATTCATACTTAGATTCACACCTATGGGCAATTATGCTTGTTTTTGGCGGAATGTTGGAGAAAGCCATGCAGTACCCGAAGAAAACACATACAAGCATGGTGAAAAACTGCACACATGAAGACGGTAGCTGAGATTTGAACCGTTGAAGACTTGCTTATCACTAGTTGCTGTCACCTTGTTCAAGAAATAGGCCTACTGCTCTAAGTTTTGATATTTGATACATGTTGTGACTTGCGAGTACAGGAAGTATGTCCTTGAGCTGGATTCAAGATAAGACACAAAGATCACAAATTAGACTTGCACAGTGGTGTCATGGGAATGTGTTAGTGTTTCACCAAAATAAAAGCAGATAATAACAGTAGATTGTTGTGCGCTCTATCAGTCTATTGGTGCCTAGCTATGTTCTCAAGGTCTCCTCCACACCAAACTGACACATTCTCTCCTGTGGGACGAGCAAATAAAGAGCCGGCTGGACAAACTGTAGAATGTGACTCAGTATATAGTTGAGTCAGGGTTATTGATTGGAGCCTAAATGATGTAGAGGTTAATTAAAAAAAATCCTCTGAATCGTTTGATAGGTGTGAAAAGGATTGCAATGATTTCCCATGGCCTTCACAGTCAACAGCACTGAAGCCAATGAAACATCTACAGGACATGTATGGACTGGCATGACTGACAAGCCATTCACTCATTTAATTTTTTTTTTTTTTGAAGAGAGGTGTTCAATTGATATATACAGAGGAGTTTCAAAGAAACCCTCAGGCTTTTCATCCTTCAAACCTTCAACATTTTATTTGACAGCTGTCCATTCACACAGTAGCCTCAACATTAAGTGCAAAGAATTCCAATACACGAGATGCCTTTACAAAGATAATACAGGTACCTGATTTAGCTACACGAGGGAGGCAGAATCCCTTTCACACGATGCAGTGCAATTCTACACCACTACAAATTAGTACAACAAAAAACATAACGGTGATTAAAAACTGAACATCGTCTTTCGGTACAGATCTTGTCATTGACCACATGTACCAAACCAAATTGTGGATTGTGTGAAGTTATGTGATATTACACTTATGCTTGTAAACCTCTTGTTATGCTTTGTTATTGTCTTTTGGGGTGATCTCTTTTCTTTTACTCATACCAAGATATAACATTGATGAGAAACTGTAGTAAAAACCACATAAATTTGACTCATACACGGGAAGCACAGATGGAGGCACAGAAAGACAGCTGACATTTTATTATTATTGGCCAAAAAAAAGTGGTGGGGGGTGGGGAGTCAGGAAATACGCTATCACGTATTTAACAAAAAAGATGAGGGAGTGACAGCAGCACCAGGCTTGCGCCAGACAATGGAACATTCTTCTCCACTAGATGGAGATGTTAGTCAAGAAAGGGAGGCTGAAGTGAGGGGGGGCAATATAAGGAACATACTGTTTCACCAGTCAGTATATTAACTATGACTCCACTTTTTAAAATTTAAAAATAATGCGTGATTAGGACCAACATCCAACACCCAACATCAGCAGAAAAAAAAAAAACTTTTCTATCTATTCCCTCATTCAATTTACCAATTTGATAAGATATTTATGACACGTTTTCATGTGGTCAGGCAGAGATGTTGTGTAAAAGCAGTCTCCATATATTTTGCTGCTGTTTGTTTTGTGTCCAGTTTTGGAGGAAAGGGACACATTAAAACAGCAATTCTCTAGGTATGGACTTTGGGCGAAATGACGCAATCTTGGGTGAGAGCTTGAATGAATATTGTCCCCAGATGAGTCTTAAATGTCCTTGGATGACAAGCAGTGATTGGATTGCAAGCTTGGTAGCTTTTGATGGCCATGCCTTGTCAGCCTCACCTGCTTTTTAATCAGTAATTACCATGGGGGATTCTGTGGTATTTCTTAATTAAATCGGACAAAATGCAATTAAAAACCACACACCATATTCCTTTAAAATGGCTCTGTGGAGTTTAGTTCTCGCTGTTAAGAGCTTAAGCGGCTGAATGGTCATAGCACTGTCCCATCGTTTCCTGATCTGCACTTGATTACGCCAATGGTCAAATTAAGTTACCCTTTGCATAATGAAGCCAGGTTCATAGGGTAAAAGAAGGTTAGATTTTAACTGTAGTCCAAGTGGTAATGTTGTTACTGTAGATCAGGCTTTACCAAACTTTTTCAAACTGCGAGCATACCAGATTGATACTTCTGAAAGAACACATTTGCTCAAATGAATCTTATGATAAATATTAGGAGTGATATTTGAGTTTTAGCTTCTTTTTTTTTCTTTTTTTTGGGGGGGGTCATTGCGTTTGAGCTTTTAGCCACACATTTGGCTGGTGGAGAAAGTAATAAAGCTTAATTGAACATTTTGATGGGGGAGAACAGGTGTGTTCTGTATTCATGACACAGTGTGTGGTCGATTAATTTTGCTTGAGATACAGTAAGCCTAAGGCCAGTGAGAAATGGAGACTGGAGTATAACAACATCAACACCCAGAACTAAGCATGCAGTCCGTCACATGCTAAGACAATGTTAGTTTGGGTTTTCATTTTTGTCATTTATCCTCAAGTGTCCTCAAAAGTTATAACCTGGTGCTGACAAAACTGCTTGACCAGTAAACAACCAGCAGCAATCAACAACAATATAGGCGACTACCAGCAATTGTCTTGTCCCTACAAGACGTGTGTCAAACATTCCAGGACTAATGTCAGGAAAAATGCATTTTAAATCCAAGCAACCAAACCCTTCAAAGTTATCCTTTCCCAGCCTTCCCTCACACGCCTTCACACACTCGTGGAGAGGAATTCTTGGAGGATTCTCCACATCTCTGTCATCATAGCCAACTCAGTCGTCTATATCATCAAACCTTTGATGACCCTCTTTCAATTTGGGAAAAGGGTGGGGTGGGGGCCAGGGGGGTTATTAGACAGAGACCGGTCAGGTGAGTCGGGACGCTACTCGAGCATGGCGATGTTTTTCTCAGCCAAGAACTGTCAGATTCTCAGGGCATTGTGAATTGGTACGTTGTCATAAGAAGCCATGAGTTGCCCTTCCACAACTCTCTCCTCTTTTACAAACAAAGCAAACACAGCAGGATCTTTTGGTGGACACGCTGGTTTATTGTCTGGCCCACATTGGAAGGGTCAACTCGTTTTCTATTATGGGTATGAAATATACAGGTATATGTTGTTAATAATGTCGTGTGTAAATGCTCCCAGTACAGCTTTAACAGTCAGATCCCTCCCCCTCATTTGTCAACGTTCCACTGTAGTGTAAAAAAGGTTGAATGCACAGACTGCAAATATGAGATAAATGCCTTATTCTTGTTCTGGTATCCTTGGATAAAGCTGAACTAACCCACTGACGGTCGGAGCTTCTCATTGTGCAAATGGATGCATGAGGCGACACTGTGACAATATCTTCAAGGGAGAAAAGGTACTTTACATGAACGCAACCCATTAACATGGAATTAATCCTTAATGTCTCCCTGCAAACCTCCTCAAAGGCTGACTTGTTGAATAGACTGTCTGGTTCGGCTGGAACCAAACTCATTACGCACACAAACCACAAACACATTCTATTCAGTGTCAGGGCAGTGGAGGAAAATAAGAGGCCAATGCTATTACACACACACACACACACAACCACAATGGGAATCAAATGGTCGTCAAGAAACACTTTGACATCATTCAAAGTGGCAAAGGCATCATTCAGAACCAACAAAGGAGTAAAAATGAGACTTGCACTATGACATCGGACAAGAGGCAGGACCCTGAACTGGACCTAATGGACATACTGTATACCAACTTAATCAAGGCTCCAACAATTGAGTGACTTGAAGACAAGATGCTCAATATATTGGATGTGAAATAAATGCATTGACATCTTCATCGCTACTTGCAGTCCAAATGGCAAACACAATTTTCTGTGGCAGATGTTGAAAAGGCTACTAGGCCACCAGGATGACATTGGGGTCTGATTTGCCTCCTTTTGTATCTGCAACGTAAAGGAGATAGACAACCGGCCAAACGCTGTAAACAGCAGAGGAATATCAAACAAAAGAATGGAAGATTATAGTTGCCCTTCGCCTTGGCCTTGATATTGCTCTCTTGCCTGCATGCACCATGGTTGGGTCATTTTGTGGTATGCAGTGGTACCTCAACTTAGGAGCGAACCAACCGCTTTTCCATGCGCAAGTTGTCTTGTGTTATAAACAAAATGTAATTTCCAATTGCCTGATGTGTCCCTAGCAAGACCAGCAACAAAAGCAGCCAAGATTTGAAAACCCCAATTTTTGGTCACTGGGCAAGCCGCTTTCCCAACTGAGCCACAATCACCCACCCGGACCAACATACTGTCGTTGCCCATCGGATAGGTGGTGACACAAGCAAGACCAACTGGCCACCAATTATCACCAGCTACTGGGAAAGCCCCCGCAACAAGCTGGCCCTGCTGGGTGGCTGTGGCTCAGGTCACAGAGCAGGTTGCCCAGTGACCGAAGATTCAATTGTTCAAACCTTGGCTGTTTTGTTTTTCTTTGCTGCTAGTCTTGGTGGTTAAACCTTGCAAGAGTGGCACAAAAACAAAACCATGCTGGTCTATTGTTTTTGTTGTTTACACATGGCTCAATTATTATTTGATAAATCGTGGGGTTAAGAGACCGGACAACGGCCCACCTGAGTCACTGCTGATCAATTTACTTTGTTTTGTCCGTTTGTGTGCGCTATACTTAAATGCATTTATGTGATTTTGCTTGATGTGGTTGGTGGTCTCTTTGTTGACTGTCTGAAAATACAAGAGTGAACATTGGGTATATTTCTTTTCATCCACATTACCTTGCAGGAGCAACGGTGTCTGCCATAATACAGCCGCATCAACTCTATCCCTGACTTCATCACAGGTGGTCTATACTCCCCCCAGGTGAGTCCTGGAAGTTACTGCCGTATATGACGCATCACCATACAAAGGTCAATGTGACATCAGCACTGTATGCACTACATTCCACAGAACTGCTGAGACACATCGCTCTTGTCTTTATTCTAAATGCATAGACAAAGACGTCATAGCATTGAACTATACAGGGCGATTGCAGGGGTAGGATATTTTTACATTATAGATGCATTTCTGTAGTTCTTGCAAATCCTAACATACAGCTAACCCTTAAGTGTCACTGCATGGAAAATTAAGTCTGCAATTAAATATAAATGAAAGGCGAGTGATGTAAGAGCTCAAGGCATTATCATCCACTCATTTTCTTTTGGCTCACAGCATGTTATTTTTAATGCGGTTAAATGCCATGCTGCCCCATTTACCCGTACTTGGAAAAACAAACAAGTGTCAGTTTTCATGCACAGTCTGTCAAATGACTCCTTTGATTCATTTGATATTTATACTTGCTTGAGCTTCGTAAGGGGATTCTAAGTTAATGCAATAATATGAAGAGCAGTGATAACCATGTGTAGGTCACTGCTTCACCTCCCAGGTGGTTCTATTCACTTTGAGCTTCAAGGGGCAAAGTGCAACCAAGGGGAAAAACACATTCCCATACCTGCGCTCATCTTCAGTCACACTGTGTGTCTCACCCGAGGCAATGTTGCGCTTTTCCATAAAAGCAGTTTCAATGTCTGTCTGGGCAAGGTCCCAAAATTTAAATAGTTCTTTGGAGTTGACCAGCTTCAGTAAGTAGACGCATGACAAGAATGGAACCAAATTCTTGCATCATGGACTCAGACACATGTCACTGAATTTAATAATTCAAATAAATTGCTCGGTCATTTTACTTTAACACGCACACTGACAGAATTTTGAAAATATGGAAATTCAGATAAATTGTTTAATATCTATAGGTTGGAAACTGCAGATTTACTAGCCAATTTTGTTCAATTAACTTTCGTCATGTTACAGTTTTAAGAACGGGTAAATCCTTCACATTTTTAAATGACAAAAATAGTTCCTTAAAGCCCCATCAAAGAATAACAGTACAATATGGATTTTAATCGTTTTATTGGATGAGTCAACATTATAAATGGAAACGCTGCCGTTTCAAAGAGTCAGGCTGTGGAGGAAAACAAACGTTTGGAAATAGTAATGAAAAACACAGCCTGTACAAAATGTAGATTTCTACCTACCAGCCTTGAAAGTCTGAAAGCGCCCATGACTTGACCGATGTATGCCATTGGGGGTCACTCAGATTTCCACAGATGCCACATAACTTTCCAGCATACCAAGGAGCTGCCTTGAGAGTGGCCATAGTGATTCCGATCTCCATTTCCAACTCTGATTCCAGTCCAGCCTCTCTCGTCAGGACCACTACCACTTCAGACTTGTCCTGGGCCATGGCAGATGACAGGGACACCCCTAAAGGCAAAGTGTAAGGCAAAGGCACAAGGTGTCCATTCACCTGTGCGTGTGGACAGTGGACTGATTAAGACCAACAGAAAAGGAAAGAGAGACAAACTTTTTGTGATGAATAATACCTTCACAATGCCATCCTGGATAACAATTGAGGATCCCACAAGGAGGATTTGGAACACTGTAACAAGCCTGCTGCCACGTCTATCACAGCGTCCATAGTAAGAAATGAGGTTAAACCAATTTTTAGAGGTCTCGTCGCAAAGGCCTATCAGTTGGTAAGGCGTCTGTGGTGCCAAGCTCAGCTGCTGCCCGTTGAAAGTGGAGAGCTGTAGGCTGTCTTTGAGTTGACAGACTTCCCGGCCAACACAACTCCAGTAGCCGTTCTTCAGAGAGCACAACTGCCCAGGGCTGCAAGCAGCCTTCTCACACAAGGCGCCGCCTTGAGGGTGGCACCAGCATCTCTCTGTGCAGTTCTCGCTGTACAGCTGCTCATCAATCTTGAACAGGGAGGGGGTCGTATAAGATGGCATTTAAACTTGCCTAACAACTAGAAATACTCCTATGTAGCTTATACATACCTTAATATATTTACCATGAAGCACACACCCACACTGGCTGACCGGTACACATTCGCCCTCGTCAAACACTTTCCCATTCTGGCACCGGCATCCTTCTGAACACCCATCTGCTGAGGACTCGGGATGCAGCAGGGCAGGACATGAGTTGGAATTGTAGTCAACACACTGACTTGGGCTGCTGCGGTCAGGACACTTGAAAGCTGGCGTTACAAATGAACAAATCTAGAGCGGGTTGGATGCTTTTCATTTTAATTAGATCAAAGAGGTTTACTCACAGCAAGGGCTGTTTTCTCTCCAGGAACCGACATTTACTCCTTTGGCCTGGCAAGCTGCCATGTAGGCTTCCAATGCTAGACAAACTGCTTCAGTATATGCAGCCCCACCACAAATGGCTCTGAGGCACATGTCTCTGTATACTTGGGGTTTAACACCCTTGTTCCAGCAGTAATTGAATTCAGTATGTGTGGTCAAGAGGATGTCACAAATTGTTTCGGCCTTTGCCGACAATGTGCACTGACCACAGTCCTTTCCACAAGACCCACTGCAATTCCATCCAGGAGCAACAATAGACCAGTCATGGAAAAATGCTGAAATATTTTTGGCTAGATAACCACTTCGTAGTTGCAGGTCGTCAGATTTGTCCCCATTGAAATTCCCACAAAGGCCTGAAGTTGTGCCATTATAATCCTGAGGTATGCTCAGCCTGAGATACTTTGTGGAGGACACCTCAAGACTCACCCCAGCCACAGATGTGATGATCAACCGACCACCATCTTCATAAGCTTTAAGTACATCAATACTGTAGGGCACCTTGAAGTCCTCGCCATTTACCTGAAGTGAAACACCTGTTAGTTTGCCCACACCTTCATTTTACATCAGCAGCTCAAGCTGCGGAACTTACTTGTATTTTCCAAGGCGCTTCTGGATTGATGGTTATTTCCACTGCAGCCAGAATAAATTCTACCTTGCTGACAGTAAAAACGGAGTCATCTACACCCTCCTCAAAGCTAAGCAGCAGACTGTGGCCATGTATATCTTTGGGAGAGCGTTCAGACACTAAAAAGGTGCAAGCGCCATGGTGACGTATAACCAAACCATCAAAAGTGACGTAGCCAAACCCAGCAAAAACTTCACATGCTCCATGATGCCGAGGTGTTGGCTCAAAAAGGCCATCACTTGACAAGAAAGGCTCTTTGGGTCTACAGAGTGATGGTCTGCAAGTCACTTTCCCCTCACGACAGTAACAAATGCGACAGTTTTTTGGTTCTGAAAAGTAACCAGCGGGATGGTATTGTCCTTCATAAAAGCAACCGCAGTCTGCTACCAGTACACAACGATCATTACGGAGGACAAAGCCAGGGTCACACTGGCAACCCTCCTCACAACCGCCACTGCATTTTGTTGCAGAGGAAAGTCCTTCACATACAACAGGACATCGAGGTCCACACAGTTCGTAGTGACTATTTTTGGGACATGTCATACCTATGGAGAAGAGGGGTTGAGGAAAACAGTGGGTTAGAAGAATTAAATGCATCGAACATGTTTGCGAGACTAAAAAATAAAATATCTTTATCAGTTAGTTTGCATTTACAGTATTGGATTTTTTTTTTAAAAAGTCAATTTACTCACCACAGAAGGTATCACTCCTCCAGTGCCTGATAGGCAACTGAGCTGCTTGGCAGGCAGCTGCAAAGGCTGTGATGGAATTGCAAAGTGCTAAATAATGTCCTCCATAAAAACAGGCGTCTGCTAAACAGTTGTGGAAGTACAGCTTTGGACTCAGAACTAAAAGGCACTCTGCAAAAGGACCAAACTCATCCCTGAGTATCCCACAAAAATTAGTTCCTTCAAAACGTTTCCGTGCATCCGCAGGGCAGTTCTTCGGTCTGGAAGTGCAGCGAGACCTACAGGCCATCGCGCCTCCCAATCTCCAGCTGTGAACAAACTCGAGTGTATTTTGAGCTTCCTCTTCATCTGGCATGATTTGGTCATCATAAGGGTCAGAGTTGGCATTCCCACAGAGACCGCGAACAAATGATTCATAACTACTTGGGAGGCCCACCATCACAGTGCCAGTTTTATAGACCGTCACCTGCAATCCCATATCAACATGAATAACTAGAGATGAAGGTGTTTGGTAAGCAGTGAAATGTCCTGTATGGTGCGAGTATGGCAAAGGCTTATGCAGTCCATTGACCTGAGGACAGAAGAATTCAAAATGAAAATTGTAATTTCCTCGGTAGTATTTAAAAGTGTAAGGGGAACGGGTACTCACCAGCACTTTGTCAGAGTCACCTTTGCCAACGACTACTTTCAAATTGTATATTGAAAGTGTTAAAGTTAAGCTATGAAAGAATCTTTTGTGGCAACTTGCATCCGAGATAGTGATGTTGAATGGTTCAGATCCATTTATATTGGTGGTTGCTTGGACTAAAACATAGGCACAGCTGTCCCTAAAGTCATAACTATGTCCATCAAAGGTGGTGAAGTGCATCCCAGTGACAATACTACAGTTCTGAGGTTTGTCAGCTTGACACATCCTTTTGTCAGGAAGTTGCTTGCAGGACATTCCTTTCGGGCACCGAGATAAACTGCACTTAGGTTCTCCTGATTTACAGATGCAGAGTTGTCCACAGTCATCTGGGATCCAGAAAGTGGACTTCAGGCGGTGGTATTTGCCTCTGGGGTCGGTGCAACCACACTGCTTAGGAGGCACGCAACCCTCCGGACTGTTGATGAAACCGGGGTTACAGAAGCAGCCTTGGACACAAGCACTATGACAGACTCTCTTTTTAGATTCACAGGTTGGGGGACAGGCTGACCCACAAGTCTTGTAGTGGCTGTTTGGTGGACATCTCGCAACTGAAAAATAATTGGTACAGTATTTAATTCATCAAAACATTTCACAATTTATGAATCTTGATAAGAATACTTACCAATTGTCAGTTCGGGGGCTACGTAATCACTTAGCTCTTCACAAATTACAGAATAGGATGTTGTGGCCTGTTTAAGAAAAGCCTCTGATCTGCCTTGTATGAGGTCCGCTATGCAACTTTGATAAAAGGAGTCCGAGCTGAGATGAGTGTGACAATGTGCAAATGGACCAGCTGGATCAATGAGATCATCACAATGACTTCTCCGAGTGACAACTATTCCATTTGACAAATCTTCCAGCAATGTAGAGTTATCCAATGCATTCTTTTCACAACCAGTACAACAGTTATGATCACCATCAAAAACGCGATAAGCTTGAGCCAACTCCACGCTCGTTTTAGCGAGACGGACTCCGTGCAAATGAATTGCAAAGTCGTCTTGAGTATCACCATTAAAATTGCCACACAGCCCATAGACAATATCCTTATAGTTGGGGTCCAGCGTTATAAGAATAGTGGTATTCCAGTCAAACAGTACACGCAGCCCGAAGTCAGTCTTCAGTAGAGTTTTGCCCTCTTTGTTAGAAACTTCAATCTTACCCCAAAGAAGAGTAACAGGAATATAATTTACTTGACCATTAACCTGAAATTAAAGAAGATATTCGTTAAAATAAATAAAATCAGGAAACTGTTTAATATTAAAAAAAAAAAAAAAAGTTAAAATCTTACGTATACACTGTCCTTGTCTCCAAACTTTATGACAAAGCCATATGCTTGCACAGTCACCAGCTGCATAGAGGACACTTCTTTGCAGTCACTTTTCTTAGACACCAAGAAAGGTGTCGCTCCACCTGCTGCACCTCTGCTGCCTGAAAGCAGGTATGTGCAGGTACCCTTGACGTCATAGTTTAATCCATCGAAGGTGTGGTAGTGTTGGCTTCCCCAGGTCCAACACAGACCCGGACGACTCTCACAAACTGCTTCACCGTTGCTCATGTGGCAACGCTCCGATTTGTCACACTTTACTGCACAGGAATCTTGGCCTTGCTCTGATCAAATGACAGTTTTAGACACGAAGATAAATTTAGCAAGCAAATGACTATGGTGACACACTTTCCAGTCATGGAAGTTACTCACCATCTTTATGGCAGCCAGACAGTCCGTCTAAAACCATACAACTGTGCAGTGGTGGACACTTGTATTCCTCACAGATAAGTGGAGGCCCACAGGTGCAGTTCACAGTACAGTTTGGTAGAAGTACGCTTTCAGAGGCCTGCAAATCACAAGTGGTGGATATTTGAATATGACGACATGTTTCCTAAGCCGATTACTGAAATTAGGACCGCATGATATTGGGGGAAAACCTGCATGCAGCGTGATGTTGGATATTACGAGAGCTATCGCGATATTTACCATGTACCTAAAGAAAATGTCTAATTTAGTTAAAGAAATACTGCACATATTTTCAAGCGACAAAATATGCAGGCTCGTTTTATTGTTAGCCAATACTCTCACAATTCTAAATATTTTTAAGTTATGTTGTGAGTAAAGCCTCCAAATACTGCTCACCTATTGGATGGTGATATGCATTTAAGGTTGCATCTGATTGGTTAAATTCACATAAAGGCATACAACTCCATATAAAACTAATATTGTGCAGCCCTAATGGAAATGCATTTTTTTTTTAAGTCAATGGAATTCCTGGTTAATCAACCTTAAGCCTCCTCTCTTCATGCATGCAGCCACACTGCTTGGCTGGCACACATGCTTGACCATTATAAAGGTGATGAGCATCACACTGGCATCCTTCCCCACAGTCTCTGGGACACTGTGCAGAAAAGCTGATCTCGGGACAGAGGGAGGAGCAAACGTTGGCACACTGGCTGAAATGGCTGAACTGAGGACATTCCTGAGCTATACAAAATATAAATGAAAGAAGTCAGACATTTTGTTGGTCTTGGAAAAAAAAAAAAAAACTCATCTGTAGGACTTACCACAGCCTGTGATGTTCCTCCATGGGTCAACATTCACACCAGCCACTTTGCATGCCGCATCATACACTTCTAAAGCTTCACATAAAGCTTGTTTTTCGCCTTCTGCGACACAGAGGTTATTCAGGCACTGGGTGTAATAATTCTGTGGGCATGTCGAATTGTGACAAGAGGAGAAGGGCCCCTTTGGCTGGGTAAGAAGGCCACAGTACAGGTTAGAGGTATACTCTGGCACAGGGGATCGACAGCGTTGGCAGGTGCTGTCACATGTTTCGCTGCAGGAGGATTCTGAGCCTGACAACTTCCATGATTGCCCAAAGATGTCTGGATCGGAGACAGTGGTGCCATTGGGTAGCTGCATGTCATCCGAGGGATCATCATTGTAGTTTCCACAAAGACCACATGTTGTCTGGTGATAAGCCTTTGGTAGCTTGACCGCTACATAGTTGCCGAGGTCAGAAGTAATCTCTACCAGGTGTCCAACCTTGACAGTTCTCCATTCATTTTTTTGATGCACAGTTACATTGTTCCTCGAGAATGGGAGATTCTCATATATTTCATTAACCTGGGGGGTGGGGAGGAAAAAAAATAAAATTAAGCGAATCACTAAATTAATGAGAATTGCAGATAGTCCATTAAATACCGTAATTAGATTTTTCATGACTATTACTCACTTGGATGTTTTCAGGATAAGCAGTTGACATCATAAAAGTCATATTATTGAATTGCAGATAAATCTGTTTGCCTTCACTCTGGTTACCATTGATGGTAATCATAAGTGGCTCCATAGTCAGGTCCTTGCATGTTTGAACCAGAATGTAGTTGCACGAGCCACGGAACTCATACAAGTATCCATCAAATGTACTCAACTGGGATCCATTAATGTAGCAGTTGGCCATTTTAACTTTGGGGTGGCAACCTAGAATGCCCCCGATAAGGGTACACTCTTCCTCCTGACTACATGATACATCAACACAAGTCAGGTTTCCACCAGGATGACACAAACACCTTTGCTCACATGTAGACTTCTCTTGTCCAGGTAAGATGTATTCTGAATTTCCATGCCAGCAGCCACAGTTGGCTGGATTGACACAGTTCCTTCCACTGTGGACTAAACCTGCTCCACAGAGACAGTTCTCCCCAATGTTGGGAGGGACCTGAATTGTCAAGTTAAGCCAGTCAAGGCAAATGTCAACAGGGGAGTTACTCATGTTGTAGCTGGTACTGGAGGGACATGCATCATCTGCAGAGATAGAGTGGGGACAAAAGTCAAGCCAATGTCATGGTGCGAGTGACCAATAAGGCATTACTACCATCTAGTGGATGGGTGGGAGGGGAGGTTGTGGCTTATTCAATCAACTATCACTGCAGGTTAAACATTAGCTTTTACTTTATGTGGAAAACAGACTATTAGATATAACTGACCGCTATTAAATTTGACAATCATCACATCTTAATTTTCATGCAGTGATAATTTGGCTATTAACACCAAAATTACATTTGGTTGCAACACAAGTGCTGAGGAGTTTAATACTCACAGCAAAATTCAGAGCTCCTCCAGGCATAAACTAAAGCCTTGTGATGAAGGCAGACATCAGCATACTCTGCCAGGGAACGGCACACTGCAGGCTGCACATCTCCATAAAGACACAGGTCACTGACGCAGCTCTTGTAAAAGCTGGAAGGGTCCACTTTGCTATGACAGTGTCTGAATGGTCCATTAACTTCTAGAATCTTCCCACAAGCCACTGGGTCAGAGAAGGGGTGCAAAGCCTCAGATGAACAATTTGGACAGCTTCCACCAAGGCAGCCTTCCACACACCCGCGGTTCTGTCCGAGTCTCCAAGCTCTTCCAAATTGCTCTGGAGTGAGATGCTCCCATGTGCTATTTACTGTGAGGTCATCAGCAAGATCAGAATTGAAGTTGCCACACAGGCCGCAAGTGGCATCAGCATATTTACTGGAGAGATTAATGACTACGATCCCTTCTTTGCTAATACTTAAAAAGAAAAATGTTGAATAGACATAAATGTGCAGCCCCATTGAAAACACCAATGTCGTTCCATTGGCAGAAAATGGCATATTCCTCTTTGTGCCATCAACCTGTGGAGAAATTAAAAATTTCAAATCAGCACAATGCAGAAATTGATTTACTTAAATGCAAGGGGCAGGGAAGGCCAAGACTTACCTCAATGGTTTCTGGATTTTTGTTATCCAGTTGCACTTGTTGTCCATTTATGCTAACCAAGACCATTTGTGACTGATTATATGTATCTGCCTGTACATCAACTGTGATGACATCAAGACCTGGCAACTGTTCACAGATGCCCAGTAACTGATACCTGCAGGTGCCAAGGAAATTATACTCACGCTTGTCAAAGGTGAGTACACGATGACCAGTGTAGCGGCACATCTGATAATGATGCTGCACACAGCTTCTGACTCCATTTTGAATGCCACAATACTGATCCTCATCACAAGAAGCATCACGGCAATGAATCTGGTGCGTGTAGGCATTACATATACAGTGTTGAGTACACGACTCATCAGCCCAAAAGGTCGCGTTGCTGTGGTAATGGTCTCCATTGTATGTACAGCCACACTGAGATGGGGTGATACAGATGCCACCATCAAGAAGAAAGCCAGAGTCACACTGGCATCCTTCCACACATGCTTCAGTGCAGAATGAATTTAAGTGTGCTTCACAGGTCGCAGGGCAGGCTGTCCCACAGGATTCATAATGGCTATTTACTGGGCAGATGAAGTCTGAGAGAAGAGGGGGCAAGGAAAGCACACATTTCATACTCCTTCACATCAAGTTTGCAATATTATCTTGTCATCAATTTAGACAGTTACGTCTATGCAACAAGGAAAAACTAGTCATGTTTTGTATACAGTGGACTGAGATTTATGCATATAGTATAACAGACTTCCAAGGGAGGGGGGGGGAGATTCAGTGCAAACAAGTGCCGCATGGAGGACCTGCCTGAACAGTTGTGGTGAAATGTCAAGTATCAGATGAGGGTGGGCTTACTTTTTCTCTCTGCACATTGCCAATTTTTATCAAATATGCAGTTCTGCCCCTTGGGGCAAAAAGCTGCTTTACAGCACAGGGTGGCAGGGGAGCAGCAGGTACACTGCTTGGAACAGTTGACAGTCCACAGAATTTCCCCAACCTGTAGAGCAATAAAGGGGAGAAAGAGAGAAAAAAATACATGTTTATGTACAGTCTACTAAAGTCTAATAAACAAACAACTTCACTTATTTTAATGATTGGGATAGTAGGCAAGCCAGTTATTGATCATGTGATATGAATGTCAAATACATGACAAGTTTGAATCTGCTCCTGCAGAAAAGTCAGATGTCATGTTTTACGTTTAGATGCAATGAAGTAATAAAAATGGCCACCTCAACCAAAGTATAAAATCTAATTGCTTGCCTTATAGTGCTGCCCGAGGTAGAAACATCCACATCGCTTCGGTCTGACACAGCCATTCCCACTCTGCATGTATCCAGAGTCACACTGACATCCCTCATAGCAGGTCGATGGACAGGGTACATCAGATATTGCGCAGGACTCTGAGCATGCATTACCACATACATTGTAGTGAGAATGCTCAGGGCAGGAAAGTGCTGTGGGAGAGAATATTTATATATGGGGGTGGGGTGTTATAGGTCATCTTATGCAGTTTCTTGAAAGCATGAATCATTAGGGTAAATTTAGCTGTGAATGTGAACAGATCTCGGTGATTTCACATCAGCAAAAGGAAACCGTGAGGAAGCTTACCACACTTGTCACCCCTCCATGGTTTGACCTCAGCTCCTGCATCCTGGCAAGCAAACGTGTACTGCCTCAAACTGTCACAAAACGTTTCAGTGTCATTTGACCTGCACAAATCTTTCACACAGTTGTGGAAGAATGGCATTGGGTCTACTGTGGAATGGCAAATCCCAAAAAAGCCTCCAGGAGCAAGCAACATGCCACAGAGGCCATCCGATTTAAATTCCGTAATGGAGTTGCATAAAACACAATCATGACATTCAACGGCGCAGTTTGTTCCAGTAGGAGAAAAGCACAGGGATGATGTATGCATGGAGTCATCGGACATCATACTTCCTTGGTCATCTGTAGCACCAGTAGTACCAATTTGACACAAGCCACAAAGTCTTTTGTGTGTGGCTGGAATAGTCAATTGTATTAAATTGGGTCCTCCAAAGGTGACCACAGTGCTCAGGTCTGCAGCAATGATATGAGTCAGTGAGCCAGAAGGCAGTACTGCTACACCATTCATATAAAAAGGTAGCGCCTTCATAAGACCGTCGATCTGCAAGCAACAGGACATTCATTATTATGGCAGAAAAAAAGTTTTGTACATTTGAAGCCATTTACCTCAACTTTTCCAAAATGCTCTCCGGACAGTGTCAGGTTCATGTCATGGATTTTAAGGTGCAGCTGGCCTTCATAAATAGAAGCAGAAAGCTCAGGTTCATCACAGAGCTGGAACAAGAGGTGATGCAAAATCCCCATATTCAAATCAAAGGAATGCCCCTGAAAGGTCTGAAAGTGTCTGCCACCCATGACGGTGCATTTCAAATGTGAGCCATGGCATGCACGACGGCCATGTTTGATGACACATTTCATTCTGGCAGGACATGTGTGGTGTCTACATTGCACTATATTGTGGCCCACACATGCGCAGGACCGAAGGCAGTTCTCATCAGGGTAGAAGTTTTCATGGATCTTGTAGTAAACACCATTATAATTGCAACCACATTCAGAATTTGGTACACATTCCCCACCACTTTGGAAAAACCCAGGCTTGCAAAAACAGCCTTCCTTGCATCTTTCTGAAAGTGGATTTGCGTTTCGGGCACAGGCAAACATGTGGGTAGAACAGAGGTGGTATTCACTCTTAGATGGGCATGTTACAGCTGAGGAAGAGAAGGAAAATGATTCAATCCAACGCTAAATGGGAGACTTAAAAAGGTAAGCTTGTACTTCATTACTTACAGCAAAAGTTGGAATCTCGCCATTCATGCACTACAGCGCCCATTTCTTGACATACGGCAACATAGCGGGACAGAATCTGGCACAGGGTTGTCTGGTTACCATTGCAGAGGTCATAAACACAGTTATCATAGAAATCTTGTGGTTCTACTATTTTGTGGCAGCTCTGGAATGCCCCCAAAGGATTCATTAACCTCCCACAAAACTCCTTTCCCTGATAAAGATCCTGCTTTTGTGGACTGCAGCCCGAGGTGCTCATGGGTATATCCCAACATTCATGTTCACTACTGGTTCTCCAGTATCTGACTGCTTGAGTAATATCAAAGTCATCTGTCACCAGGTCATCCTGTGGGTCATCATTAAAGTTCCCGCACAATCCACACAGATTACCAGCGAAGACCTCGGGCATTGTGACAGTCAAGATGTCTGGGCTGTATGTCACAACAACACCAAAGTCCGTTTCTATACACTCTGACTGTCCTTTCAGGTACAGCATTACTTTGCCTTGGCTCAAAACAGAAGGAAGGTTCAGCAGCAGGCCGTTTACCTAAAACAGGTTAAATAATTAAATACCAAATATTGTGAAAATGTCATGAACAACAAATGACTTACCATAACCTTGCTACGCCACTCAGGTGACATTTCAATGGAATAACCAGCCACGGACATTTCAACATGTTGAAAAGAAACATTAACTCCTGCCTTGACGTGGTTCTGAAATTTGATACTGAAGTCTTGCAGGTCTCCCCATGTGGGACAATGCGATGTGAGCAGATAGCTACAGTTGCCGTGAACTTCAAATTTCCGGCCATCGAATGTGGTGTAGTGAGGATATCCTTTGGCCACACAAAGGCCAGCTCTCCCAGCATGGCAGCCGATGACTCCATTTAAAACCATGCAGACTTCTCCAGCCTGGCAGTGAGACTGTGTGCACATAATTGTCTTGGACTGAGGCTGGCAGACGCATTTCTCTTGACACTGCTGGTCCATCCAAAAGGTCTTTGTGGGGAGAAAATAGGAGCCATTTTGAACACAACCACACTCGCTGGGCAAGACACACTTGCCATTACTTAGCAGATATCCCCTGTAGCACTGGCACAATTCCAAACATGGAAGGCCGCAGTTATGGCTGGGATCTGGGTTACCACATGTTGCCTGGCAAGCCGACCCGCACACCTCATAATGGCTATTTATAGGACAAGCCATATCTGTAAAAAATAAAATAAACGTTAGTCCTCCTCATTAAACAAGGTAAAATGAAGCAGTTAAGAACTTACGACACTTTGCTATTGCTCTCCAATTTTGGATCCTGGCCCCAAGCCTCTGGCAGATGTTGGCATAGGCTCCAAACACTTTACACACTGAACTGGCAGCTCCACTGAGACACAGGTTGTTCTCACAACTACGAACAAAGGGTTCAGGATCAATATACAAGTGACAGTCACTAAAAGGCCCATCCTTCCTCTTCAATAAAGTGCAATTATTCTCGTAGGGGTTGCCCATTATGCCAGGATAAGATTGTGTGGGACTGCACAATTGACATGGGCCATCTCCACAGTCTTCCATACATGCATCTGTGTTGCTTTCCAAAGCCCAAGGGAGGAGGATCAATATACAAGTGACAGTCACTAAAAGGCCCATCCTTCCTCTTCAATAAAGTGCAATTATTCTCGTAGGGGTTGCCCATTATGCCAGGATAAGATTGTGTGGGACTGCACAATTGACATGGGCCATCTCCACAGTCTTCCATACATGCATCTGTGTTGCTTTCCAAAGCCCAAGGGAGGGTAAAATCCATCGTTTTGGACGCAGTACCATTAGAAGTGATTGTGTCATCTGAGATGCTGTCATTGGCATTTCCACAAAGACCACACACAAGTCCATGCAGCTCTGGGTGTGCTTCGACCTGTATATTATGAACCCAGTCATACTGCAGAGTCATGCCAAAGGAAGTCTCCAGAACAACACTTTGACCACTTGGATATAGTCTTAGGATCCTGTTTCCCAAGATGACAGGAAGGTTCTTGCGATGTCCATTAACCTATGAATTTCAAAAGGCAAAATACAGTGACTACACACGAATGTCACTTTTTTGTTCCCTCCGCCCCTCAACGTTGGCTCGTTTTCTTACCCTGATTTGATCTCGCTCTCCTTTAACCATGGAAATATTAAAACCATGGATTTTTATCTCCACACTGTAAATGCTAGAGACATCCGCCCCGTTCAAATATGCTCTGGCGATATTAATCTGAAGTGGGGTGGAAGCATTTATACCTGGACAAGTGGTCTGCACCAAGGTATAATTACAATTTCCCAGGAGAACAAAATGTTTTCCGTCAAAGTTGCGATAATAAGAATCACCCCATGCAGAGCATATTTTAGTTTTCAAGGAACATAATGGATGTCCATTTCTGAAGGAGCACTGCTTGTTGTGACCACAGTGCAAATCATCACAGGAGGAAATTTCTGACATAGGAAGGAGGGGGGAGGGAGAGAAAGTGGGGTTAGAACATATGCACATTTAAACAATGAAAAACTAAACTGCAGTACTTACTTTTTTCACAAAGTGATGGATTCAGCTGTTTGTTTAAGGTGTTCAGATCGTGTCCCACAGATTGCAAAGCATTTGCATCAGACACTGGCCCATTCTGACAGATATCTTCCACAGACAGCAGTGCCGTAAGAGTTGAGGCACGCTGCTCAATGTCATGTCGGTAATAAATGAGCTGAAGCGGAACGTCGCTAATGACATGAACTTCATCCAAGGCCGAAACTGGAATAGTCTTCATCACCCCTCCATTTATAGACATACTCTTCTGCTCCTTTCTAGTGGTGACATCCAAGTTAGAGTTTATGTTTGTCATAGCCAGCAGGAGACTGGGACTCGTTTCAGAGTTTACTAGGGGAGGCAGAAAATATTCATAACTCCAGAGAGAGACTGGTTTAAGTTCTGAAAATCCATATAGGCAGTCCCCTAATAAGTGGTTTACACAGGTAAAACCAACTATCACCCCTACAGGTTCTTGGGAATAAAGCTCTGAGCCAGAGAGACTGAAGTTGCTTTCGAGGTAGAAGCTCTCAAACAGCCCTAAACGCAACTTAAGGAAACTTCCCTCAGAGTATAAAGCTCCGTTAAAGACCACATCCCCTGAGAGAAAGATCTCCACTGATGTCTCTCGATTGAAGTTGGTGACCACCATTTCGCTGACAGATGTCTGATTTGGGAAGTTTGGGGTAACTGGATAGTAATGGGTCCCCCAGGAAGACACGTCATGAAGGAGGTTATGCTCACATCCAGTCTGGGTGCAGAATGTCGCAAGAACTGTAACAGGCTGTACAGATGCTATGCTGAGGAGGGAGGAGGAATGAGCACTGGCCATTCCCACAGACGAAGGTAGGTGAATAGTCTGCGACTGAGATGCATTGAGAGAGATGTTATGTGTAAAGTCACTTTGCAGAACTTTCACAGTGACTGAAGTCCACACACCAGTCGCCGTTATTGTTACTTGGTAGCTAGCATTTGCTGTTGGGTCATTATGAGGCGGAAACATCATCAGAAAATTCCGATCAATACTCGCCTCAGAGAGACCTGAGAAGAAAAACAAAAACAAAAAAAGTCATTGTACTATACATGACTCGAAAAACTCAAAAGGAAGTCGTTCCGGCACAAAAGCTAACATGAGTAGGTCAGGCAATTGTGACAACAGTTGAATTTACAACTGTAAACCACACACTTGCAGAACAGTGATAACATCTTGTGTGCAGAGTTAGACAGGTTTCCCAGTGTGCAAGCAGAGATAAGAGGTGTGGTGTCAGATTTCAGCCAGCTGAGCAGCCAATGAAGTTATGATCCTAGTTCCTGACTGGGTACACCTGTATTAAATGTGCAGACCGGCTCCTGGAGTAACCATGATAACAAGGATCTCTGTGGGAGAGCAACAACATACCAGCAGTGCATACAGAGAATCCTGAGCTACAGCAAACTTTAATGTAAGTTTGAAATTTATATATGCATGCTCTAATGGGTCAGGGAATTCCTTGCACGAAATATAACAAATAAATACTAACCAAATTGCGATACGGCACGAAAAATGTATTCATAAGAAAATAAAACATTTACTTGATGTGCACGTTAGAACCGCTAAAAAACAAAACAAAAACAAAAAAAGTTTAGTAATGCATTAGTTGGTGAGGTGTGCTCCATTATTCTTAAGGCACGATGTTAAATCACATCTAAGTATGGAGTTTGTAAAATACCAAAGTTGTCTCATACATAAACACAGTACGTACTACAATCATTTTGGTTGCTCCAAGGGTTGGAACACAGGCACGGCCCAAACATCACTGAAGTGGACAAATTTGTGTGGGCAGGCAAGGAATTGTTCAGACTTGTGTGCTCCTTTAAAAGTGAGGGGGTCTAGGGGGTGGGGGGAAGAACCAAATGATGCAAACACAGCATACAGTCAGAGTAGGGATAGTCAGTAGCTCCTCCATGGCTCAGTCAAGTCAGGTGGTGAGAAAATTCAATATTTTAAATGGCTTTCATCTGTTGTCACATTGGGACCTGTACAGTATTTGCCATTTGTCTTCAAGTCGTGACCGACTTTAACGTACTACAATCATTTTGGTTGCTCCAAGGGTTGGAACACAGGCACGGCCCAAACATCACTGAAGTGGACAAATTTGTGTGGGCAGGCAAGGAATTGTTCAGACTTGTGTGCTCCTTTAAAAGTGAGGGGGGGCTAGGGGGTGGGGGGAAGAACCAAATGATGCAAATGCAGCATACAGTCAGAGTAGGGATAGTCAGTAGCTCCTCCATGGCTCAGTCAAGTCAGGCGGTGAGAAAATTCAATATTTTAAATGAGTGGCTTTCATCTGTTGTCACATTGGGACCTGTACAGTATTTGCCATTTGTCTTCAAGTCGTGACTGACTTTAAGGAGTTGATAAAGATAATATTCAAAAATAGCCTTACAAAACATTTAGATCAAATATTTAAACATGCGGACAACATGCTCAAAATGCCTTTCATAGCATCTTAAGCTACGATGAACTGCATGTTCTGAACGAATATAGAAAAATATATATATTGAGATCTTTTTAGGACAGCCTCTGACAGTTTTGTGTGGGAACATGGAACAATATGGAGGTGAATCGAAAACAAATTCATGTACAGTTACACCCCACATAATGATGTTAACGATGCATGCCTGTCAATGCACCATTATGCTCCAAGTGAAAGCAAGTTCACGCAGGGATGCATGTCAAATATCTCACTGAATAGGAGATCCTCAGTTTAGGACGGTGTTCTGAGAAATCCAAATGTGCCGTCGTTCTCACTAACTTGCGCAGTAGCAAAGTCATAACTACGGTGAATAATTGTATGAAAAACCATAAATGTAACTGAATGTTCCTTCTCACACCACTGCTGAAACTAGTTCATTATGCCGCCGTTCATAACCTCAAAACATCTTGTTCATTCTGGACCTTCATAAAGCAAGAACTTCAGCTGTGAATCACTGTTATAGATTATTCAAGCTGTTCATCTGTGTAAGAAAGCAATTACGCTGAGCTCTGTCTGGTTTTACAAGCCAGCATCTACAAACAGTGTGCGGCAGTCACGACGTTACAGGTAGTTGCATTACTCGTTTAGCTCCTACATTTCTCAGAAAAGTGGCCCTAACATCACCCACAAACATTTAACAGCTTTTCAGTAATTAACTTTCGTGATCAAAATGCAGTAGTTACTACAGAAACTGCATTCCCCCAGGCAATTAAGACATCCGTTTGTCATGTTTCTATTGCTGCATTAGACTGGGTAGAATCAGAAGCCCACACAGTAATACAACAGAAAACAAAATATCTGCAGACAGTGGGAGCGGATGGTGAAGCGATGTCTCCATCTCATGAATCACCATGGCCTTAGCTTGACAAATTCATTATGAGTCCTCACAGAACATATTGTGTACGTGTTCCAGCATTTTCTGTTCACTTCAAAAGGAAAGCTCTTGTCAGTATCAACGACATCCAACTCAGATTTAAGGACACCAATTCAGGTATTTCCCCAGCAATTGTCAGGGTAGGTAGTCATCACAACTCAGTCGGTCAGCCAAAAACAGCCAACATAAGACTTCACACCACCTGGAAACTTGTTTGTAGCATGTGGACATACAGAATTGAGACCAACGAGTCGAACATTTGAGAAAAGGAGGTGATGATGGAAAAATATTTGGTTCTGCTGAGACTATAAACTGATTTTTTTTTTCTAGAAAAACAAAACCGTGGTCTATTCCAGTAAATAATTTGCGGATTAAAACTAAGGTAAATTTTAGAGATTGATACCCAGCAATAATAATGCATGTTCAACAGACATTGTTCAATTAACTTTAATAAACCAATCATTTCATTTGTCCAACACAATAATATTGCAGGGATTCCAAAAAAATTCAGCAGTGTTCATTTATACTCAAATATTACAAGACCAAAATTACTTCTGTCATTTTATGCCTCAGTTTGTGACATTTCTCTGGGTTCGTTCAGTATAGTGAAGCTTCAATAGAGAATCCCTCGTATCTTGGATCAGTACGTTTCAAATAA